GGAAATAACCTTAGGGTCTGCAGAGTACAGAAGTCATGACATATATGACGTCATTGCCAGAGATTACCCCGGCTCAATCATCCACCGCTTCCATCCGGCGTAAAAGTCATACTTTCTATGAATGAATCCATGTAAATCAGTGATGAGCCAGGTGTTCGCTTCCATCCGGCGTACAAGTCATATTTTCTATGAATGAATCGATGTAAATCAGTGATGAGCCAGGTGTTCGCTTCCATCCGGCGTAAAATTCATACTTTCTATGAATGAATCCATGTAAATCAGTGATGAGCCAGGTGTTCGCGAAAACTTTAAACGTGACCTGCTCCTACCGGTAGATTGTATGTCGTTACAGCCACTTTTGAGCTGTGGATCCTATCACTGTAACTGTATGCGAGTCTTTCTTTCTTTTTTAGTGTAATCGTGAATATTTAAAGTTATACATTAAGATGCACTATGTATCTTTGCATACTATTGAAAGATTACGAGATAAAAACGACAGATGACAAACTACCCGAGTTCAAATGTTCCGCTTTATGTTGAAGCGTCTGACTGTACAATAACTTATTTAAACATATGAATCCAACATTTAGGCGAATACACATTGTTGAGCCGATGAGGAAAGGGAGATAACTGACATGACTACTGAAACATATCCTGATGCCTGTAAAGTATTATCTGCACATATTAATAATATGTGGATGTGTGTGGTTAAGAGTAGATTGTTACTTTGTAAGATATTTCTCGAGTTTGAACCTTCATGGAGTGAGGGCCAAACGTGTGAACGTAGGGGGTAATTATGAAGATGTGTCCAATAGGTGCTGAATTAATTTTCTTAAGGTTCTAACACCGTTATCAAGCAAGTGATAGACCTGACTTGTTTGATAACGGTGTTAGAACCTACACCGAAACGTCGCTCTTAATTGTAATAAAGAAGTTGTTCATCTATAAATTCTTTTCCTTACTTAGTACTCCAACTTCTAAATGTCTATCAAAGAAGTTACATAAATCTTAATTAGTTCGAATTCGAAGTAATCTCAGAATGAGCTTCGCTGTAAGTCGCAGTCTGGTCATTCAAAGTTTGCTAACTTAGAATTTTGTAATGTACAGATTTCTGAGACGTTTTGTTTCGGTTACCTTAATGTAGTAATACATTTCACCTTGCTGAATTAATTATGTGGCTATTAAAGCCCATGAAACACAATGTAAGTGTTTCCATTTCTTTATTATAAGCTTTATTTTCTCATGAGGTATCCGACTGGGATAAGACCGGGACTAATCCATTTTACCATTTCTTCTAGGGAATCCACAGGGGTTTCCTCGAGAATGTGAAAGTGTCCGTCTAGGTTTCTTACAGTCTCGGTAACATCATACATATGATATAATTTACCCTGGATTTCATGCCTTTACATATACGCGTGTCATTTGTATATGTGAGGTCTAGTAATCACGTCATTTGTTTTGTTTTGTTTTCAAATTATCCTTCCTGTTTTCATTTTAAAAGTTGATCCAATTGTATTACACGAGTCCACGTCGAGACTTATACGGGGAATGTCAATTTCCTTTCACTACAGTCTGCTACACGCATTCGAACGCGCACTCACACACACCACATGAACGCACTCACACACACCACATGAACGCACTCACACACACCACATGAACGCACTCACACACACCACATGGACGCACTCACACACACCACATGAACGCACTCACACACACCACATGGACGCACTCACACACACCACATGAACGCACTCACACACATCACATGGACGCACTCACACACCACATGAACGCACTCACACATACCACATGGACGCACTCACACACACCACATGGACGCACTCACACACACCACATGAACGCACTCGCCAACTACACCCACTGTGCCTCCCCGGGTACCTTTGTAAAGGAGGTAAGCGCGTCAATAGTTTCCTGATTTTTTAATGGTGATCTGTTCTCCTCAAACAACCCCCTCGCGTCCATGCATTGTGAAAGTCGGGTACCTTTGTAAGGGGGGTAACTCCTCCGACTCTATTACATGTGCCTTGTCCCAGTTTATAACTACATTGTTCCATAATCACAACAGGGGACTCGGGCTGCAAATAAGGCGCCGCAATTAGCTTTGCAGATTTGTGTCCCTTCGGCACGCCAAGAACCTATGATTTTGGGTTCGAATCCCGATTCTCCGATTATGTTTCTAAGTTTGTCAGCACCATACACCTGCTTGTGGGTTTCACCAAAGTGGTAAACGTCTGAGACCTGCATCACTTTGGACTGTCCTAAGGCATCACGTTGACATGCCCTGATATGACTTGAATACTGTTCACTCACTCACTATAACCACACCAACTGCAGTTACGACCACTGTCAGTAATACTCCTTGGCTGCACCTCCTACCCTTCTTACCGACGCTGTTCATGCTATTATGTTATATTAATCACGCGATAGGCATGTAACGAGGATTACAATTTATATTTACCAGTGATTGTCACCCCAAGAATACTTTTGTCTGACCCGACCCCACACAGCTCCTCACAAGATGTACTGTAATTTTCGATTAAAAGATGATCCATGTAATGATAAATGAGTACACAACAGATGATAATTTGGATACCTTAAAATCACATCGCTGAAGGATGCTGCCCCAGTACATCATGCCTGCGTAAGAGTCAGCTAAAACGGGTATTGGATGGTCAGGCTCTTTGACGTGTCTGATTGTGTCACTGCATCCCGACGACATGGGACGTGGTCTATCAATCACTGGTTTGGCTGACATTATCATATTGCAGGGACAATGCCGAATTCTGCGTTATATATAACATGTTTGTTTGTATGTTGTTTAACGCCGCACTCAGCAGTACTCCTGCCATATGGCGGCGGTCTGTAAATAATTAAGTATGGACCAGATAATCCAGTGAGCATCGACCCACGCTATTGGGATACGACGATATGCATCAAACCAGGTCAGCGAGTCTAACCACTCAATCCCGTTAGTCGCCTCTTATGACAAGCAGCTGAAGACCAATTCTAACCCGGATCTTCACAGGTCGCGTTATCAAAATACCCAATACGGTGACAATTCCTGAGACGGAATAGTTGCAAAAACTGTAAACAGTAGAGAAAAATTTCATTTGCGAAAGTACATACAGTTGCAGGGGTAATCTTAATTTATACCATCAAGACTTATTTATGATGTGGATGTGGATGTAAAGCAACCCTATGCTTCTAACCAAATTATGGATTGAGTAGAAATGATTTTAATGATACACGGAATTCAAAATCAAAGAAAATTAAGTTTTAAATGAAAACAAACCATAAAAAGGTATTATTGCCGATAAAGTGTGAATTTAAGTCAGTGAGTGAGTATGGTTTTATGCCGCTTTTAGAAATATCCCAGCAACATCACGGCGGTGTGTTAATTTAAGAAACCACTAGGAAGCGACCTTGGTCTGTTTATAATACAGAGATGTCGCACGTACATCGTCAATCGTGTGCAGACGAGTATCGAGTTATGTCACATGCTTTATATGACATCAATACCAACAGATGCATCTCGGGTGAACACCTCACGGCAGGATGCCCTTCCTTTGCTTCTCACCACGCAAATGTATCACTCGTCGAATACGACAAAACCATCATAGTAGTATGTATTTATGTAACGTAAAGTTACATACGGATGCCCAAGAGGGAGCCAATAATTTCCTTTTAATACTGCTACACGCATTCGAACGCGCACTCACACACACCGCATGAACGCACTCACCAACTACACCCACTCCAATTAATGACAAAACCACACTTTCTTGATATTCTATTTAGAGATCTCACACAGGTTGACAGGTTAAAACTGGCATCATGATAACATGTTGTAGTCGTTGCAACCAATATAACTTCTGTTGATACTATTATACAACTGATATGTCATCTGTTATCCATGTCAACATTCATGGTGATACTAGGTGCGTATCTGTGTAATGGCTTGCCCATTGGCGAAGATTTCCAACACGTGTGTGATGTATGACCAAGTAAAATGTGATGAAATAGTTAATTAGTATCCTCTCTGTATGAAAAACATTCTCATTGAGGCTAATATTCTTTTACACACATGTATAATTACTCATATTGTCCACGACCAGGGGTATAACTGACCCTATCATTTATTGCTTTTCGGGTGACAGTTCGGGAAAATACAGACGGAATGTGTATTTCAACATTTTCTTATAAAAGGACAAAATATATTGCCTGTTGACCGGTCAAAGATCACATGACCATGCATGTATCAGGCTGGGGGACTTTGTACCGGTACAGACTTACGTTCTCCTCGCCACGGCATATTCCGGAATGAAGTGCCTCACAGTGGTAACGATCACTCTGGTGCAAAGTCTCTCACATATAAAATAGTTCCAGTTAACAAATGTGAAGTATCACGTATGTCATCATGGTGAGTGTGTCTACCCAAATTCTCACTTTTGTGTGACAATAATTCATAATTATGCAAATTACTATAATTTAGTTATCGTCACTTATTACGTATCTATGAATATCGCCGCAAAGCGATAGATATCAGGTTTGTACCAGAACACAGAGCTGCACATCAACACGTGTGTACTGTCTACAGGTACGAGTGGTCACTGCGGACACGGTTTAGTACAGTACCCCAGCACTGTATTACGTGTCGTAGGAGTCGGGTGAAACTGGATCGGGTGATCAGGCTCGGTGACTGGGCAGCCTGGTTCCCTGGCTTTACTGCGCTGGCAAACTCAGTGTGGCGCCAGCGCAGCAAACCCATGGAACCAGGCTGGGTGACTGGGTTGATTGCGAGTCATCGTACTTCTATGGAGTGGAAGCTGCTCATTATAATAATCACTGGATCGTCTGACCCAGGCTCGTTTGTTTACAGGCAGTCGCAATGTTGCTGAATGCCGGGTACAAAAAACAACAAGACAAACGTTTTGGAATAATAACTGAAGTTATAATCACATACTGTTCGATACGTCGGACTTTAGAAACGTGGGTCAGAACAAGTATATATTGGATGAAGATGTGACTTGTTCAGGGAGTATGTTTTCATGGACCGAATTCTTATTGGGATAACGATAATTTGAGTCACAACTTATTTCACAAGTAAAACACTCTTTTTACGAGATATCACTTTAATTCGCTACTAACACAGATGAAGCAATGTTATGCAGCAGGAAACAGACATGCAATTCACAAAAGTGTGACACATACGGTCGTCGGCTACAGTTTTCAGATCTTAGAGTTTCATATCGATATGAAACCTTTGACGCTCCTCAGGTTTCAGGTGAAACTACATGAGGGTAGTTACGTTTTAATATCTTCCTTGACAGGAGACAGATAATTTCTCGAGGGCCTGAACATACCACCTGGGTACGTGATAGTCGAGTTATCGTGAAGTCCTCCATCAAGGTCTGTCGATGTAACTCGCTCAATACGCATGGCGTAATTGTCTCCAGCAGTGTGTTCTGTCTGCATCAACCACGCCATCTGTACATGAGACATCCAACTCCCCACTTCTCGATCAGGAAACACTGGGCATTCATTTCCAAACTCATTGAGCCTAAATGATTCCTGCTTGTTTTTATCTTCACTCGTATTGGACATATCTACTTGTAAATCAACATTTCGTTCCGCATTATCCGAAGCGGTCAATCTCGTCGGCCTGCTACAGCTATCCGCGTGTCCAACATCTAACTCGTCATACAGGTCATCATGCGGGATGGGTATGGGCGGTAGAGGCATTCTTTGCTGGAGTCCACCCCTTGGTTGGTTACAACAAATGCGACGATATCTGTAAGAAACGGATACTTATATATTCTCTTTAATTTACATTTTGTTTCTTTGTTTGTTGTTTAATGCCGCACCCAGCAATATTCCAGCTATATGACGGCGGTCTGTAAATAATTGCGTCTGGACCAAACAATCCAGTGATTTACAACATGCGCATCTTGGGATATGATGACATGCATCACCAAAGTCAGAAAACCTGACCACCCGATCCCGTTAGTCGCCTCTTACCAGAAGCCTCAACGCCTCCTACTGCAAACATGAGTTGCTGGAGACCAATTCTAACCCGGATCTTTACAGTAAAACACGGAGACGATGAACCCACAAGGACTGTTGGAATAGGTTCGTTATATCCGCAGTTCGTTACTGGCTAAATCGTGTTTCTTAGTTTTGATCTGTACCGCCTTAACTGCATCAGTGCAATGAAAAAACAGCCGTACAGCCAGATGGAAAGTACACACATACTGTGTTAGTGGTACATAAAGTGGGCGCGCACTTGTCAAATGATTCTATTTTCAATGTTGCAGTTTATAGATTCATAACACATGACATACCTAACGGCCAGGAAACACGCCACTGAACATAGAAGAACGCCCGCACATCCCCCGATAATGTATATCCAGTTGTTGTTATCATGGGACATTCCGATTGTGGCGTTGATAGCTGTAGGAACTGGAAGTAAAATGTGGCAACATTTAACCTAACTTACATGATACTGTTGGTTTTACGTTATGTGAATAAAACCGTCCTGAGGCGACTTCGTGGATGGGATGGTCAGAGCCGGTGACCTTGTTGATAGCATGTCGATGTGCCCCAAACGGCGTTATTTGTTGATCGTACTATCAATCACTGGATTGTCGTTTATTTACAGGCTGTTGTCATATAGATGCTGAAGCTTTAATCAGCACACGCACACGCATACGCACACCCACCCGCGCACATACAGAACATCCACACAATTAAAGGGCCACCATTAAACGTAGTAAGAATATGGGCACCTCAAAATATATGTCTATTTACCTTCGGGTTCATAGCAAACACCGTCGAATCTGGAACAGTATCCGCTGATACAGTGATCATTACATCTGTTCTTGCATCCCTTGCCGAAGAAGCCCATCTTGCAACCTTCTAAGCATTCTCCGGACGTATTGTCGCAACTGTCGGACAGACATGAGTCACACGGCAATATGCAGTCGGGCCCATAGTATCCCCTTCTACACCCTTGTAAACACATACCCGTGCCCTGCTCACATTTACCCTGGTCACACTGCTCATTGCAGCGGTATTCACACCTCGGCCCAAAGTACTCATCTCTGCATCCCGCCACACATTGTGCAGATACTTGATGACATATCTCATCAGCACAGTTAGTATTACATCTCCACTGGCAGAGAGGCCCAAACGTACCTCGCCTGCATCCATCACACTCTTGTGTTTTATCATCGCATATTCTACATCTGTCGCCACATCTGTTTTTACAGTTTCCGTTAACATGACAACCAAGTTTGTGACACTTTGAAGAGCAGGATTGTTCACAATGTGGGCCGTATCTATATTCTTCACATGATGTACACTCCGATCCATTGTCCTTCGCGCAGGTCTTGCATGAACTAAAACACCCCAGCTTGCAAACCGAGCCCCATTGACCATCTATGCAGTCGCCAATGCAGGACTTTCCAGATGAATCACATTTCCCGTCCTTGCATCCAGAGCTGCAGTTGTTTGTACAGTGCGGTCCAAAGAAGCCGTCCTGGCAACCATTTAAACACCCAAGGTCCCCGCACGCATCGTCTTTGCAGTGACTTCCGTCCACACAGTCGTCTGAAACGGATCACAAGTTGTATCGCATGAAGCTACCAGTAAACAAGTGCTTTGAAGTTGAGAATGTAACTTTTACTGATAGTTTGAGGCAGTTATACTTTTTGCTTGCGTTTAAATGGCTTGGAATTACATAGAAATGTTACAACTATAATATATGATATATAAGAATCCCTGCATACATTTAAAATGATTATATATTTTATCCAAAGTAATTTGTTAACTTTTCATTTTCGCCCTGGTAATTATAAGGGTGAGTGAGATGGATTTAACGCCGTATTCCAGTTATATCACGGCGTGTCAGCTTAATGTGGGAGGAAAGCCCGAAGTGCTGCAGGTCTCAGACGTTTACCACTTCGGTCAAACCACACACACACACACACACACACACACACACACACACACACACACACACACACACACACACACACACACACACACTGTTAAACTGTTACTTGATATAATTTATGTTCAGTAACGGTGCGTATTTTACAGTGTTTCATGTGTATCATGATGATACTTCATTTAATGAGTAACTTACTGTTTACAGCAATCGAGGACACATCAATCATGACGGCAACAATGAAAATTGTTGCCGGGAGTATCATCCTGAAAATGATATTTCTTTTCTGTAGCATTTTCAATATGTGATAGATGTATTCTTTACACAAAACCTCGTCTCTATACTTCTATCGTGTTTCAAGTAGTGTGCGACACATCGCATTTGAAAGTTAACCCGAAACACATGACACAGTTGTTTTATGCGAATTATTGTTTATGTCAATCCTTCACCTACCATATGTAATGCTTAACCATGTTCATTGTTCAGACTTAAAACCGTATAAAGATCTATACCGACACGTCGCTACTACAGTATAATAAAAGAAGTTGTTGTTGTGTCTACTTTGTGTCTACTTTGTCACATCACACAATATTTGGATGCCAGAAAATTGACAGAAATTGTTGTTATGTACATGGGCAAGACCAGTCTGGGAATCAACTTAATATTGCACTAAAATGATAAATTAGTAAAGAGTCAATGAAATCACCTTCAACAGACTGCATATCCTTGCCTATATATTATTTTATATTTCTTTAAGTTATTAGTAACAACACTTACCTGTAGAGTAAAATGTTGCATGTGGATAGTTTCGAATAGTCATGGACACTGCATTTCTATAAATTGCGTTTTGCAGGAGGCGGAAATTGAAACTCATTTCAAAACCCGAATGGAGTACGTAGTGCAGGAAGCACATATCCTGAAAGGCGGACTCTGATTTGAGGAAATTGTTTGAGTCTTGGTGTATGAATCAATTCGCAAAGGCATACTGCGATCAATATCTCGTTTATCATCATTGTTATGACTATTGACTTATATAAACATAAACATGTTTGTGTTCTTAGTGCAAGCTGTTGTTAAATGTATATATTATTTCTATCTCCAGTAGAAGGGTACATTTCCAGTAAATAGGTAGATTTTCATTTTTGACCCAATAAATGGTTCGAAGTTAGACTTTCAGGATATGTTTGATGACAACACACTTGGCATATTAATCGGATTCTGATTATTAATAGTTGTATACACAGGCAGTGTAATTAGACAACCCTTCTGTTTAGTTGCATCAAATGTGTTGTGGTACATAAATTTGCTATTGATGTAACCATGATATACCCGAATTGAAACACTTTCACAAGTTTCAGTATGAGGTCGATGAATTAGTGCATTGTAATTTATCTTAGCGCTTACAATGTTCGGAATCCGTTTTAAATATTTGTTTTGTTATGTCAGTTAAATTATAATACTCGACATTTATCATTTATGATCAGTTTCAATAAAAAAATTATTAATAACCTTATTCTCTGTTTCCTTTATTGTGTGTCATGTTGATTAAGACGGGTGCATTACTTTATCCCTAACCAGCAAATAGAGATATAGGACATGTCAAAGGAAATATTTATGAAAAATAACATCCAATAGAGAGATAAAACTGAAATAAAAAGACAGCGTTCGCGCACGTGTCCTGCCCTGATGTAATTTATTTTAAAGCTTTAATTTGAATTGAATTCCTGTATCTGCCCATTATCATTTCCACATTTTGCAATATGAAATTTATCATACAGACCTGTCTCGAAGTTTACACGAAACTCCAACTTATCACATTATTTATTCTATGTTTTTGTAAGGGTGACGAGTTGTTGATATTATTGTATAAGCGAAGGCAAAATCGCAATGACCGCACTGAACATTTAAGGGCTGACAGATGTTTGTTATCATTCTGTGAGTCATCCAAAGATATATAATAAGCCTGATACTGTTCATTGTTTTAAGAAAAAATGGAACCTTTTTGTTGTCATGGTAGCAGACTTAAAGGACATCCATCACTTTGAAAGAAGAATAGGCTGTGGATATTGCTATTAAGTTCCATAAAGCAATGTGGGGTAGTCCAAATAACTGAAGAAACAGCTCCTCCAAATATATCTAATAATGTTGTGGTTTTACTTCAAATTGTAGTGAAATATTGGGATATTATACAGAACGTATGGTTAAAAGAGACGCGTATCCCAAAGTGAAAAACAATCTACAATAATCGTTCTTGTACATGTATATATTTATCTATATGACACTTGTCTGAACACCACTTCTATTTTGCTAAGTATGTTTATTTAACTAGTCTGTACAATGTATGATGTAATTTTTATAGGGGAGTGATATTCATAAAGGGGAAACCTTGTTTATAAATCCTCATCCACTATGCATATGACTGTTGAAATATACTAAACCGCAAAAGAAACGTCACCATGGATAACTATACGAGAAACCGTATTTGTCCAAACACTGTAAACATACTTTGAGACATATTAAAAAGATGAAACTTGGCAATACTGATCATCACAGTGTCAAATGTTCTTAAAGTGAAACACACAGTAGTCTCTTGGAAAATGGCATCACAAGTCAGTATCTCGTGTGTCCGACATGTGCATTGATGACTGCCGTGCTACGTCGATACATGGGATGGATGAGGCGGTTGATGAAGGCCATAGGTACTTGAGCCCACACTCTAAGGAACGCCTGACGCAGTTCAGTTGCAGTTGTCGGCCTTGGTCGAACCTCATTCAGCTGTCTTTGAATCTCGTCCCACATGTGCTCAATGGGATTTAAATCGGGACTGAGGGCAGGCCACTGCATGGTTCTGATGCCGTTCTGCTGGAGGAAGTCTCTTGTTGCTCTCGCAGTGTGGGCACGGGCGTTATCATGCTGAAACTCGTGGGTGCGGCGACGTGCCAAATGAGGTATTGCGTGTGGTCTCAAGACTTGATCAATGTACCGAGCTGCTGTGACACCATTGCCTCTCCCTGGACTGATGTTCTGGAAGACCACAGGGCCGACCCTCTGTGCAAGACCAATTCCACCCCACACCATGATGCTCGGACCACCCTACGAGTCTCTCCCAACAACACAAGCATCCGAATAACGTTCCCCACGGCGTCGCCAGACTCTCTCTCTCTCTCTCTCTCTCTCTCTGCCATCTGCTGTTGAGATACAGTAACGGCTCTCGTCTGAGAAGAGGACTCTTTTCCACTGCTGGTGCTGTGTTGCCCACTGAAGACGGTCCCGGCGATGACGTGGTGTCAGAATGGGTCCTCGGTGTGGCCTCGGTGTGGAGGTGTCTGCTCGTCAATCGTCGACGCACGGTGTCCGCACTTATGTGTCGCTGGTGTGCTCCCATGGTCTGTCGAGCAGTTTCCGCAGAAGTAACAAAGCGATCTTGAAGATGCTGTCGCACAATCTGACGATCCTGACGTCGGATGGTGACTTTTGGTCTTCCAGTACGTGGTCGGTCATCTGTAGTGTTGGTGGTCTGGTACCGTTGCTGGAGCCTGTATATAGTCCTTACGTAAACTTGAAATGCAATGGCTACTTGCCGGGCGGTTTGTCCAGCTTGCAATCGTCCAAGGGCTTAGTGTCGGTGATTTCTTGTCAATCTTGGCATGTGGTAGCAATTCAATAACGAATGAATGTTATCCGATCTGGGTGATTTTATAGGGTAAGAAATGGGGGAACGCATGTGCATTTCAGTTTGCACGTGCATCGGGTTACCATGGCTGTTGCCGTGATGCCTTTGGGCGATCGGTTTTATTGTCATCTGCTTTTTATCATCAAATTTCATTTTTCCGGACAAGATAATGTTAAATTTTAGAAACTATATATATATATAATTTTATATAGAAAGTATATATACTGTTTAACTTAATATATATATTTCTAAATACAAATACATTCCCTCTACAACATTCTACTCTGTAATAAAAAACAATAAAAATTGGAATTTAAATCTCTGAAAGGGGGAATTGTGTGAGTTGGGTGGTGGTGGGTGGTTTTTGTGGGTGGAGGTGGAAATCAAGTCTCACAATGGTTTCTATAATTGTAATGATAATGTGCCGTGAACGTTGGCACATATTGTGGCCAGCGACAATATATGCCCAGCGACGATAAATGTCGTAACAGGCGGGCCCAGATCATCGACGGAATGTACGGCTAGTCACGGCACCCGCTACGGCCGCTGCCTCCTCAACGTCTTTCAGTGTATGTGCAAGTGACAAAGCGAGTCTCCAAACCCGGAACATATGGACCACTCGGTCCCGGTGTGCGTTCTGTCACGTGATTGCCATTAATTGTATCTTTTCGACTTAAATTCCCCCATTAACATAAACCATTGCTGGTTTCGTTTAAACTTCACCCCTGCGGGGTTTTCTTCAAAAATCACCCTGAGCTACCATCCGACATATTCCCGAGGCGAGAGTTAACAGACTATAAAAGTCCAGTTTCCACGCAAGGGTGGAAACTGGACTTTTATAGTCTGTTAACTCTCTTGCCTTTGCAGATTCGACAAGTTCATTTTCACAGGAAAATGTAAACCTACATAGTGAACCAAAGTGTGAACCTACATACGTCCGTGTTTCAAACATAGGGAGAAGTAAACGTTGTACATCTGAAGACAATATCCACTGTAGCTCCTGTGCCAGTCTCGCTCTTACTTTTAATTGTTATGTTAAATTTCTAATCGACACATTTCAAATGTCAACCAATCGTCTACATATATAGTAATCAGGCTTTAATTTCAGTCAAATGTACCGCTGTGAAACACTCTGTGGCACGATGACTCTAGTACTTGTTTCATACGAGAACAAAATGTCTAAGATTGTATAGCAATAGGAAACTCTTTGATGATAAAGGGTCGTATTTCATTGTCTATCGATTAGAATGTATATCACTGTTATAATCATTAGGTCAACATCATTCACATGTAGGGGGCGTCCCGTATGGATGCAAGACAAGTCGGGCTTTCCTCTCACATTAAGCTGACATGACACGATGTATATGAAACTCATTTAAAATCGGTATGTACGAAAAACTCACTCACACATCTTACATGGGTACGGGTTGACATTAAACGTAACATAATGACCAAAGAGAATATATCGCCTGCAGGCAGCAGGACATATTTCTCTTATCCAGACTTATTGTTTGCATTGTACAAGTCACTGAAACTGTAAACACCCCTTTTATGACCCCTTATAAAGAGGTCGCCTCATCGCGGCGATTACATATTGGCTTTTCTAATTCGTTTTTGTTCTGTCTTTGTTGCATTGTTATAGATCGTTAATACAGAAGCAACAGAGAGCACGCATCCTTCGGCTGTATATACAAGAAATGGTTCTTGTTAAGAGTATCTTTTTTGTGTCATGTATAGATTTTTAATACTAATAATAAAAAACTATGACTAATATATAACCAACCAACACAACAACACACGACCTATTACACAACCAGAAAATATTTTATATAATCAGTCAACAATAGAATGCTTACAATTAATTATCAATTATTGGATTTATTATTTGTTTACAATCAGTTATAGACGTTCATATAAGAGCATCAGCTGAACATGATATAGAATTGTTACACAAGATATTACATTAGTCACGATACATATCCAAGGTACACAACGTAACACAGCAGTTTACAAGTGATTGAAGGTAGTATACCCGACACACTGTAACCAATACATTACCTGAGTGGGAATTGACAGAAGATATATACTAGCTCAGCCACAATACATATTCCAGAAGGTAAACAGTGTCATAATTGACACAATCTATTCACCGCAGTATTACAATGGGAATATCTAAGATATACACACAAGTATGACATTTTCAATTACCAAATAAACTTGCAGGTGGTAACATATTTGTCAAATTTTGTCCATTTTCCCATATTAATAATTCACCAAAACGAAGCATTTCAGTGTTGATTGAACATTATCAGAAACCAAACGTGACCAACTTGCCTACAGCATGTGAGTAGGTGAGTGTGTGTGCCTGTTTAATCACAACGTACCAGCCTGACATTCTGTCACTTTGTAGAGTTAAGATATAAATATACTCTTCTCAGTGCACACAGTTCTTAGCCTATGCATAAATTATGTGGTTGGTTTTGCACAATTGGTATTCACATAGCGGCATCAAACTAAATGTCACAATCTATCTACAGTAACACTTCTATTTATCAGTCACTTTTACTCCCTAATTTTACCATCGCGATATTGATGCAATGTAAAATTTTAGCTCACTTATAATTACTCTCTTCTTATTCATTGCAGTTTATATGTTTCGCCCTCCAAAGGCAAAAAACTGTCATGCTACTCGATAGAACATTCAAGCCGACATGAATAAGGGGATGTTGTTTATAGCAACAGTCCGCTTGTAATGGCGACCTGTAAATTAATCTGGCAGAAAATAGATCAAGGCAGGTAACAAGTCAAGGCCACCCGATCATAGCAATCGCTTCATTTGGTCTTTACAATATTTGCATATACGATTTCGTAAAGGTGTTACAGCTCCAGTAAATCTACCAACCTCTACTTCTAATGCCCAATTTAAAATTCCACATATACAAAGAGCAATGGTATCCTAATAATATAAGCATTGCTGCATGTCAACACTGCATACCTAGTAACTGATTGTGTTTTGAATACAGTGATTAGAGAAGTCGTCCACACACGACGTCGTGTAAACAAAGTAGATCGGGTTGTCCAAATGAACAATGCCACCAGCAAAACAAGGTTAGGGCCTCACGTACATGTGCTCAGCAAGAGGCAATACAACCGCTCGATCGAGACATGTTGATATATATATGTGTGTGTTTTTGTTTGTTGAATTAGGTCCGGTATTGCCGATACCTCCAGGCGACAGAGGACCACATCAACTGTTAATGTGAGAGACTTACCTTGCAACATGCAAACAGTAAGTATCTAGATTTTTAATCCATGCATAAAATACACCGAGCAGCGTTTATAGAGATTATGGTCTTGTTTAACTAAATAAGTTAAAATAATTATCCAGTATGACATAACCAGCAGTCAATTATGATTGATTAGACAATAATTTAGCAGTGCATTGTCCGATCATGATAACAATGTTTTGAATCCTTGAGTTTTGCGTAATACAATAGGCTATACTCCACGGAGATGGAGATTTCACATTTTCATTTTCTTTGCAATTTGTTTTATGAAACGCTAAGGTAGCTAATGGAGCGAAGATGGGCCCAGTTTGACGAAAATCCGATATCACTTTGTTATTACTTATGTTGGGTTGTTTTGATGGTATTAATAAAAAAACAAAGGCTGCGATCATGCATTCTTTAACCCATTTGCAAATACGTCACATCCTCATCAATGCCATGTCCCTCATTAATAGAAACTGTTGCATCCAAGGTTACACGTATGACATCTCACAGTTGCGGATACTGATTCTTCAACCTTTAAACTATAACTCCTTTCTGCATAACGTTCACCTGCATATCTTTGCAACTGCTAGGTCGCGATCGTGAAACAGGAAAGCAACAACAACCACTGTCAATTGAAGAAAATACATGTAGTGGAGCAATGCAAACCTAATAATAAGTGATAATGTGTCTGATTTGTGAAATTTGTTTTTTTCGTTTGCGTAAGCCTTTTTGACTTCTCATGAAAACTTGAGATCATGACTAATCTATCCTAATGTTTATTTTCAGCAGGGCTTCTTTGTGTCTGCGGTCATAACTATCCTAACAGGTAAACCTCATTTATCTCATTTCGATACAAAATCTTGACAGCGCCTTTTTATTTACTTTATGATAATGTGACATTGGGCTAATTGTAATCACTATTTTGCAGGTGGAACATTGGCCCAGAATGGGTGCAACATTAAATGTGCAGACTGCATCAGAAGTCGTTGTAGAGAGTGCTACTATGGGTTCTGGGGCTCCGACTGTACACACAACTGTGTGAACTGCTGGCTTGGAGGGTGCAACAAACACACGGGCAAATGTGTCCAGTGTAGCCCTGGGCGGTATTCTACTGACTGCAGTAAGCTGTGTCCCAACAACTGTAGATATTCAAGCCACGACAAGGTCACACACTGTGGGCGTTCTGAAGGCAGGTGTTTGGAGGGGTGTAAAGAAGGTTGGTGGGGGACGACATGCGGAATGCCGTGCAGTACAGGGTGTAAGTCTGCTTGTTATCAGGCAGACGGGGACTGTATTTCGGATTGTAGACCCGGCTGGTATAGTATGCGGTGTGACACACAGTGTTCTATGGGCTGCTTGTCAGGCACATGTGACTGGTTAACTGGCGTCTGTGTTGGCGATTGTAAGAACGGTTATGATGGACCAAACTGTGAGGACATATGCAGCAAAAACTGTCAATCTACATGTCAATATGACGAAACATCTGACGGACTGTACTGCTCTGCTGGCTGTCGTGATGGGTGGACATCACTCTACTGTAATGAAACATGTGGGAGTAGATGTCACGTGTGTCCTCAACACAGTGGAAGCTGCACAACATGTAAGACTGGATATTATGGCAGATTTTGTCAGCTGACATGCCCTGAGAAATGCAAAGCCTGTGATCAGATATCCGGCCTGTGTACAGAATGCATTGAAGGAAAAGTATGTGACAAAGATGCCAGGTCTTACGAAGAAGCGGGGTACGATGGAAACAGTCCAGAAGAAAACGATATAGAGGAATCCTACAATTCTGCAGAGGGTAAGTTTCTGAGACAAAAATGTATCTAATTCATAGTAACATAGGATATTTACTATTTCAAGAACATATATAATTCATGCTTGTATACCAACTGTTTTTGTATACTTTCAGGGCACCAAGACGATTCACGAAGATTGTTTACTGGATTGATTCTGCTCTTTACATTTTGGACAAAATATCGTTAAGCCCATCAGTGATTTATGTTTTTGTGTGAGAAGTACGAATCAACCAATTCAGAAGGACGAATATCAACGTCGTGCATATCTTGAAATATTAATACCCTTACAGGCTTAATATTAAGATAACTGGAATGTGTTGAGTATTTGTAAGTGGTAATTGTGCCTTTCACGTAACATTGATGTTGGAGGAAAGCCCGAAGATGTGCATGTCTTACAAATTCACCACTTTGGTAAAACCAGTGATCACGGGCAGGTACAGACCAACCGAAAACTAAAATCATGGCAATTGTGGGATTTGAACTTCTGTCTTCCCCAAGGGACGTAACTCTGCACAACGAATTCCGAACCGCCTTCGCGGATTGTAACAGGAAGTGACGTATAGCTGGAGGCTTGCGATATCCTTCTATAACAGCTTCATGAAAATTTGGGGATGGACCCTTTAGAAAAGATGTAGGCATCTCTACGGGCACCAACTGCTCTCCCCTCTTTGCTGATCTGTTTCTTCATCAGTATGAATAGGAATTTCTGCTCGGATTGGCAAAAATAAAAACAAGGCAATTTGGCCAAGAACTTAACGTAAGCTTTATATCTATGAGCTGATATCGTTCAATGGTAACCAAGTGTCTCCCAAGCAGGTATTGAAACCAGATCATATTTATATTTGCTTGTGTTTTTAAGCACTGTATTTATTATTTATTACAATTCCTGATTTGAAATAAATATTTGCCTAACTGTACAGGTATGTTCTAACAAGCTTGTGTGCTCAAATGTTATAAGAAGATGTTTACTGCTTTTGATTGGCGCTAGTGGCAAAGGGCTGTATGTAGTTGTATTTGTCAACAACGAGGCCTCTTTATATGTGTGGAAATATTACAAATATACTAGTATTGTATGCATTCCTGTTGAATTTCATTATTTGGAGATGTATTTGAAAAAAACACCACATATTGATCTGTATTTGTTATAATCATCAGAGTATCCTTTCATTGCCTATTGCTTGATGTTTCACGCTATACCTTGATGCGATGACTTGCTTTGTACAGTACGGTTCCTTAACTCACACCAACCATTAGCTCAAAATTGGAAACTTATTCCCAGATATAACATTACTTGAATAATTAACTTACATATCATAACAGATTATGTGCCTGTCGTAAAAGGCGACCAACGGGATCGGGCGGTCAGGCTCGCTGACTTGGTGGATGCATGTCATCGATCCCAATTGCGTGGATCGATGCTCATGACATTAATCACTGGATTGTCTGGTCCATACTCGGTTATTTACAGACCGCCGTCATATTGCTAAGTGCGGCGTTAAAAAACCAACCAACCAACCAACCATTACAGATTAGGGTTGGATCAATGCACGTGAGTTCCATGCAAATTGAAATGCACGTGCGCTCCCCCATTTCTTGCCCTATAAAAATCCACAAAGAGCGGATAACATTCATTCGTTATTGAATTGCTACCACATGCCAAGATTGACAAGAAACCAGCGACACCAAGCCCTTGGATGATTGCAAGCTGGACAAATTTTCCGGCAAGTAGCCAATGCATGTCAAGTCCACGTAAGGACCATATACAGGCTCCAGCAACGGTACCAGACCACCAACACTACAGATGACCGACCACGTAGTGGAAGAACAAGGGTCACCACCTTGACAGAAGGACTGTGTGCAGAAACGCAACGGTAAAACGAACATGAAATGGACATGAAAATGTTGTGTTTCACGTGCAAGATGAACTTTAGATGTCACGTCACTGTGGTTTTCAGTTATAGTTGTGCTAAAGTTGTCAGGTGGAAACATGTGCTTAAAGCTTCGTCCCAATACTTGAATTTAGAATAGAAACGTTGTTACAAAACAACATAGTAACTGAGTTCACATATAAAAGTGAACTTATCCACAATTAGTGGAGAAACTGTGTTCATTATAGAAAATAGTGTAATTGATTAGATACATTAAAAGTATGAATAGTTTCAATAGTTTATTGTTTTGAATTTAGGGGTTCTTCACTCCACCACCCGACGTCAGAATCGTCAGCATCTTCAAGATCGCTTTGTTACTTCTGCGGAAACTGCTCGACAGACCATGGGGACCCAACACCGACACATTAGTGCGGACACCGTGCGTCGACGATTGACGAGCAGACACCTCCACTGTCACAGGCCACACCGAGGACCCATTCTGACACCACGTCATCGCCGGGACCGTCTTCAGTGGGCAACCAGAACATCGGTCCAGGGAATGGCAATGGTGTCACAGCAACTCGGTACATTGATCATGTCTTGAGACCACACGCCATACCTCATTTGGCAAGTCGCCGCAACCAAGAATTTCAGCATGATAATGCCCGTGCCCGCACTGCGAGAGCAACAGGAGACATCCTCCAGGAGAATGGCATCAGAACCATGCAATGGCCTGCCCTCAATCCCGATTTAAATCCCATTGAGCACATGTGGGACGAGATTCAAAGACGACTGAATGACGTCCGATCAAGGCCGACAACTGCAGCTGAACTGCATCAGACGTTCCTCAGAGTGTGGGCTCAAGTGCCTGTGGCCTTCATCAACCGTATCGACGTATCGACGTTGCACGGCAGTCATCAAGGCACATGGCGGACACACGAGATACTGACTTGTAATGCCATTTATCAGAGACTAGTGTTGTGTTTCGCTTTAAGAACATTTGACACTTAAATTTCAACCTTGATGAGCAGTTTTGCCAAGTTTCATCTTTTTAATATGTTTCAAAGTATGTTTACAGTGTTTGGACAAATAAGGTTCTCATATATCTATCCATGGTGACGTTTCTTTTGCGGTTCAGTATACTTTCTATTCTCAAATTTAGCCAAGATGGTCTTTTTTGTTACTGTTTAAGATAGCGCCACACATATATGACTGGACCCGCACAGTTACACGTTCCAATCATCTGCTCACCAGTCTGGAGCAAAGAGGTCAGTCTGTCCTACTGTTGCAGGAGATGACGATGGTCAACACCTGGATAATTACATGGACAATGTCATTATTTCCTGATAACGGAAGTAGTCTTAAATTATTGTATCGACAAAGATTAGTAACTATATAACTCAGAGGTCTTAAGCCAGTAGACGAAGAGAAATGTTTAATCCTCATCTACAACTTCGACACAGACACAGATATGTTTTGCCTCGGTTTCTCTATGCAAATTATCCCCGACCAGACATTCAAGTCACTAAAACGTGTGCACAGTTAACTGCCTTCTTCATTCAGAAACAAATCAATTTTAGTAGATCCTTATTTACAGGAAGCAGCAAGTGAAATCGCGTCAGTGTTATTTCCGTTTTGCCTGATATTGAAATCGCAGGTGTTGATTCGAAGACACATGTAAGTATGAGCATGCTTGTCGATGTTTCATATAAACTATTAAACAGAGTATAACCAATGATAACATGAACAATACAATACAATAGTGTCAAAACAACTGTTGAAATAACATGTATATGTATATGTTGTATATGATATTTTAGGGCATCCAGAATGACAACACAACCTTACCTTCTGCTGCAACTGTTGTGTTTGCGTGTTCTGGTCAACGGAATGACAGGTAAGGTCGGTTGCCGACTGATATGGCGACTCAACACTCTTAACAAACACATGTGCTTAGATAATATACAGTACTAAAAGAGCATCTTCCGTAACAACGTTGCTACTTGTACCTGTATCGTCATTGTCATGTTAAAGTATGTATGTAACCCGAAGAATTGTATGTTATTCTACATAATAAGCCTTCAGTCATAGTATCGACTTAATTTCCTCATTCCCGGGCATGGACTTGAGCGTATAACACTTTTAATTAAAGAAAACCTTGTACACTTGTTATATGTGTTTCTTTCAGATGCACCGACTCCTAAGCCATTGTGTACAAGATCTCAATGCAAAGGAGATGTTTGTGCGGAGGACATGTGCCCCTTGGGGTGCAAGGATGGATATTATGGCAGGCACTGTGGATACAGATGTAGTAACGGGTGTATCAGTAAGAGATGTTCCGACTCTGGATTCGGTACAGGAAGCTGCACTGATGGCTGTATCTCAGGATATTGGGGAAGTACTTGTAGCTTCGAATGCCCAGCTGATTGTATACACTGTTCAGTCAAGACATGTAGCAAATGTAGAGCCTTTCTTTTTGGGCCATTCTGTAGTTCAAACTGTAGAGAATTATGTCCAAGTAAAGGATGCAACATGGATGGTACATGCAGGGATGATGAGCAATCCATTGCCTGCAATAATGGAAACTTTGGGTCTAAATGCCAGTTTGGTTGCAACGAAAACTGTGCCTTTCATGCTTGCAATCGTTCCTCTGGTGTTTGTCTGCATGGTTGTGAAACAGGACATTTTGGGGCAACGTGCGAATTCCGATGTAATACCAACTGTAAAGACGCATTATGTGATTTCCAAGGCAGGTGTCTAGCAGGCTGCAAGGCGGGGCGCTATGGGCGTGATTGTGATGAGCAGTGCAGTGGGCACTGTCGTCAACGTATCTGCGACCCGGAAACAGGTTACTGTATCAACGGCTGCCATGACGGGCACTACGGCTTTCACTGCAACACGTCATGTTTGGGGGATTGCTCTTACTGCAACCGAGAGAATGGACTATGCCTCGAAGATGAAATGCAACCAGGTAGTGTTTAAACGTAATACATATTAAAAACAGTTCATATCATGTAGATGACAAGGACTGCATATTACCTTTAATGTTGTTGCAGTGTTGCTAGTGTTTTTTTTAAAAGTTTTAACCATGTCTTAACCTAAGTACTAAACAACAATTACTTAGTGAGAACATACACTATTGACTGGGACAAGTGAGCTCTCTTAATCAATGAATTCAACTTGCGTAATAATTGCTGTTCATATATAAAGTTAGTTCCCAATTTCCCCTACCCCTTGATATAACTGGGATACAGCTTTACATCTTGTAATCCATTCCTATGATCTAGATATTGCACATGAGGTATCCCTGGCAGGTGGGAGCCGAAACTATATATAGATATATATTTTCAAAGAGTAATGCTAGCCACGTGTGTGTATAAAGCTATTTCGATTCTGTTACATCAGATTGTTTCTGAGAAAGGGTTAGTGAACTGGCATTTTTTGTTTGTGGGATTCCGAAATACCTGTGCCTTTCGTTGGAGCTGATTGAGAATTGTACAGACTGTGTGACTCGGCTGGCTGAGCATCATCTTGCCCCGGTAGTATTGATCTTTCCGCATGCTTTCAGTCACTGGTTTGTGTGGCCCAGATTCAATTAATTGCCGGTCCCCGTGATACAGCTGGAATATTTCTGACTGGGACGTTAAACCACATGAATGACGATTAACATTTCTGTTTGTAGAAACAACGCTGATTTCCACTGAAGAAAACACCCAGACGACACCGTCAGTAAACTATGTCATAGGATCTGTTGTGTTCCTGCTGGTTTGTGGAACAGTCGCTGTCCTGATAACAAGGTACCTCACACAGCAGTGGTTTTGTGTCCACAATTTCCATGCTTTGTGTTTGACACAATTTGTGTTTTCTTGATCGGATCTCATTTGATCTATCTTTTTTATTTTCAGATCATGTAAGTCATCGTTAAAAAGGAAGGACAGGCGTTTGCTGAGCCCCCAAGACAGACAACTGCCAGAAGTACCGGTGTCTGCAAATGCCTATGATGACATCAACGAAGACGACATTGATGCAAGTGATCGAGTCACTGCAGGTACCAGGAACAACACATGCCAAGCACGTGGTCATCGTCCTCTTGCTCATGTAACGATGTGTCACACTACATGGTCCAGAAAGGACAAGACTGGGCATTTGCATGTGTTCAAACCATTCCCACAGAGGGCTAGGTCCTTGCCAGTATTCACCACTGATGTACTTGGCTGCAAATGGAACAAGTCGGATGGTTCTTGGACGGAATATACTGGGCTTCAGGCGAGATATGGGAATCTACATACAAAGACATTGCCTGAACGAGATGACCGAGCCAACTTGGAGGGAAATAGTTGCCTGGTTGATAACGTAGCGTATGAAAGTAACAATAGTGCTACATGTACTCCAGCAGGCCCGCGAGGATACCTATCTCCTGTAGCCAGTGATTCATGTCTAGATTACACTGACGTTTAGACATTGCACAACAAACATAGCTGGCGTCAGAGGTCACGTAAACTTTCAATCCCTTATAAGAACAACTCGATTGCATAGTTTATTGTGTAGTCAAATAAATTTAAATTGTTAGAATATTAGCTATTTCAAAATATGCACGAGCATGTCTACTGAGCATATGAGATATTTTTCTAACTGACTTCTTAGACATTTTTAAAGTTGAGAATATTGAATTAAATAGTTTGTGGTCTTGCATGGCGTGCATGGTTTATATACCTATCGAGGAGTCACGTTGTTAGTAGGACTAAAGATTGCACATCGAATGCTGTAGCTAACGCTGAATGGTTTATGAATGACTCATTCTCAGAAATGTGATTGTATGTATTTGTTTTGACTTGTTTTTACGCTAAGCTTAAATATTTGTTCAATGTGTATTGATCAAATATCGATTGTATCAAATGATTTTGATGTCACTCGACATTGCCGCGATTAAGAAAAATAGCTTACGTTTGTACATGTCACTGTAAAGCGATGGGTATTTTGTATCCTTTATTTTGTTTTTTATTGAGGCGGTTATCATTTATAATGTTTGAGCCTCTGAGCACTGATATAAACAATGTTAATATATACTCGTGTGCAAGATCCTGATTCTCTCTTTCAAATTTGAAATGGTAATTATTGCACCAAGCATACAGTCCGCTTGTATGTGGGTGTTGAGTAACTACACCACAAGGTACATGGCAATGTTAATGAGGAAGTGGGAACACCAGTTGTAATGCAATAACGGGAGGGAACTCGTGCAGTCTTATCGTGTTCACTGTGGGTGCGATGCAGGGTAGCCTACGTATACCTAAACGGTCAGATAACATGATACAATAACGACAAACAATCAACTGATATTAACATTCCGACTTCACCATCACTTTTTTCAACTAGAGATTTGAGATAGCTAACTACAATCTTTATTTATAATCATTTTACAGCTGTACATTTGCTGGTGTTCTTATCGTCATATATTTGCATATTCCTTGTGACACATACACTGCACACACATGGAAAGTTGTCATTGCTTATAAACGCTGGATCTAAATAATCCAGAGACATAAATATGTGAACGTCCAGTTGTGAGCATGACAGCACGTTGTGTTGTAAATCACTGAAATAAAAGTATTATTTGCTTCCAGATGTGTTCTTGTTTTTAGATGTATATATCAATTACCGGATACGCCCACGTTTTGATATCTATACCGAAACACTTTAAAAACAGATGTTGCTATTGGAACACACATCCTCTGGTCTCCTGACTGATACAGTGGCAAATTCAAATCTGGATTACAATAAGGGTGCATCAAAACCTTTCGCAGTCTTTCTGTGCACTGTGGCTTAATATCATCCTGAAGCGGTATGTCGATTTTGTGATATTTCATGCAGTGAAAATCTGTTTCATGGAATATATATGAATAATAGTACTGCTTGGCCTTAAATCAAACGACATAGACATAGGCCCCTACCCCGGCCACTCGGCCACTCAGCCGCCCGGGCACCTGCAGAAATATCTAGGTCAGTGCAAGGCTCATATTGCACGATATAACGTTCTACATGAGTGGTCGGCTGTCAGTCGATAACTGCGCTGGTTGAATATGAGAATCCGGTAAGACTATTCAGTTCTTATCCTCCGTTTAATATGTAATCATTTTGAAACTACGTACTGAAATTATTCTAAAAGCATTGAATGGTTTACAAATATTAATACCTGTAGATCTTCATATGACGTACATTTCTGTTATCTGGAATATTTGTTGTACCTGTTTATATGTGTACAATGTATATTAATATTTATGCTTTTCTTGTTTCGGAAGACAGTGATTCGATTCCCCACATGGTAACAATTTTCTGGGGCACTTTCTGGTGTCTCCCGAAGTGATATTCCTTGAAGCGGCATAAAACCACACTCATGCACTCTTGGTTCAGATACAGCTCTAAACCTATGGTGGTATATCTGTCGGAGGAAGCAGCTTGAGAAACCTGGGGTATGTGCGAGTTTCGAAAATGACATGTGATTAGCGTGAACAAGAAAATGTAAATTATTCGTTCTTGTATTTCGCATATGCTATATAAGTGAGGTTAAGTCATGTAGCAAGTGTCTCCGCTAATTAATGACTTCAATTACAAATGCTGTGATGATATGCTATCCGATGTCTGTCTGTACTTGCAGAACGAGCCAGACCTTTGTGTCACAAGATGTATAAGGTAGGTACAGGTCTGTCAAACAGAGCCATTGCACTGGCAAACAATCTCACATTGCAGAAGAGCGCGCAGCCATGTGCTTTCCCACCTTAGTTCTGTCAACATGGCAGTTGCTGGGGACGTGAAGTAGATTATAGTTATGCCCCTTTACCGAATGCTTAATAGTTTGGTGTTTGCTCTCAGTTGTTAACTGAGGTAACTGTAAGACGTGTTTAGTGTATTGAAGTTACGTTTAAGAGAAGCACCCTTTTATTGTATATCAATGTCTAAGTAACATGTTTTATTGGCCTGTTTACTTGCGTTGGTCACTGCTATGTTATGAGTGAGTGAGTGAGTATGCTTTTAGCAATATTCCAGCAATATCACGGCGGGGGACACCAGGAATCGGGAATCGAACCCGGGGCTTCGGCGTGACGAAAGGTCCGAAAAGATTACCCGGCCGCCCCTGCTGTGTTATGGTTTGAAATATATGTATCATGTTGTTGATCACAAATATTAATTGTATTTTTGTATAATAAAATATCAATGATTGTACGTGACTTATTCCTCATTAAACCGGAATTCACTTCCAAACATGCCCACGGTTTCCTTCCCTTCTAGTGCATAGAATTGTGTGAATCAACGGACACACGATTCCAACAGTGACACCTTTAACTAGATTAGCGATTACATTCATGGCTTCTACTTCATGAAACTTTTTGTTATTTCAGAATACACCTGTCATTCCGGCCTGGGTGTTGATCATTCAGCTTGTCAGTTGTAAGTTGTTTTAGCCTTGACGCGGTTAAGTTGATCAAATAGCTATTTTGAGAGAGACTGAATACATAAAGGGACTAAATTGTTCCAGAACAACCTGAAAAAATAAATTGTTCGCTGCGTGTGCTGGATGGACCGGGAAAAATGAACTGTTCTCCTCCTTTCCTGTCTCTAAACAAATCCACCGCTTACCTCCCATACTATCACATGATAGGGCCCTACGTCCAGTATCAAAGAGTGAAAAACGTTAGACAATGGAAATAGTGTATGCAGAATATTGTACTTTTTTGTGTGTTCAACTCATGATGCATTTGGTTGAAGATGTATTTGGTATGATTTTTGCAGATCGAACCAGTGCGAACCTCTGCGATGACTCTAGATGTAGAGAGTGCTTGTATGGGTACTGGGGGCCCCAGTGTAACAACGACTGTACTAGCTGCTGGTTGGGGGGCTGCCATAAACACACTGGGCGCTGTCACCAATGTCTTCCTGGCTGGTATACCGAGGACTGTGACACACTCTGTCCCAGTACCTGTCGTCTTAGCTACGACAGCGTGAGAAACTGTGACCGGAGCAGCGGCAAGTGTCTGGAAGGATGCAGAGAGGGATGGTGGGGGGCCACCTGTAACATGACGTGCAGTCCAGGATGTAAGAGCAAGGCTTGCTACCAGGAGGACGGTGTCTGCATATCGGATTGCCTGGAAGGGTGGCGTGGACCTAAATGTGACTGCTCGGACACCTATAACTGCCGGAATGGTAGGTGCTTGTCCGGTCGTTGTACTGGTGGCTGTAAGGACGGTTGGACTGGCGAGACATGTACATATAAATGCAGCTTAAACTGCCTGACATGCCACCAGTCCACAACTCAATGTTCCAGTTGCAAAGAAGGTCTGTATGGTCCCGACTGCATGTCCGAGTGTACAACGAACTGCGTGGACAACAAATGTAGCATGGCAGGACACTGTATTAATGGCTGCATCAGTGGATTCCACGGCAGTAAATGCGAGACAGCGTGTCCCTACAGATGCCGTGACTGTGACCAAGATACGGGCAACTGCAAGACTTGCTATACTGGATGGACGGGACTCCAATGCAAAGGAATTGTCTCTGGCAGTTTGACAATAGACCAGTCTGTCACTGATACAACCAACCAACCATATAAACAAGGTCAGCACATTGTCTAAGGCATGTTTCTTGTTAATCTGACCTGAAAAAGTGTATGCTTATCTCAGTATGGAATAACGTGTTGTTGTGTTTAGTTCTTTAAAGTGAGTCTAGTATCTAAATCCATATTCTGTGACAATCTGGTAAACAAGAACTATTTGTCTAGATATATACTAGTCTTTGTTTTCTTGGGTCTGCAGATTCATCGAGTGGCTGTGCAGAGGTTAAACTAGCAACATGTGCCATGGTGTTGATGTCATCAGTTGTCTGCAAATGATACGAAGGGATAACGCCGTGGAACTTTGGACTTGTGACTATTGGCATTTGTATAAGATGTTATCTGCAACACGTAGGAAAAACAACTAGGAATCAAAAGACTGAGGAAGTTGATTGATTGAACTATAAACATGTCTGTAGAGATATGAATGAAGCGTTTTCATTTGCTGCATTTTATTCATGTAAAAATAATGCATTATATCTAAACAGAATACATTTCGCCGCTGTTAGGTTATTTCATGATCAACGTAAGTACTTATCTTTATTTCTGATTTGCCGTCTTATTTACAATTAAACGTCTCCGGTCCATGTTCGATGAAGGTATACATGTACGGTCTTGGTCACTTGCTTATTTGTAAAATATGTCCTTGAATATCCCCTTCCAATCAATTCAATTCAGTTCAATTTATTTACTGGAAAACCAAGAAAGGGCACATTCCGCTTTCTGAGATACATATTTGGCCATTCATAGATCATTTCTTAGGGAATGTCAATAGTTCGTTGCTGGAGAAGAGCTCCGGGGTAGAATAGGTCTTCAACAACCAATGCTTGCGGTAAAAGGCGACTATGTTTTTCGTTAGAGGCGACTAAGGCTCGGGTTGTCATGCTCGCTGACCTGGTTGATGCATGTCATCGTATTCCAGTTGGGTGGATCGATGCTCATGATGTCAATCACTGGACTCTCTGGTCCAGACACGGTTATTTACAGACCACCGTCATATGGTTGGAATATTGCCGAGTGCGGCGTTAAACAATAAGCAAACAATCAAAGATAGTGAAACTCAGCCCCAACAGCCGGAGAGTTACATAGTGTACACACTCGCTCCACTCTCGAAAGGTGGTTTCATAGGGCAACTTATGGTTATCAGCTCCAATTTGAGAACAGGATAGTATACATTTTGGGGCAATAAGAGATACGTTGCTAAAAATCAGGTTTCTTTAAGTTGTTTGTAGTACAAATGATCAACAATCTCTATGGGCTATTCACCTAACATGAATGAAGATTTTTGTGTTTTTAGCAGGCATACTTCCAAAAATAATTGCTTTGGTTTCCACAAAGTTCAGTATTCATGAAATGCATCAAGTGATTTTTGTAACTCAACTGGATCATCACTGAACACAACAGCGCCATCCTCCTCCTCCTCATCATCATCATATAACGATAATATATACTGTAGTCAGAGCAGTATGTCATTGCCTTCCTTATATTCTTCATTCACAACTGATGCATTCTTGTTTGAGTGATTTTTACCTTGAGTTCGTTGCAATTTTATTATGTTTAGCATTATTTTTGGCACTATGATTTGTCTTTTTGTTCAAACAGTTAATTGTTGGGGGTGATTATTAGCAGCTTCGGATATAATATTATGCAAACAAGTTTTTGTTGAAATATATTATTTTGGATGAGTTTAACTTTACAAATTGTAACATCCGGGATGATATGATGGGCTAAATTATCAACACATCATCATAATATACTTGATTTTCATCCTTATTACAAGCATTATCATAAGGAATATGTGGTTGCAAAAATGTGAAATGTATCTTTGTAATGTTTCAATACAGGTATACAGAAACCATGTCCTTCTTAGTAGTTATTCCTTATGAAGAATGATACATATGCACATAAATAGACATAAACCCACTGGGAAAGGTGTCCCATTCATATATATTTCAAATAGTATTAATTTTTATATTGATCATTGAAGTTGAAGCAGTATCACAAGGTTTGTGGTTTTATGCATCCCGCGGTTTATGCGTCGTGGTTTTGAACCACGAGGCGGAGCCTGTTTTCTTTGTGGCGGGGTATAAAAGGTATATTCTTCAGCTCAGAAATGTATTTCACGAACAGGCGGGTTACGTAGTATGTTATGCTGACATAGATTACATGCTGTCATGCAGGTAAGATAACAGCATTTACATGGCATGCCCTTGACGTTTGATATAAACGCACAGCCCTCACACATACAATAACAATGGCTTAACAATGCCTTGAAAGCAACCGATATATTAATAGTCTTCACAAGCTACCCCCTACCTGTGATTTCGTGGAAAGGCCCAAACACGCAATACAAACAACTTCTTTGATAGGCATTTAGAAGTTGGAGTACTAAGTAAGGATAAGAAGTGATATATAGAGTGTTGTTGTTGCATTAAGTGTTTAAGAAGTCGCCTTCTGCTTTAGCAATTTCGGCTGACCTGTCCCTCTTTGGGACTCCTGTGTGTTTGTTTATGTTGTTTGTTGTTTAACGCCGCACTCAGCAATATTCCAGCTATACGACGGCGGTCTGTAAAATAATCTGGACCAGACAATCCAGTGATTGACATCATGAGCATCGACCCACGCAATTGGGATCGATGGCATGTATCAACCAAGTCAGCGAGCCTGACCACCCGATCCCGTTAGTCGCCTTTTACAAGCATAGTCGCCTTTTACGGCAAGTATGGGTTGCTGAAGACCTTTTCTACCCCGGAATCTTCACGGGTCACTCCCGTGTGTGAGTAGGGTACACATATCTATTGTGAGTTTGGTATTCACATATTTTCTCTTTTTGTATTGAAATGATTTCCAGTTGTTTTTATATTGATATGATTTCATTTTTATCCTTGGCTGCTCTGTTTATATACGTTCGAGTAGCTGTCCATCTCTCAGAAATAGAGTTAGTTTGGCCTTCGCTATTGCATCTCATGGCTTGAGGCGATTTATGACAGATAGCGGATCTAACTGCAATTCTTGTTTTAACCGAGCCCGGGCTGGGGCGTGGTCTTGACATTCTAGTAACACGTGAGCAATGGTTTCAGCCTGATTGCAAGATGAACAAACCTTGTCATAGTGCTTTTTGTGATCGAGTCTGAGGCGTGAGATGGCAATTTCAATTTTTCATTTGAGTATGAGTTTGGCTTTTGTTGGACCTTGGGTTGCCGATCTTACTTGCGTCCCACTGAGTTTGCCATCTTTCTGCTTTCTAGGCTTTGATTTTGCTTTTTATCTCTAGTTTGCTAAAGGGAATAGGCTGTATATCTGCTTTGTCTAGAGCTAGCTTTGCCAGTGAGTCTGCTTTTTTATTTCCATGAATATCTATGTGAGAGGGGATCCAACACAGCCCCACCTGTTGTCCTTGGTCCGATAGTTTTGTATGTTCGTATAGAATATTGTTGACTGTATTTGGCCTGGATTTTGATTTTTGCCACTGATGGCTTGAAGTGCACTTAGCGAGTCTGATAGGACGACTGTCTTTGCTTCCGGAAATTCCGGTATGGGTTTGAGTGCATGATGAATTGCCTCCAATTCAGCCGTGAATACTATCTTTTAATGGTATCCCTAGTCAAAAATTAACTAAGATATTACAATTCATCTATCAAAGTCTACGAGTGCGTAGTAAATTACTTAGTGAATCCGATATGTCCAGAAAAAAATAGTTGTTTTGAAACTTTCGCATCTACATCAGGAGTATCTACATTTCGTTTTTGTCTGTTTGTTTCTACTAGAAATGCATATACATTTAAATTGTCAAATTTTCATGACATGATGAGTATATTACTGATAGATTATTTTGTACTGAACGTCGTGCTATGCTATTCCATTCCTTTTGTATTTTATACTACTACTGCCACTGTGGTTATTTCCACTGTTATTACAATACCTCTAATACATGTCAAGCATCATATTAGTTATCCAATAATTATATAATAAGCTGTACAGCTGTAAACGATATTGTTTATCTGTATGTGTATATGGGCCAATGGCCTTTCATACAATAAAGATTGATTGATTGACTGACCATCAGGCAAGCGAACTGAATGTGCTTGGGGTTTGGAGCTCTGGATGTGGATCCCGTAACCAGCACTGTTGTTGATAGAATTCTTGGATCCATCAGTGTATATATGGGCCCAGCTGTCCCAGGTAGTTTGAATTTTAGTGATAGCTACTGATCGTAGTAGGGTTGGGTTTTCTTTTTTAGTAACTTCTGATGTTAAAGCATTGACAGCTTAGGGAGTTTTTAAAAGTTCAGGGAGGGTGTAACCCTTTGTAGTGACTTTCAGGAGGCTGAATGTCATCACAATTGTGACTTTGGATGAGTTCACGTACTAATATCCCAGATGGCTTTAGTAAGGGATCTTTTCGTGATAGGGCTTCATCTCGAGTGTTTTTGTCTTGCCATATCTTTTTAACCAAAGGGTTTGATGTTCGTCCCCAGAACGATAATATTGCCTGCTCTCTTCTTAGTTTCAATGGGGGACACGGGTGGCCCAGTCGTCTAAGGCGCCGCGATTCGCTGTGCAGAGTTGCGTCCCTTGGGCACGCTAGAAACCTATGATTGTGGGTTCGAATCCCGGTTCGCCCCGATTATGTTTCTAGGTTTGTCAGCACCATACCTGTGCTCGTGGGTTTCACCGAAGTGGTAAACGTCTGAGACCACAATCACTTCGGGCTTTCCTCCCACATTAAGCTGACACACCGTGATATAACTGGAATACTGTTAAAAGCGGCGTTAAACCCAACTCACTCACTCACTATTTCATTTTCCAATCTTAGAATATCTTTGCACGAATGTCCCTTCCTGAAACCACTTTGGTCAGGTTTGATGCGGTTGCCAGTTTCAAGGTGATGCATGAGCCTTTTCGTAACCATGGCTTTCACATGTGTGAGGTGAGTGAGATCGGTCGATAAGAGTTTGGCAGGGCTTCGTCTTTCCCTTGCTTTAGAAGCAGGATAACTGCAGCATGTTTCCATCCTTTTGGGACTTCTACTTTGGACCATACACGTAAAAGTAAGCTTTTGGTTTGATCAGGAAGTTTTTTCAATATCTCGTAACTGGTTGTGTCAACACCAGGTGCTGTGCCTTTTCTATGTTGTATATCATCATCAAACTCTGTAACAGTAAATGGTATATTGTATACCAGATGCTTGCTTTGCGGCTGTTTTGATATCTTAAGCATAAGCATTTTTTCCTGTTTGAATTCTTTGCTGCAATTTGTGTTGCTGCTGACAGATGAGAAGTGCTCGGCTAGAATGTTAGCCTGTTCTTTGACTGTATGGGCGTTGGCTAACTTGGGAATTTTTGTGGGTTTACGCTTTTCCCTGATTGCGTGTGTTTTGCTCCAGACTGTTTTAGGATTTGTTTTCTCATTTAGAGATTTGCAGAAGGTCTGCCATGACTCTTTTTTAGAATCGTCTATGAGCTGTCTTACTTTTGTCCTGGCTGCTCGGACTTGGGCGTAGGCTGATTTATCCCTTTTTTACCTATATAGGGCTTTCTTTCTCACTCTCCTAGCTTTTGCTATTTCCCTGTTTCATCGTGGTACCGTTGAGTTTTGCCAGTTTTTTGTTCTTTATTAGGAATTGATTTTTCAGCTGTGGCAGTAATTGGTATTTTCGATATTTATGGAGGTACAGCTGTCGTGGACAAGGGTGATAGTCCTCCTCCCTTGTTGCCAAGCATAAGTCTTTTTCATATACAGAGTGTGGTTGACAAGTATATATACAAGTAGGAGGCAATGTTTATACAGTGGAGTAGATATTGTTTTACTGGAATAGAGAAGCCTGTTATGTTTACAAAAGGGTAGTGATGACAATCATCGGCGAAGTCAGTGATAAAAACAAAGGATGAAGCCAGTAATAATAACAACGGAAAATGGCTGATTGGGGTCTTTGATGAGTTGATGGTACGCCGGGGGTATGTGATAGCCTTGGCCACGGTTGATTGACGGCTGGAGTCTTTTGATGTTGATGGCTACTTGTAGTTTCCGGATTTTGAAGTCTTTGAGGTTGGTGGTGCGGGCTGTGACTCTCTCCCACTGAATGCTGTTCATTCACAAAGTTGCTCATGCATAAATTCTTATCCTTACTTAATATACTGAGTCAAATTAAAAACTGCACATTTTTAAAAGAAATCCCATATATGATATAAAACGGACTAATGTATCAAAGAAGGTAATTTTAAATCATTAATGTCAAAAGAAGGATTTGAATTAACGGTGGTAACCATAATTTGTTCCAAGGTATTCGGCACGAGTCCCAAGCACGAGAATATGATGGCACAAAAGTTCAGTAGCGTGTATGGCCACCATGTGCGTTGACAACTACCACACAACGCCTCCGCATGGACCTTGTGATGCTTGTGAACACATGATTAGGAAGACGACGCCATTGTTGCTGCAAAATGGTGCCAAGATCTTGCAAATTATGTGGTTGGTCCTGGAGAGTGCGCAGACGTGTTCGATGGGATTGAGGTCGGGAGACCTTGACGGCCAGTCCATGACGTTGACTCCCGCATTCTGAAGGAAATCCCTTGTCAAAATTGCTGTCTGGCATTGTCGTATTGGAAGATCAAACCGGGTCCATGTGCTGCCATAAAAGGCAGAAGTTCTGGTACCAGCACCTTGTCGCGGTAAGCAGCGGCGTTGAGGTTGCCACGGATGACAAGAAGCCCGGAACGTGCATTGCCACAGAAACACCCAACACCATGACACTTCCGCCTCGAAATCTGTCAACTTCCTTTACACAACACTGGGCGTAACGTTCATGACGGCGCCTCCAAACCCTCGTCCTACCATCAACAAATCGAAGATTAAATCGGGATTCATCACTGAAGACGACTTGGTTCCTATTCCTCTGACTCCATCGTAAGTGTCGCTGTGCCCACAAATGACGTTGACATCTGTATAATTGAGTCAGAATCGGCCAGCAGTATGGCCGTCGTGCTTGAAGGTGAGCAGTTCTCAGATGGTTTCGAACAGTTTGCGCACTCAGTCTACCCCTAAACAGTTCATTTCTGGTTGATGTAGCCGTCAAAAATCGGTTACGGAGGTTACGTAAGACAATCTGACGATCCTCTGCATGTGATGTCACACGTGGTCGACCTGGCCGAGGTCGATCAGCGGTGGTACCCGTTTGCTGTAGACAGCAAACAGTCCGTCGACTACAACCAATCGTCTTTGCGACTTCAGCTACGGACGTTCCCGTGTGCAACATGCCTATGGCACGTTCACGTTGCACATTTGAAAGGCGTGGCATGACAAATGGCCGTAAAGACTTTTATTTTCTTGTTTTTTTTCTTATTTTGTTAATGACTGCTTACAAGTATGGCTGAAAACACGTGCGGTATTATGGCCACGTGACCAGTTGTACGTGAAAAAACACTTTTGCCACTATAGTGCTGTGCACATGATTTTGATCGATTCACCTGCACAAAAACGGGTGTTATCTGAAGACAATACGTGGCCATTACTTTTTAAATACACAATAAGGGCCCACAATGATAACTGGTCAAAATGTTAAAATTTTAGGATTGTGAAGTTTTTAATTTGGTTCAGTATACAAACAACCTTGTCTCAACTGACACAACAGTTTACCCTGTACTTACGCTGTCGTCCCAGTTTAGGAGCATTGTAACCAAATGCATGTTTATGTTTTATAATGCGTGCTTTTGATATCAATACGATTTAAATCTCTGTATAATTACTGAGAAGATTTATAGTTTTAAATCATACCATTTGATAAATGACATAGTTTTGAATTCGTTGAATAATATTGTCACACTTAGTCTTTAAATGACATAGATTGTCGCCTCCTGGAAGTTGTAAGGTTCGTGGAGGATGAATCCTGGTTTGGGCTGGTATACTCGCGAAGGGTGGACCCTCACATCGTGTCGGGGAACCTGAAAGAAACCCATTAGTGAGATGAGATTTTTTCAGTGTTCATTTGAGGTTAGGTCGATAAGAGTGCCATCACTTAGATACATTCAGGTATCCTCCTGGTTGCAGCAATTTACGTTAACGCCACTGGCGTTCCGCAGGTAATATCTGAGTGTGGTGGCAGTTACGAAGTGATGACGTCTTACTGCAATCAGGAGAAACCTGTCTTCCCGCTGTGTGTCGGGGAGCTGTCGACCACCTGCATGTCACTTGGTAGCTGATCCAAACGTCATCGATTCTATGCCCCGCTGATCACACTCTGGCTGACACCAAAGACGTTTGCTACGTGACGTTATGTTGACCCAATTTCAAGCATGCCTTTTCATTGGCTACTTCTTCGGTTGACAAACGACATCTTTGACGCCGAGGGGGCATAAGTGCATTCAGATGTTGCAATCCTCAGTTGCAAATGGTGTAGTGCTCTCTGATAATGATATGCAACGATTCGCCCACGACACATCCAAACACAGTCTTTCAAGCACCCCATGCACTTAGTCCCCATGACTGCATGCCCCTGTAAGTTCATCATGTAATTGGGGTCCTATGGGGGTTATCCAATCATTGTGTACCGGGATATTTCAATCTTCATTTGTTGGATGAATTTGTTGATATGTCAAGGCGGGCTATGTCAAGGCAGGCTATGTTAAGGCACGCTATGTCAAGGCGGGCTATGTCAAGGCAGGCTATGTCAAGGCTGGTTATGTCAAGGCAGGCTATGTCAAGGCAGGCTATGTCAAGGCTGGTTATGTCAAGGCAGGCTATGTCAAGGCAGGCTATGTTAAGGCAGGTTATGTTAAGGCAGGCTATGTCAAGGCAGGCTATGTTAAGACAGGCTATGTCAAGGCAGGCTATGTCAAGGCAGGTTACGTTAAGGCAGGCTATGTCAAGGCAGGCTATGTCAAGGCAGGTTATGTCAAGGCAGGTTATGTCAAGGCAGGCTATGTCAAGGCAGGTTATGTCAAGGCAGGCTATGTCAAGGCTGGTTATGTCAAGGCAGGCTATGTCAAGGCAGGCTATGTTAAGGCAGGTTATGTTAAGGCAGGCTATGTCAAGGCAGGCTATGTTAAGACAGGCTATGTCAAGGCAGGCTATGTCAAGGCAGGTTACGTTAAGGCAGGCTATGTCAAGGCAGGCTATGTCAAGGCAGGTTATGTCAAGGCAGGTTATGTCAAGGCAGGCTATGTCAAGGCAGGTTATGTCAAGGCAGGCTATGTCAAGGCAGGTTATGTCAAGGCAGGCTATGTCAAGGCAGGCTATGTCAAGGCAGGTTACGTTAAGGCAGGCTATGTCAAGGCAGGTTATGTCAAGGCAGGCTATGTCAAGGCAGGCTATGTCAAGGCAGGCTATGTCAAGGCAGGTTATGTTAAGGCAGGCTATGTCAAGGCAGGCTATGTTAAGACAGGCTATGTCAAGGCAGGCTATGTCAAGGCAGGTTATGTCAAGGCAGGCTATGTCAAGACAGGCTATGTCAAGGCAGGCTATGTTAAGGCAGGCTATGTCAAGGCAGGCTATGTCAAGGCAGGCTATGTTAAGACAGGCTATGTCAAGGCAGGCTATGTCAAGGCAGGTTATGTCAAGGCAGGCTATGTCAAGGCAGGTTATGTCAAGGCAGGCTATGTCAAGGCAGGGATGTACAAACCTGTCTCCGCTCGACCTGTATCATTCCGGATCTCCCCCGATTCTATCTCCTAATTGTTGGATTGGTAATTTAGAAGTTGGTGAGTAAACTCTTCTTCATATTGCTGCAGACGCGGGAAGAATTGGCTGGAGACATTGCATCCCATCTGCACATCGCTCGACCCCAATTCAATAACCAATATGGTAATCGGGGATGTAGACTTCGCATACTTATCGAGATTCTACCACGATAAACTTGACGATCAGTTTAACAGTAACTATTTTGTCCTTTAGCGAGCCCTTTGTCATGTGACATGTCACATATAGAAAGTCAGTCTAACAGTGTAACTAAATAATATCGTATGTTTTGGGTATAACATGTCTACAACACATACATACGTTTGTAAACTGCATGTCACGCACAATTATATTAAGGCACGAAGGTTGGCTGAAATAGGGTTTAACAATATTATTATTCTTATAAAGCGACGTCCATGTATGGATAGATGTGTGCGTATGCACGTGCGCGCGAGCGTGCGTGGTGTGTGCCGCAGTTTAACATGGATACCACCCTTCTAGCCGATAAGTCCTCGTTTTATCCCTTTTATGCCGAGCGCCAGAAGGTGTAACAGCATGTGCTGTCTTTCAACGTCTTATGGTTTGACGCTCCCAGAGGATCGAACCACCGACCGTCCGCTCTCCGGGGAGACACTCAGTCCACTACACCACAGAGACGGTTATAAACGTACGAATAAAATGCGACTGAATCTGATATGGTTACATCGCGTTATATCTGTGATGGTTAACTGTTGTTTTGAGCAAACCCTCAAGGTAATAGATGTCTCTTGCTCTGGACAGAAGCGGGCGACACAGGTAAGTAGGCAACACGCCGTGAAGATTTGCGCCCTTTGCCGTTCGTGTATTTAAATTTCGAATTCGCCCTTATTATGATTATTCAGCACCGCTCACACCCGTGCTCATGGGTTTCATGAAGTGATGTTAGTCTACACCGTGATATATAGGAAATACTGTTCAAAGCGGCGTTCACAGTTAATAAATCATAAAGTCTGTATTATTCAAGGATGAACGAGAACGTGTATCGTGATTTTACATTGATGTGTCTTGTTTAGACTAATGAATAGAGGCTGTATGTTACACTGAACATGTTGACAATATGGGTAAGATAAAACGACAGTTGCTCGCTTGCTCATCGTAAAACACAAATGACACGTATTGCTGTGGTCATGGTTTTGGAATTGTACATTTTGAATATATATCATAATGCAATGTTCCAACTGATGTTTATAAAGCACAATGTAGACTTTCATATATAGCGATAAAATGTAGTGTATTTATGGGAACCTTTTCAAACCAACATGTACAACTGATAGTAACTGCAGGCTCTCCTGTTCGTTCAAGGTTAGACTTAACCTAGTTGGCATGTTTGAATAACCCTTATACACTGTGTACATAATGATTGATATTGGACAGTTGGAATAAAGTTTATATTAGCTGGGCCTTATTATAATTATTTGTAAGGCCTTAAATTGTAATCTATCCTGAACAGTTCTTTTTCTCAACTTCTACCACACAAATGTCCTATTGACGATAGTTCTGCATAGGTCGACCCTGATCATGACGTCAATAGCTGACACTTAAACACCCCTTGCAGTATGACTTACACAGTCTAAAAAAACTCAAGGTCGATCACCAGTATTTGAGTATCTCTTGGTGTTGGATAGTGGTGTACATCTATACATTTCCGTGGAATAGGCGGACTTCATCCTCACTTAAAAACATAGTTCATTGAATTTAGTGATTCGTACTGCATAGTCTGTGTCGGTAATATACAACGGAGGTCGTCTCAGGCATGCAGACCACTTACAAGTTACATATGAGCGTTATACAGCAGTAACAAAGAACGGTTGTTCTACAGCATTCCTTCATGTACATAGTCATGGTCGAGGAATCAGTTACCAGGGAAACGTTAAGAAGATGTTATTTAAAGATGTTCTCATCCTGTTTTCAATGCGTTTCAGTATATATCACGATTTTTATTAAAGCAAAATGAACGTCTACGTACACGTACACTGTAATAGCCTTAAAATGCAAAACAGGCATCACTGGCGGATTTACTGTTCAAACCGTTCTGTGGGTAGAAATATCAGGGAGCTTATTTAAGATTGATGCATGGGTTTTGTGTACATTACCCCAGAGGGTTCCACATACACTGATAGTGATATGTTTTAATATACTGAAAACCATATCACTCTGGTTTACTTCAAATTAAAATTAATGATCCTGCTTGGATATGTTAATGCAAGGATGAAAAAGATTGCAAGATTATTGTTTCGATGACGAACATATAGTTTGAGATTTACATCTTGTTATCGATAACATGAGGCAAGAATCTGACGACGAATCAATTTTGGATGACCTTAACCTGCGAAGACAAAGGAAATCTAATGACTCTGGTCACCCAAATAACTGTGGAAATAATCTGGTTAAGTTATGTAAAAGCGATAACATGTTCATTTGAAACGGTAGATTGGGCGAGGAAAAGATGGAAAGAAGAACCACATGTAAAGAGGGTACCATTGACTACATTATTTCCTATTTTCTCTCACTCTCTCTCTCTCTCTCACTTAGTGTAGGTGATTTCCCCCTAGTGTTATATGATGTACATTGTCCTGTAAGTTGCGTTCTAAATTCATGTATTACAGCTGCAGAGGGTATAAATCAGGTTATCAACAATAACAAGTGTACAGACACCAGTCTACTGGCGCGCAGCCAAACAGGTTTGACAGTAGTTGAAAACACCTGACCCAGAACTATCTAGGCAACGCGTGAAGGTCAAGGTGACTTAACCGAATTCATTCGCGGATAAGATCAAGTTGATTCTGCACGGGCTGCATTCGGAGTGTGTCCATATACGACACATACTACCACACATCGTGGTGTCGTACTACCTATTGATGCAAGAACCTATACTGTCACAAAGCGCACATGTGTAACCAGAAGATAAAACAAAATGTAATTTGCATGTGGTACCTACATCATCATGAATGAGAATATGGCACATTTCAGTTTAAATATATACACAAAGAAAAATGTTCAGCACAGCCCTATTTCTGAACCATGACAAATGGCAAAAATCATGGCATGGGATGACTGACGACAGGAGATGGGCGATACCAATGTCATCGGATAGAACAAACATTTGACAACAAATAAAGAAGATATTGGTGAGTTGTGATTGAAATTTACTGACAATAACATCATGGTAACTCAGGTACTGTTTTTGACCTTAGACAATACCTAAAAATGGAGCTGCAGGATTAAGAAAACGAGTTACGTTTGATGTGAAAATGTTCCTTAAAGTCTCTACTTGGCATGACACGTGAAACAGATCAGCAGCGGGTATAACCGCCACGTGCCCAGTCAGACGTTGGATCTGTTGATGGGCCAACGACAACCACTCCTGACGCAATGCTGCTTCAAATAGGCGCAAATCTTGTACCAAAGGTTCTCGTGCCTGTATGCGCCGCCCCAGAATATCCCAAACATGTTCAAGGGGGTTCAAATCTGAGATCATTACTGGCCAAGGTAGAGTGTTTTTTTCATTGGCCTTCATGTAATCCACGGCTGCATGCGAACGATGAGGCCTGGCATTGTCATCCATGTACTGAGGTCGAGTAGCAAGAGGGTGGTTGTCAAAATGAGGAACGACTACTGGCCTCAAAAACGTCCTGGATGTACTGAGCCCCTGTTAAGTTGCCCCTTATGGTGACCAAATCCAATCTGTAATCATGAGAGATACACCCTCAAACCATTACCGAGCCCCTGCCGTTTGCAACAGTCGGTTTAATGTTCCTGGGGGTGGAGGCCGTGTTCCGGTGCCTCCAAACTCAGTGACGTGAAGCAGAAAGCGACGTTCGTCTGACCAATGGATCCGTCTCCAAGTTCTCAGATTCCAGTTCTGTCGCGAAATACATCATGCTAAACGAGCAGCATTTGTGGTGATCTCTCAACAAGGGACGCTTTATGACTCGTCTAGCCCTCAGCCCTGCTGCTTTCAGCCGGTTCCTGACGGTTCTGGTGCTGAAACGACGATTGGGCAACCACGGCTGTTTCAGACGAGTACTTGTTGAAACGGGTTCTCGGCGTATGAGACGAAGAAGGTCCCAGTCTTCGCGATGTGCCGTCACAGGAGGTCCTCCGGATCTGGGGCGGTCCTGTACATCACCGGTCTGAGCATGTTTCTCGACTAAACGGCTTACGACAGTGTGATGATACCCCCAATTCCGACCAATGACATTACAACACATTCCTGCGTTATGCATGCAGATTATTTGCCATCTTCTGGCGTTTGATAATCGCCTTCGTGCTATGGTCACACAGTGTCATGGAATAACTGTTTAAAACCGAGCTTAAGAAAGCAATTTTAACGTTTGGATATACTGCTTTTAGAGATACTCGAGGGTAGCATGCTGCACGGGCATGCCATGCATGGCACGTGAGCTTTCGTCATGCATGACTGATTACATCATCTCGAGAAAACATAATTCTTCCCGTTATTTTATCTTTCATGACTGTTACAAATTTTAGGACCAATAATGAAATATATTAGTGTTTGCTTAACTTTTTTCTTTGTGTATATATGTAATATAGAAGCAGAAAACAAACTTATTATGAAAATTGTGTCGACTTTGTCATCCGTCAGAATCAAGCATACACGCAGCTGAGGTGAGATTGGATTTATCGTCTCATTCTAGATTATTGCAAGTATAGTAAGTTCTATGGAAATGCTTCATGGAAATGCTGTATGGGGAAATAGGTCGGACAGAGCTACACTGGTACCCTGCTCTTCGTCCCCGAGCGGCTGCAGGCGAAGAGCGCAAGCGCTCTAGGCCAGGTATATCAGTTTAGGACAGGGCGTGGCTCCCTGTTATGATTTTTGCCGAATAACATAAACATGTGTAGTGTAATAATTTACAGTGAGGAATGTTCTCAAAAATATTTCCATAATTACTTATGTCAATATGAATTTTGTATGTACGCATATCATTATACACATGTGAGACAACGATAAAGTTTGTTAATATCTTTCCAACGATTACTCATCCCCATGGCGCATTTCACCCCCCAGGCAAGGGGAAAATCTATCCCTAGTTTTATTTTCCATTTGCACTTTACACAAATAGTGCCCACGCCACTGTAACATATATTTATGTTTTCACAAACCATTAATCCAATCAATGCTTCCAGTGAACAGTTTGACGTAATTTAAGATGGAAAAAACACACAGAAATGGAAAAGAACCAGTGTCGAACAGTTATCAAGTTTTTGACTTTTGAGAAACGTACTCCCCAAGAAATTCATGGCCCTTAGTCTTGACGTCCCTCAACTTCCATCAATAACGATTCAAAGAAGGAGATAGAAAAAACTTATACTGTCAGATGGACGTATTACCATTGCTGAACTTGAGCAAGACACAGGTTAAAGCCATGGATCCATTGAAACTATTATTCATGAACATTTACAGATGAATAAGACATATGCTCCTAGGGTGCCAAAGTTTCTAAATTCTGATCTTAAGCAAAAAAGAACTGACATTGCCAGAGACAATTTCAGGATTTCATCAAATTCAAAAATAGATTAGTAACGGGCGATGAAGCATGGGCCTACCACAATGATCCCGAGTCAAAACGTCAAGCCGTGGAATGGCACATTCCACTTCTCCGGCGCCAAAGAAATTCAAGTCTTCAAGATCAGTGAAGAAAGTTATGGCCACTGTATTCTGGAATGCAATGTATATGATCCTTGTTGATTACTTATAAAGTCAAAAGACGATTACCGGTGCCTACAATTTGCTTCATTGCCTGACAGATTCTATCAAAGAAAAGCGGCGAGGACTGCTGACTGGTGAAGTTCTACGATTCTGCTACTTCTCACACCTCTCGAGTTGGAAAGGCTGCTGTGCGACAGTGTAAGTTAGAAGAGCTTCCTCACCCTCCATACTCCCAAGATCCGGCACAAAGTGATTTCCACCTGATTCCTAAACTGAATGATACTTTTATCAACATAGATGATACATACATTAAGATGATACTATATTCTACGTAGATGATACATTGTACTTTCATCTAGGTAGATGATCTACGTAAAAGATACTTTCATCTAGGTAACAATATTTTTTCGAGTAATCAACACTAGTTCCGGGTCAGTTATATATAACCCCTGGTTTAATTAATAATGATCAATTTGTTTGACGTTCTACCTTGACATTATTTATTGAGGTATTATCTTAACATTGCATGAAGTAAATCTTCATTTCAATGTGTCAAAGTTGATGTGATCTAGAATGGCACACGGCCCACTCTCTCACAACCTTAATAATGAGATGAGAGCACAAAATGTTCTTCAAACTACAAACAACTACAGATCATTGTTAATAGATTTAGCGAAATTAGATATCAACCATAACATAAGCCGGATAAATAACTCTAATATGTTGATCCACATGATTTCTCCATTACGTAAACTACGTTAAGAGGTAAGACGTGAATATGAAGGGGAAAGAATCACTCAAACTATAAACCTATATCAAACCAATACTCGTCATCAGCCTATAAAGCACTGATCGAAGGTGCGATTCTGCAGTTTGTGTTTATATATTAGTGCTGATAGATTGACAAGTTGTAATGGTCTCGGTATGTTGTAAAAATACGGCGAAGGTCAAATGAAAATAAACGACCAACATGTTCCCAAACTATAATTTAATTAACTGTAATTAAGTAATCACCGTTATTTAAATATAAATGTTTGTATAATTTTGTATACAACTAGGGTCGCGACTGCACAAGACAATGTCACTGTCTGAGTAACGATACGTACGATTTTAATATCTCAGACGGAGATGAAAGTATTATCTACGTAGATGATAAAAATATTAGACTGTGGCACGAATACGCTTCTATAGTGAATGTGTTCTTCAGGGTGGCTTCAGAAAACTTCTCCCTAACTGGAATTGAAATTAAAGCTTCACTATTTAAATGGGAAGTGTGTTGAAAAGCAGGGATATTATGCTGAAAAATATAATTAAAATCACTTTCACAATTGTTAGTTTTGTTTGTTAGGCTTAGAACTTTTTGACCAGCCCTCGTACTGTTAGTTTGTGAAACTGTAAGTTAACAAGTGCTTATGATTGTGCAGGGTTTATAATTTTGTAATGTTTTCATATCATACTAAATGAATTATAACAATTTCTATTTGCTTTTTTCTTGTGACATTTTTACTATTATCTTACATGTAATACATTAACCATATCAAAACTAGATTTGCAGCCCAACATATAATTAAATACACCAGAAATTGATGAAGCTAGGGTTATTGTCACTAGTATAATTCCTGTTTCAGATGATTATTCATTTCCTTGTGAGGTTCTGCATTGCAACAGATCTGTGAGATAGTTTTCTAATTTTGCAACGTTGACGGGAATATCTCAGTTTTAATTTCAAGTATGATGGGCTTCTTTTTGGTTTGGTCATGGTTCATACATGTGTAACTACAACGTAAGATTCAGCGACAGATTAATACTTTTCAGTGAGATGAGTATGATCGTGGAGTGACGTATGATCTCAATCTTACCGTGTATACGTACGTGTCAATAGAGGTTATCACGCGAGTGTGTTTGGGGATGGTAAATATCCTGCATTAGGAATAAACATTGTATTTAGCGAGCCTTGCGAGCTAAATACATAGTGTTTATTCCTAATAACAAGGCTCGCTAAATACAATGTTTATTCCTAATGCAGGATATTTACCATCCCCAAACACACTCGCGTGATAACCTCTTTATCATATAATGTCATTCTTTACTTCTGTGCTTTAAAATCGCTTTCCCTCTCTCACAAACATTACCGAAACATTGCGAGTTTTCCTGGAATGCGCGCATATATTTTTTATTGCGTCACAGGGTAAGTGATGTGTCAGTCGGACAGTGACAGTAGCCAATATAGTTCCAACTGAAATCTGTTTCTTATACATTGGCGAAGCAACGTATTAGCAAAACAACAGTTGTTTTTAATTGCCTTTCGCGGCAATCCATCGGTCTGTCCGCTAGAGTAACTGCCCTTTGTCAAAGGGAAGCTACTCTAACCCTACTCTATGAGACATCACGGCCACGGTCAGACGTTGTTGACAGTCGGTCTGTCCTGTCATAATGTTAAGAAGTGTAGTCAGATGTCCACACAGCGACAAAACGAAACAAGGTAACAATTCAAACATATTTCGGCCAAATCCAACTATTTTAATTTGTGGAGAAGGTTTCAAGCCGCAGAGGTTTGCAAGCGCAGATATGGCTACTGATCCCGCTTGGCAAGGCCTCCTACCCTCGCAAAATTGTTTCGAAATTTATCTCTAAAGTTGCCAAAACTTATAAAATGCCTTAGCTACGTCACATTTAGACACTGTTTTTTCAGTATATTAGACCGTTCTTTTGATAATGATAGCAATTATCCCTGTAGTTTATCAAGATTCCCGATGGTTAATTCTGACTCGATCGCCGAATGACGAGGGCGACGCCATGTTTGTTTATAAACAGTGAAAGTAGTCCTACTTGACCTTTGATATTTGCATCTCTATCGTTTTTATCCGTTGGCTTTATCCTGCCGAGAAACCTACCCATTATATGATAAAGACGATCTATTAATCAACGTGCTATTGGATTGCGAGAAAATGAGTGCAATATTGTAACTGTTCACCAAAACCTAATAGTGGCCTTTAAGGCGAATTGCACTGTAGAAAGCGTGCGCACTGTAGGCATTTACAGATGGCACTGTAACAGGAGGTATTGATGATGAGGGTGTAGCATAAAACATTGTTACATTGAATTGCAATATGAAAAAGTAGGGTCATTTTTCTTTTGAACTTATGAACTGAACACAATTATCCAGTGGGGAGACGTTTTTCCAACTATCACGAGTATGAGTTGTTTGTTAATATGCCGTGTTTTAACTGAAATACTGTTAAAAGGCGTTAAACCTCACTCACTCACTCCCTCCCTTGGCGGACGGTAACTTACTATTGAGTCCTAGTGTTTAAAAAGGTGGCTATGCTCTCAGTATAACACACTATTATATGACGCTATTTCGCGATAGGTTTGATAAACATTTACTGTATTTGTATAATTAACCACATACATACAAAACACGAACGAAGCTCTTGTAATACAACACATACTTGGCCATGATATACGAACATATACTTACAAACTGCTTTTAAAGTGGGTCACATGGTTTATGCATATTTTTCTAAAGGCATAAAGAGACAACCCTGTCTTGCCGGAATTGCTTGTGTTATATCAGTAACAGAAGGGTGCATTTTATTATTTTCGATTTGCAACCACGATCTCCTTTTCAAAGTATCTATGTAATGCTATATATATACCAAGGTCAGGTTGACAAGTTGAAGAACGAGGTGAACTAGTCTGACGTAGATCTAAACGATTGAACTTTGCCCAATGTTTTCGACGGCGGTAATACCCAAACTCTGATGTAATGATCCATATATACACACAAGTAATGTGTACGTAGAGTCCGCTCATCGTCGTCAGGGTCTTACTCAACCGCTGTTGGTGATTGTCTTGGTATCAAGTTTCTTTACCCTCTGAGTCTGCTGTCGTTGTCAGAGCGTTCATTGTAAGTATTATCAATCTCTTATTATTTTAGCTGTATGCTTGTTTCATTAAGTAAATGTTTTACATGGGTTCCAGTAATCTTTTATATCTACCACTACCCTACTAAAGTCCAACTGATGAGACAACGTGGCCACTGCATAGGCCTTTCAAACCTGAGACTCATGGAAATTCGCAGCCCAAGCAAATGTTTTTACAAATCCAAAACCTACAATCGTGCGATGTACATCAACGTAGCAGGTGACTACTCACAGATACTGAGTCCATCTATTCTGAAACACTTACTTTGCAACAATGTGTATTGTTAGCGTTGACTTTCTGCGAACCCAGCAATCTGCATAAACCAAATACTTTTGCCAGATTTCAGGATACATTTCCTAACTTTGTTCTATTTTATCTGAGTTTTCGGTTTTCCCTAGAAACTGATTTAAACCTTTTTTAACCAGGTATTTCATAAGTCACAAACTTAGTATTAGGTAAATCATGTTAATCATATCAGGTAAAACATGCAGTGGTCTTTTATTGAGGATCGTGCAGCACTATCTTGCACTATCGACAACAGCAGTCTATCAATAATGAAACTTAAACCTCCACGATAGGTTGAACCCATGGTTCTGTAGTTCTCCTTACTAAAACAGAAACCTGTGATCGTGAGCTCGAACCCATGATTCGCACTGATTTCTTAGTTGAAAGAACCATATCAGTACTCGATTATACACCAAAGTTGGAAATGTCTAAAACCTCTATCACGTCAAGCTGACTGAAAAACTGTCTAAGAGCGGTCTTAAACAAAACTCATTCACACACTTCTATTGATTTATCTGAAACTAAAAGGCTTAAGTTTGTGTCAGTCAGACATTATATCTATCACCTAATATGCAAAAATGTCCACCTGAATCGGGGACTGGAATATGCATTGTTGATGTTCCAGAAACAAAGGTACAGGGAAATCGAAATGAGAAGTCATGATCACGACACAGAGTCTCCATACGCCCGTTAATCATATGGTAAGCATATCTTGACATCTGTTTATAAGAACTTAACATAAAATAAAACGATTTGAGGGACACATGTCTCATTAAATTGTTGCGTTCCATTATTTTGAATTCCTTACAAAATCTACTGATGAAACGATTGATTTATCATATTCCTTACAGGCTTTCCAATGAATCACGTGATTTAGCATGTACATTGCGTGCTTACCTAACACTTGAATTCATCGATATCTAATCCTGTAAAACATTGAGAATGAATGTGCCATATTTTTGTCTTCTAGACTTTGGCGCTGTTCTCAGTCTTGGTAATAGCAGCACACGCAGGTAAATATATTATTCAACATTTTGTCCTACTGTTGTTACTTGATAAAGTAGTGAATAAAATCAATTATTATGGTATTAATATAAACTGAAAAAGTTAGGGATCATGAATAAAAATAATTTGTAGTGAAGAGTGAGCACTCAATTTTATAAAAAAATATCACCCAAAATATTCATGATCCTTTTTTTGTATTAAGTATAGTTCAAGATAAATGTGTTCAATCTTACCATTACAGGCGTTACCAGCGTACAGAGTCTCCGCTGTGTTAGATGGGATGGTGGTCAGTGTGTGGAGTGTTACTATGGGAGGTATGGGCGTCAGTGTGAGAGGACATGTACCAACTGCTGGACCACTGGGTGTTATAAGGATACGGGGATCTGTGAACAGTGTGTGCCGGGTAAACACGGAAGACACTGTAGCACTAGATGTCCTGACAACTGTAGACCGGGTAGGGACGGGACTGTGAACTGTGATCGTTATAGTGGGAGATGCCAGGAGGGGTGTAGGGTAGGTTGGTGGGGAGACACGTGTAATGATCAATGTAATAGTAACTGTGAGGGTGGAGCATGCCATCAAACATCAGGTCATTGTATCGGTGACTGTAGGGCGGGATGGCATGGCCAAAGCTGTCATAAAAGATGTTCTGTTGGTTGTGTAAGTGACACATGCGCATGTATAACAGGGAAATGTCAGGACGGGTGCAAGCCTGGGTATTTTGGTGAAACGTGTGAAGAAGAATGTGATGCCAACTGTATGGATGGTGAGTGTGATATGAATGGGAGGTGCGGAGCTTGTGAAGACGGGTTTAGAGGCAACACTTGTCATGAAACATGCCCGATAAACTGCTTGATATGTGAACAAGACACGGGAAGCTGTACAAAATGTAAAATGAGATGGACTGGAATTTCCTGTACTGACAGAACAACATCAGAGACTGGCCAAAATCCCCTGATTAAATCACAAAATTCTCAAGATTCACCCATAGGTATGTGCATGTACAAATCATTAATATAAATGTTACAACTTAACCTTATTTATTTGCAACAGCTAGTTATTAACAATTTATTGCAAACCATATCTTATTCAATAATCTTTTACCCAATCCTATGGAGCAATTATATGTATGTGTTAGGAAAAAGCACAGATAACGTGAAGGAATCCTGTCAAATAACGACATTTGCCGTTTGCTGAAATGACAAGTGCATCTGTTATTTATGTATACATGGTACCTTATGTCCCCCTACCCTTGTTTCAGGTGTCGGATGCGAGACAAGCTGCGGTGACGCATTGCTACTCATGGTTTCTGTTATGGTTACTTTATTGACAAACATTGATGTTTCATATAACATTGGTATAGTAGCCAACATATTTATAGCTTATTTTCTTGCAATACAGAAGCTTTTACAATCGAATTATGACGCATGTCTAAAGAGAGCATATCATGGTTATACACTGGTTATACACATATTTGTAAATTGGCGGTTCCAAAGGCCGTCAATATCAAGTGTACATCCAGCACAGACCAGATAAATATTGTCAACGAATATTATCAATGCTCTCATGTTTAAATTTTGCTGTAACAATTGATATCATATGATGTAATGTCTGAGTGTGTCTGATTAGATAGGCTATTAAGACAGCTTTATAGCTGCAGTGTACATGACTGTCTATGCGTGCATATGATCACCATGTCACTTGCCGCATGTTTTGTTCTGAAATGTTTTACTGTGTCAACTCTACGATACCCATCTGTGATATTTGTGATGAATGTTGTTTTCTACAATTTATAGTTTAAAGGTAGTCGTAATGTAATGTCTACTTTGATCTCATTTACACAACCATGTATGTTTTTGTGTAAGAGAAATAACAAAATGCTCAAAGCCTTATCACCGCAATGTAAAATACAAGCAACGTTTAATATTGGGATAGCAAGTCAAGTGTGTAGGATTTCATTACTCTGAAAATAAAGATATAATTTTAAAAACACCTGGTTGAAGTCACTATTAGCTCGTAATTTCACCACCTTGAAAAGCAAGATGATTTCTGTCATTTTGTTGAATGTTGTCCAATGTGTAATCCGATTCTCAGACTGGGTGCTTTTATCTGTTTACTGGAGTGTGTAAAATTATACTCCAAGCCAGAATGTTTTCATATTCATGTTTTGCATGTTTTGCTTGTGGCAGTTTGAAATCTAACAAAACATAATGTTTGTTCAGAAAATGGGGATTTTATACCGCTTGAATCAATCCAATATCAAATGACCGAGATAAGGAAAACATGCTGTTGTGCTTCAGTGCATTTCTGGGGACACTTTGTTGTGTAAACATTGTGTAATATGAATGAATATATATAATATTTACTGTGTTTATTTTTTCAAATATTCCTTCATACTTATATGATGCTATACACAGTGTATGAATACTCGAACTAATGCGCATGGAAGCTGTCACACCTGGTACCAACGATTTGAATGACACTTAGTCTATATACCTATATCGTGCAACTCTAGGATCCTGACATACCTCAGATCATCATGAAAGGCAAACACCTCTGTTCAGTCATGTCCTTGTTGTGATCATTTTGACCCTGAAAATTTGTCACTGACACTATAACACATTATACCTCTTCATGTTGCACCTCTTTGTCTGCTAATATTTCTTTTTATGGCCAAAAATATCCATATTGCGTTTCTGTTTTTGAAGAGTATATATGAATGGACCACTGAAATCAGTGATGACACCAGGTGTTCGCAAAAAGGGTAAGCATGCCCTGCCCTACCGGTAGCAAGCGCCAGTAATAAAATTTGCATAAAAAGTGTCTTCTGCCATGCGACGTCAGTCTGTAAACAAACCTGACAATCAAGTGATCGATGAACCAAAACATCCAGAAACACGAGAGTACCATACTGATTTTGTTGAAACTAATAAAAACGATATGTGAATTATTAATTACGTCAGCTGTGTACAAGTGCAGACATTTTGCTGCTTATAAGTAAAGAAAAACGTTAAGAAATATGTTCGTTTTGCAACACAGTGAGCGCAGTTTTAAAGTCTCATTAAAACACTCCTCACGGCAAAGATATGTAACTTCATAGTATTTGTGCCGTCTAAGACATTTTCATTAGGCAACCAGCAAGTCCGCGTTAGGTAACCCATACCCTGAGGAGTTACCAATCCCTTTAAATGAGGTTTCAGGTTTTGAACAGGGAAAATTCGGGGACCTGAAAGCCAACTGTCTGTCTTGTCCTGAATCTGTTCAATGAAAGTTGACCTGGACTCGGTATCACCTGTTTGGTCGGACAGGAAAGCTTTTGTCAGGCGATCATCTTGTAGTCGGACACCTCTCAGTGTGCAGTTACATATGCAGCTTATTGCCGTCCCTCCAAGGCGGGATGCATCGTGTTTTATTAAGATCACGTGAACCAATCAGATCTCATCATTCTGAGGTATGATAATTACGTATACACGTAATACATAAAGTATATACATAAATATACATAGATACGTGTATATGGACAAAGTAAATATATGTCGAACATGACATGAATTGATTGACGGTGATTGATAAACATAACATTTAATAATATGCATGGGACAATTTGCATATGATTGAATTAGTTTTGAATTTCGCATACACTACTTTAACCCACCCTGTCTAATTACACTACCAGAGTAAGTATTCACACACACAATACAGTGTACGTCAGTCATGATACATATTCCAACGTGCAAGATCATAACATAGTTCAACATGATTGACATAATCTATTCACAACAGTATTACAAAGAAAATATTGAAATGTACCCACAGGTATGACATGTTCAAATAACCAAACTAATTGCATATATTTAAGATTTAAAACAGTAACACATTGTAGACATTTGCTTACCTGAGATAATAAATATTCAACCACAGAGCGCAGATGATCGAGATTTCTGGTTAAAATTCGTAGGAAGTTTTTATTGTGAAGTTTAGTTAATTCAACTCAACAGAATTGTATAAATCGCGTTTCATCCGTCTTAGATATTGGAACGTTGTCTGTTTCTCATCTCCCGCCCCTATAAATTCACCTGAAGCTCTTTCAATTTCTAAATATATACCACATGGTATTTGTATGACGCTATTTAAAAATATAGCCATCAATTTTCACAATTGAAATTAATTTTGAAAATCACTATCGAATGTATAGAATGAAACTCCGAAAATCTTTTAAAGGAACATGGGAATAAAACTGAATAGTAATTGACAAAACTATATAGAACTTGATCATGAATCCAATTTTGAATTAATATTGTATTCTTTTAAAATTCACTTGATAGTAGGTCGTTTTAAAATTAATTCTGCGCACAGCCACCACTTGCAGCTTGGGTTGAGTGAGTTGATCAATTCTAGGTCCGGGCACTGGCATACATGCAACAGGAAGAAGATCAAATTCAGTTAAGACCGGACACTGTTTAAATACGCACGTGCCCATCGTTGCTTTCTTGAATTCCGAAGCACGCCGTGGGGAGTCACGAATATAGTTGGTCCAAAATACCATATTCTTGGATGAAGCGGTCAGACTCGGTGACTTGGGTTATTACGTGTCATCGCACCCCGACGACGATGGTCCTTTCTCCTAATGTCAACCTCTGGTTTGCCTGGCCCAGATTCGATTATTTGCAAAATGAATGAAAATAAATGAAATATTGTTAAACTATATTAACTCAGTCGCTCACTTTGTAAAAGCATAATTTATGACTTATTGTTTATAAATGAGTATTTTGAAGACTTTGCTCAAATAGATTGCCATAGGACTAGTGACATCACAGGAAAACCTTTCTACAGTCTAAATTGAAAGTTCTTTTATGCAATGGTAGCATGTATATCAACTATGTTGTATATGTGTGAAGTACGGGGAAATATCTGGTGCCAGACCGCATATTTTTTAGAAACTTGGTGAAAATGAATGGGGTAACAACTGTGTGATGGTGTTTGTGATATGACTGGAAGGTGCCTCTAAGCTTTATAGACGGGCAACACTTGTTACAAAAAGCTCAATTAATAGCTTGTATATATTTGTATATATGTTTAATCACTAATTTCATACCTATGGATGAGTCTTGAAGTTGTTTCTAGTGGTGGTCTTTTCAGTACAAAGAAATCCAGCCCATCTCATTGTAGTCCAGCTCCCGTGCCATATTCATACAGCAAACAGTTAATCGGCAGGTTTCATGACAAGTCTTGCCTCTAAAACCCGTCCACACAACCTTTAACTTTATAACCATGGGAAGCAACTCTGCAAAGCTAATCGCCTTAAACGACTAAGACGCCCGTGCCCCCTACACATTAAAACCTTATACACATACAGTACGTCCGTGTGGGAACAGTGAGTGCTTATTAAGCGCAAATCCTCATTCTTATAGTTTAAACAGATACCGTTTTTGCCAGGAGAACATAGGGCTAAACATAGTGTATTGTCTCGGCTACAAATGTACTATATTTGATAGTGCGGCAAGATCCACACAAAACACCACGACATGTTTAACCCGGGTAACATGATGAACCTAATTGTTAGACTGTGACCCTGTTAAAAACCTGCTTAAAGAGCTTTTATTAGGTCAGTTTTTACAAGCTCAGTGAGGTAGCGCTAAATTTCATTGAAAACAATATATAGTATGTTCAGAATAGATAGAACATAATCTTCAGTCTCCCTAAGAAAGAATGGTAAATGGACATAAATAATGTCCCATGGTTGACAGTGTTTTGTCGGAGGGAACAATATACACACGGACACATGCTGGGCCACACGCTATTGTGATACAATAGCAGCACGTTTAAACACTATGCTTCAAAAATAGGTTGACAAAGATTGAGGTATTAAGAAACAAACCCTATCTTGCTTGAATTCCAGAAATAAAGATACAGGGTAATAGAAATGAGAAGCCATATGGTAGTTAATTATGTTGTAAGCGTAATTTCATCTCTGGTCACTAAGCTGTTAACGTTTTTATGTTCGATTTGAGCCACACATGTCGAGTTAAATTATTGCGTTCCATCATTATCATTCCTTACACGAATGTTTTTGTTGTTGAAACTTTAATTTTGTGGTTGATTTTGGTTCTACCATTGCAGGTGCTTCCAAGATACACAGTCCCCACTGTGCTGAGTGTGTAGAATGTTACTCCTTGCCGTTTGTTATTCTCATGAAAATGATTCGTTATAAACTGCAAATTTCTAATTTAACTCGAGAATCGCGACTGTCGGTTTCGCAAAGCTCCATTTTTGTTACATGACCAGCGTATATTCTTTCTCTTCCAACAGCGGTCTCGGAGTTATCAAGAATATGTTTTGTTAAAATTGATTTTGTATATATTCATAATTATCCAAATGTATGATAAAGAATGTCAATGACCTCAAATATTTTTTTATTACTTTTGGTTATATTTTGTAAGATTTTGCAAACTCGGAACTACTTTTTGAGTCGCAATTCCAAGGGTTGGTGAACAATGCGTTTTAGGTAGGGAGAATTTACGTTTCAACGTTTGTATTTGCATTGAAAAATAATTCAGGAAGACAACTAAACATAAAGTACATAATAAATAGGATATTCCATGTGTCTCGTGACACATTGTTACCCTCATCGACTGAGGGTTTGTATTTTTTCGAGTGATGTGATTTACTTTCAACAGTTAGTAAATAACAATTTATAGCTAAAATATATTTTTTCGATAATGACTGTTAGGGCAGTTAGATCTATTTGCGGGGAAAACAGTGATAACGTGAAGGAATGCTTTAATATTTATACGCAGCATTTACTGAAATGCATCTAATGTTTAGATATATTGCTTTGTGTATTGGTACCTTATGTATCCCCTTCATTATTTCAGGTGTTGGGTGCAGATTTCTGTACTGATTACTGTATCCACAAACATTGATTGTATTGATGTCGTAACTAGGTCATTTATCGCATCTGTTCTTGTAATACAGAAGGCGGTCAGCATCGGAATTACAACATATCTCTAAAGATTGCTTATCATGGTTATACACTGGTTCCTATATTTGTAAACTGGCGGTTCCAAAGGCCATCAATATCAAGTGTAAATCCAGCACAGACCAGTTACCTATTTTCAAGAACCGTAGCTAACTCAATGGTCTCTAGTTCAAATTGTGCTGTAAATATTGGAGGACAGTTGATATCCGTTCATCTAATGTTAGAGTCACTATTAGCTCGTTGCTCCACCAGCTTGAAAAGCAAGATGATTTCTGCCATTTTGTTGAATGTTGTCCAATGTGGAATCCACCCATCTCAGACTTGGCACACCAATACACACGGGAAAGTACCCACATTAATATCATTAGGTATTATTGGTTACTGGTTTAAATCTAACCCGGTGTTTGATGTGCAGTGAACATATGTGTTCAGTAATCGTTTAAGTGTCTTTACAATAACATTTTTATGTTTAGGATTTGGCAATTTGGAATACAACACAACAGAAAGTGTGTTCAGAGAATGGCGATTATATATCTCTTAAATCAATCCTTTATCAAATGGGGGCGGTTGGGTAGCCTAGTGGTTAAAGCGTTCGCTCGTCACGCCGATGACCCGTGTTCGATTCCCGACATGGGTACAATGTGTTAAGCCCATTTCTGGTGTCCCCCGCCGTGATGTTGCTGGAATATTGCTAAAAGCGGCGTAAAACCAAACTGACCCAGCCACCTTTACCACATGACCTGGACAAGGAACACCCACCTTTACCACATGACCTGGACAAGGAACACCTGCCTTTACCACATGACCTGGACAAGGAACACCCACCTTTACCACGTGACCTGGACAAGGAACACCTGCCTTTGTACACGCTTCAGTGCATTTCAGGGGACAGCGTTGTGTAAACATTTTGTAATATGAATGCATATCTATTCTATGTACTGTCTGAATGTTTTCAAATATTCCTCCCAAGTGGTTAGGATGTGATATGATTGAATACCCTGAATACTCGCACTCGTGTACATATATTTTAAGTGTGCATATAAGTTGATACAGTCATTTATATCGTAAAACCATTTGATCCTGGCACAACTTAGATCTTCTTTATAGGCCAATTGGTCGGTACAGTCTTATCAACCGGATGAATTTATAGTGATAGGATAGGATAAATAATACATATTATAAACACTCCTTTCGGAAAAGAAAATTTGACATATAAATTAATAACAATTGAGTCGTCTGTGACATTTTTATTGAGCACCCATGGGGGCTTTGATTCACGGAAGGACTTTGACATATAGTAATGCTTACCCGGGGAATTACCAAACCCTTTAAGATGCGATTGCAGGTCCTTGATAAAGATCTGAACAAGGTGAATTCGGGGAACTGAAAGCCAGATCCTTCTCCAATGCAGGTTGACCTGCACTCGGTACCACCCTGGTGGTCGGACAGGAAAACTTATATCAGGCGACATCACTGCAGTGGCATTTGCAGTTTATTGTTGTGTCAGTGTCAGACAACGACGATACACCAGTTACCCTCTGTGTGAAGTGATCCTCAAATTGCGGGGTTGCTTGGGCTGGATGTCAGTGGCGAGAAGTTCATGTATAAATCCTCTGTCAGTAACTGGTGCTGCCGCAGACTGTCTATCTGCTTGAGAAATATCCTGGCGTGGCCTGTACCAGGAAGTTTAGGTACCAAGTTCTCTACATATACAATACTGGCAGGCTGTGGTTGAGGTGGCACACTGTTGATCTCGACTGACAGATCACTATCTGTGTTGATACCAGATGTATAATGGTCGTTAGATCATCGAATGGTTCGACAAAGTCGCTGGTGTTGTTGCCCGATCATGTTGTTACGTCGGGTGACTCGTCAGGGTCTTGCTGCTTGTGTTGTAATTAGTGGGTTGGTGTAGGCCGATTTTGGTTCCCCGCCATTTTTGAACCAGAGAGATGGGGAATCAACTCATTAAGTAAAGGGAACCACTGTACACGATCAGTTTTTGTCCACTTTTTTATGTTAACAAAAGTATAAGCAATAAAGATGTTGACTGCATATCTGTTCTCCGTGTAATAAAAATTACATATACACAGCTGAAACACTCCCATTTACACAAATAACATAATGACAACACAGCCATTTACCCAATTACACAATAACATAAATAAAAACCCAGCATCAAAATTTAAATGGTTCTTAACATTATTTGCTCATACTTGCATCATACAACATGCCTTTATCTGACGTGCCAACGTCCTATTATCATTTATACTATTCTTAACAATGAAATGATATAATCACGTGTACATAAAGTGTACATCACTTCTGTCTTTCCTTCCCCAACAACACAGCACGCCGTTAAATAAGTGAAATACTGTTCAAAGCCGCGTTATACCTATTCAAATTAGGGTCAGAATGTTATTTATCAAATACCTGCAATACCCCCATCCCACCTCACACACACACACACTAACACACACACACACACACACTCTCTCTCTCTCTCTCATACACACTCACACACACACTCACAGGCGCGCGTTCAGTTAAAAACGGACACATGTGCCCTCCGTTGCTTTGATCAATTCCGAAGTACTCCGTGGGAATTCAAGGGTATAGAATGGGGCCGATGTAGCCTATTCTTGTCGTGAGAGGCGATTTAGACAGATCAATTGTCAGATTGAGGTAAAGTGCATTTATATGTCACACGTTACATAAGCTGTGTATGTACAAACATTAGGCATATAATTGAAAAGTAAATTCCAGGCATTTAATGTTTATGATATACACTAAGACAGTGAAACACATATATACATAAAATATAAGAATGATACTATTTGTATCCTGTGTAAAACAATATTGCGCATGGTATATTTCAGTCACATCGTGAGGAGAGAAGGTTCTATATTAAAAGTAAATACTCTTAGACTGTATAAAATCTTGTCGTCGAAGGACAGTAAAATAACCAGAACATCACAGATTTTATTTATAACTAGTATGTAACCATAAAAAGATATTACTATACAGAACAATACAGATGGCCAGCAACTGAAGGTAGATCAGCATACTGGGGACCTTGCTGCGTGCATGGACCCCAACAGGATTTACACCATCCCTTCAGTAAAGGCGATTGTACGCAGGCTTAGCCACAATTAAAATGACAAATATTCTGCGCTCCAAGTAGTAGATAAAAATGCATGGAGAGTGTCTAGACAAATTGGTTTCCAGTATTAAAACGGGGCGTGTTTAAATATTCTTTGAATGACATGGACTTAGGATATCCCATCATGGGGACATTCATTTTACACTACTGTGATTCTGTAACACCGCTTTGAAAAACATTCAGCTCGTTAAATTCTCTTTCATTGTTGATACAGTTTGCTCTACGATTTAGGTGTTTCACCATTGAACCCACCGTGAATGGTATGGAGTAGTTGCCGGTGTCTGAAGACTCTCGTCATTCATTGCGTATTATTACTGCCAGTCACACATGTAGTGTGTGTATTTGTGCAACCAAAGTCAGAGGAGTCGTCGATACGGTTGTCAGATATGTGTACAGTCCCGCAACTATTTGAGTATTTGTACGTAAAGTGACAGTAACTCGTCAAGTGGATATTTCATTACATTACGGATATCATTAATTACGACTTTGCAAGGTACGTAATTTCACACAAGAAATACAGTTTCAACCTGATCTGAGGGTTGACGAACTGGTAAACACAACCTCTAGATCTGTGTCTACCTTTTTCCGGAACCCAGGTGATCATATTTCTAGAAATTGTTGATTTGTGTTGTCGTACTTCCACGATGTTGCTCTAATATCAATGACTGGTTTGTCTGGTCCAGAATCGGTTATTTGCGGGTCGCCGCTAGATAGCTAGAACATTGCTGCACGGCGGTGTTAAACAACACTCATTCATTCAAGTCATATGAAAGCAACTATGTTCCAGGTGCATGTCTCGAATGACAAGCCGTCACTATGGCCCAAATTGGACGAATAACTTTAGTAAGTGGATATCTTGTTTTTATATTTGCTTCAAATGACAGGTCTATAACGGTATATGAATATTAACAACTTACCTTTATAAAATGTACTTCGTTAAATTCATTTTAGCTATAATGGATGCTAAATGTAGGATATTTAGGCCCATTTTAGTTATTTCGAAATATTTGCAATAAGCCTTACTTAACGAATGGTCAAATGTTATAATGATGAGTAAATGAATTGTGCTTCATTTTCCCCTTTAGGGTGTTCTAGTGACAGTGGTTGGGATTGTCGTAGATACAGCAGGTGGGTATTAAGTCTGTGTTTCATAATTTCATATTTAGTATGGACAGTACTTGGATGGGTAATTAATTAACACCGAACTATGTTAATCTGCCTGGTTGGTCTCATGCTTGCTTCATCTTATAACGGGGCGATAGGGTAGCCAAGTGGTTAAAGCGTTAGCTCGTAAAGGTTCGATTCCCCACATGAGTACAATGTGTGCAGCTCATTTTTGGTGTCCCCCGCCGTGATGTTGCTGGAATTAACGGACGTTAGACCATTACTCACTCACTCACTCACTCCATCTTCAATTTTTAGGTGCAGCTGATGTGGACATTGCAAGGTGCATGAGAGAGTCCAATGGCAACTGTCTTGAGTGTCAGTACGGATGGTATGGGCCTCAGTGTTTGAATAAATGTCGATTTTGCTCGACCACTGGATGTGATCAAACAGGGATATGTGAACAATGTCAGGCTGGTAGCTCTGGGAAATATTGTAACTCCAGTTGCCCTGATCACTGCAGACCGGCTAGAGATAGAAGTGTGAACTGTGAACGGGATACTGAGAAGTGCCAGGAAGGATGTAGGCGTGGCTGGTGGGGGGACACGTGTAACCAAGCATGTAGCACACACTGTAGGGAGGGAGCATGTCTCCAGATCAATGGGGACTGTATCGGTGATTGTGAGGATGGTTGGTGTGGAGTCCAGTGTATTACAGCATGTCCACAAGGATGTGTAAATAAAAGTTGTTCTTTCCTTGGCAAATGTTTAGATGGTTGCAGTGCTGGTCTGTGGGGAGAGGAATGTGATAAGACTTGTAGTAAGGCTACCGCAAAGTGCTTCCAGGGTAATGGCACCCGTACGGGTGAATGTAAGGACGGATGGTACGGATTGCAATGCGATACAGTCTGTTCTGTAGGTTGCCTGACGGGGAAATGTGATGCGCGATCAGGGAGGTGCGAAGGTGGATGCAAAGTAGGTACCTATGGGGAAACATGTGAGCGTGAATGTAGCTTACAGTGTCGGGGTTCCCAGTGTGATAATAGTGGAAGGTGTGTGCAAGGTTGTGAGGCAGGGTTTCAGGGCAGCTCCTGCACAGCAGCATGTCCCTTCAACTGCCTGGCATGTGAACAAGACACAGATGTCTGCACAAAATGTAAAATAGCAACTCGTTGTCAATCAGCTCAGTCTGATATTTCAGGTTTGTATTCCTATGATTTCAAAGTACAACTGTAACATATCGTTCAGCCATGTGTATATATAATCAACAAGAGTTTTCTATAATGAGCTACGATGTGTGTTAAGCTATAAGCTATGTTCTAACAGTCGTTACATATATTTGCTTGTCTTCAAATTGAAGATGCCTTTCAACTTCAAGAAAAGGCAATGGTGATAATAAAACTAAGATATATGCATTAATGCATAGTTTGACACTAATGATAATAACATACCTATTCTCTCCCTTTCAGGTAGCAGATGCTTCCATATTGCTACTATTTTAATCGAAGCCTCAGTGATAATCAGTTTGATCGGTGAGGTCGTACTGAATAGAAGCACATCATCAGTTTGACCAAACAGAAAGAGGTATTACATTCAAGGACTGTTTGGCAGTTGGCAGTTGGCAGTTTCACGAGGCTGTCAACATCCACAGTATCAAGGAGAAAGCAAAATCGCTGCATTGTGTATATCTATTAAGCTTACCTACTACGTGACTGTTGATCTCGAAAGAGTGATCTGTACATAGTAACTGAACTGAAAATGTCGTTGTACATGTCGTTTATGAGCATATCAAATTCATATCAGGTGTCCCGGTGAAGTGGTTATTCATTTCAATGAGAATGTGTACATTTACACTTTTTTTTTGTCTGTGTATTTATTATTGTAAGTTGTAGCAGTAATAGTGTCAACAACGATCAGTTCTACATGCAAGAAGTTCCATCCGTCGTGAAAAAAACTGTTCCATGGGAATAATTCCCCTAGAGAAATAGAGTACAAAGAAATGGTTTCACTGCAGGAATGAACAATTCTTTGACGGTAGCGCATATCAATTATGTGTATTGCACATACGGCCGAAGCCCAAATTCATATTATGCACGTTTGCACATGTTAGATGTTGGTATACCAGTTTCTGCTTTTCACAGCTACATTGAAAATATCGAAACGTCGCAGCTCGTTTAGTTAAACAGTTGACTTATCTACTGATTCATGGATAAGATATTTACTGGGTATATACTCCCTTAAAACGTTTTCTAATCGAGGGGCAAATACACAGGACATGAAACAAGTCCTCAGTGAGGTTTACAGCGGGAACACAGGCGATGGGAGTAGGGCGCCCGACATCTTTATTCATTTGACTTGCAATTCGAGTACGAACAAAACAATTTGCAAATTATACAAAAATGAGTAAGCTGTAAGATAATTGTGTTATAGTAATAGCTGTTACTATTAACTGTATATATGTATCATATGTACATACTAGACCATTCCTTGAGGAATATATATGTTCCAGTGATGTAGTCTCGATATCAAGAAGTAAAAGTTCTGACCACCATAGCAAAGTGCGTTACATCGAACATCTCTTTTTAAAGGGCACATATTATCTTTCATATTTTTGCCTTTATGTATTCTTATTGATGAATAATTTGATTGTTTACATGTGTATACATCGTAAGTGTAGAAGAGAACAATTCAACAGTTTCACCTTTATAACTTATTGAACATTCATAGTATAATCTCTACCCATCGATATGTGCTACGTTATGTGTTATAGTCTTCTATATTTAAGACGCGAATCTACCGTTACCAATATGTATTATACTGGAAGATCTAGACGTTGTAAGATTATTGTGTCTGAATATTTTAGCTATTTTGTTCCATTCATTTTAACAACCTGTTAATAGTCAATGGAATAAATGGCAATGAATGTATATACAAAATTAAAGGTTTACTAAATGAGTGTGTATATTGTCTGTTATTGCTTCATTAAACAATTGCCTGTTGTTGTTTCAGTCAATAACAGTCCCCAACAGTCGTTTGGAGTGACGGGCGATTGAGCAGCCTAGTGGTTAAAGTGTTCGCTCGTCACGCCGAAGATCCGGGTTTAATTCCCCACATGGGTACAATGTGTGAAGCCCATTTTGGGTGTCCCCCGCTGTGTTATTGCTGGAATACTGCAAAAAGCGGCGAAAAAGGTTAATAACTACGCTACGCCAACTCACGTCTTCAAATTAATTGTTTGACAAAGAGAGTGAGTCAGTGAGTTAGATTAACGCCGCTTTAAACAGTATGCTTGTAACATTCAGCACGTGAGCTTAATGTGGAAGAAAATCCCGAAGTGATGTGAGTGTGTATGTGTGCGTGCGTGCGTGCGTGCTTGCGTGCGTGAGCGTGTGTGTCAAACGTGTGTCTATACTCGGAGGGACCTCATGTACAGTAACTGAGAGTACAGTGGGGTACAGAAATAGAAGGGCACATTTCAGTATTCTTACTCTCAAAAATAGATTAGTCTAATGATGTTGAAGCACTGTCAGAATACTGAATTTTGCCTGGCACTTCACATTGCACCTCCAAACTGAGGTCCACGGCTGACGTAAAAGAGCTCTCATAGAAAGTGTATGATTCTTTCAAGGCAGAATGTTATAGGTAGGCCATTTCATTCAATGTTTAAAGGACGAGCAATGATAAGAAAAAAAATTCACCCCCTGGAAATTTCACATTTACGAACGAACATATTTCTTAAACGTTTTTCTTTACTTAAATGCAGCAGAATTTCGCCAAAACATGCAAAACAAGCAGCCATATATTTTTTAGTTTCAACAAAACCAGGAAGCGCATTACTACAGGATTTTGCTGTTACTTGTTTAGAGGCCGCCGTCAACGTCGGATGGCAGAAGTACTGCTGAGGCAATAAACAAACATTTACTTTTGTATGCAAGTTGTGTGTGCGGCTGGTGCTACCGGTAGAACAGGATCCATTCATATTATTTTCACTGCTTTTTCGCCTCTTCCTTTCAACGGAATCTGTTTCGGCGGATGATCGAGACTGATTACTATTCGGCGTTGACTTTTTGTATTTACAGTTATTCAAACATGTGCTTTGGAAAGAAGAAATACACAAATGTGGCTACAGATACAGAGAGGTCGGTGGGGCAAAACGTAGAGTGCTTTGCGAGCAAGCAGACATTTTCCAAATGAGAAACCATTAGCTTCACACAATAAATTAAAATGTGGATAAGGTTTCGAACCTGTATATGTGGAGGACACATGGCCCAATGCTACCCATACAGCGAGCAATCAGTATGTACCAAAGGTGGGTTGTGGGAGTCCGGCAGAAAGCTACCTGTAGGTTGATCATTTGCCATTCAAGGTGTAACGTGAGGGTTTCCTCCCTGGAAGTTCCCCCGTTTTCGGGGCAAAGGCAGCAGACAATAATGACTTTTACACAGAAAACAACTGCGCAATGTTCATAGAGATGGTGAGGTGAGGTGAAATGGGGTTTAACGTCGCGTCCAAGATTATTGCACTTATATAGCGACGTGCATGCACGTGTGTGTGTTTTGTGTGGCTGCTTGTACTAGTCCGGACTGATGCCGATTTATAGTGCTAGCTCACTGAGATACCATGCCGCAGTTTAACATGAATACCCCACCCAGACACAGTATACTGACTCCGAGCCGACCAGTCCTTGTTTTAGCCCCTGAATGCCGAGCGCCAGACAGGGTAACAATCATAGAGATGGCGCAGAAACAGTTTGTCACAGCCTTTTCCAAAAGGTCCATTGGACAGTTCATCATACCACAGCGTGCAGCACCCAGACACAAAGGTGCCAGTCTCAAATAACCAAAAAAGGCGATACAGTGTCAATAATAATCCAAGTACTCAACAAGACTAAAACTTGAATGTGTTGTATTGTCAAAGGAAATGCAGGTAGGTATAATACTACGTTCAAACTGAACAATTTAAATTTTTTGTTGTTAAACAATCACTTGGTCTGGTGAGTGTAGCAAACTGTCAGAGACAGTTGACGGGCCCGTGTTGAGGACGCATCAAGTAACGTAGAGCTGGCCTACAGGTCGATAGATGACCTCAAGTCAACGGCTTAACCTTTGGTCATTTATGTAGAATCAGACAGTAGTGATTCGGAGTATGAATTTAGTGACTCATGTTTTGAGATGACCCCTTTTCATCCCAACTGTGCTACCAGTTGATGCGCTCCCCTTTGTGTAAAGACGTTTGACACAACTATGTAAATACAGTTTTTTTAACAGCCATTTCCTACGGACATTTCCAACAATCAAATTTAAGATGTGAGTTGATGTGAGGTATTTATTAACTATTGTGATGTCACTATTCAAATGCCACTTCTACTTTCTGTCTAAAGTTATGAATTCATCCGCGTTCCTTTGCTACAAACGGAGTGAACATGTTTGTCACGTCCTAGAGTAATAGTTTCTCTTACACAAATAATCCATCTCCGAGAACATTTTCAAGGAATTTACAACTGTGGCAGGTTGTTTGACTCAAATGTCTGAAAACCCTCTGTGGCGACTTTCTATTCAGGCTACGAAGGTTCTGTGAAGGCCCAACTCTCGAGGAGATGTAACGTATTACTTACTAGCCTTTTATCAAATCACGTCTATAATTAACATAATTGTCCAGAGCGATACGACACGACGTCATGAAGGAACACGACGTATGGTTTGTTAATGACCAATAAAATGTCATGGGTCCTTTGCCTTACATATCTGTGCAATAGATCATATGCCGCTGTACGAAGTGTACTGTCCTATAGCTAGTTACTTCAAGAGACCTTACGTCAGACGCTGGTAAACCACAATATATACTTGTATACTGCAGCGGCTCGTGTTTTGAACAAGCTATAAATTTAAATTGAAGACTGGTGGGGTGAGGTGAAATGGGGTTCAACGGCGCGTTCAAGATTGTACATTTAAATACTCTATTGACAATAACTGACGTTGCATGGCCTGCAGTGAGAAAGCATTATGCGCTAGGGTCGAGTCCGTCGAGACCGTCGTCTACACACATCGTTGCTACCGCATTACATTCAGTACACAAACCTAACTTGATAGCATAGATAAAGGAGTACGACAAATATATATGGATCGATTATCTGGTTTCCTTGTAAATTTCATGTTTTGCTTTGATGACCTAGGGTTAGGAATCATCATGCTATTGAATTAGTTTCACCCTTATCTTGCAAAAAAGCAACTGCAACGGCTTGATTATACATCACGCAGACATCTTCTCTACATGAGGAAGAAGATATGCAAAGTGCATGTATATATTCTATTAGCATTGAGGTGAAGTAAGGTGAAATGGGGTTAAACGTCGCGTTCAATATTATTGCCCTCATCTAGCGACGTGCATGCACGTATATGTGTGTGAGTGTGTATGTATGTGCGTGGCTGCTTGCATTTGTACTAGTCTGTTGAGATACATGGCACAGTTTAACATGAATACCCAACACAGTATACTGACTCCGATCCAACCAGTCCTTGTTTTGGCCCCTTAATGCCGAGCGCCAGTCAGGGTAACAACAAAAACATCTTTTGATGTCTTTTGTTATCACGGAAGCGGTTATTATTATAATTTAGACATTTGATATTTTGTTAACTGTTATCTATGGTTAATACGTTATGCATTGAATTAAATAGTCAATTGGGATTTATTTTTGATCATGTCTTCGTACCTTTGTTCCGATTACAACGATACTGATCTAACGGACGACCAAGTTGACATGTGACACGCGTCGGATAGATATTCAGGCAACGATACATGATTTAATCACGCGGCTATATATCCGTCCTGTCAACCCGGACGTTGTAGTGTAGACAGCTGATTACAGGTGATCCTGTTTCTCGGGGAGCCCACCCCACTTGGTTGTGTCACGTGTCACATCGGAGTATACGCAGTTATTATGCCTTATCTTGCCACCACAGTTGTAAACATTAACATTGAGGGCATCCTGGAAAAACACAAATCGTTCACGGGAATTCCAAGAAAAAGTTCTAATGCATGGCATTATATGTTTTAAGGTCTTAAAATGCGTTGTTATATGTTTGATCAACGTGAACCTACTGTGGAACTTTTCTGCATTACAAACTGTAGACAATTTATTCAGTAAATTATATCAATTATATTGTCTTCTTTGAATTATGATGATGCTGGTGTTAGTCAGATGACGTGTGGAAGATGTGGATGTGCAGATACCAGCATTTGTACAGCATGGACGTGTGACATTATCAGGTTATAAACCTTTTACAAGGCCTCCATCATATTCAGATTATATCTTGTTACAGTTTCTTTACCTTACTTAAAGCAGATTTGAATACCTTACAGTGCATGCCCATTCAAGACTACTCATCGTATTCAAAACACAGTCCCTCTCATTGTACTGTGTACAGTACATCCACGCTGATGGGCAGGATAGACAACTAGGACGTAGATAAACGGCTGTGACGTACATAGCTGATGTAATCATCTATATATACCCCATACCGCTGCCTGTGTATACAGTACTGTTTTAGTAGTCAGGTGTCCACCAAGGCTGTCGGTTGTTGACTGCCCGCTTCATGTGAAGTCAGGTGAGGCCACCCTCGCTGTTCTGCAACCCAAGCTCGCTGCCGTGTTCTCCTGTTCGCTGCTGGCTGCTGCATGACTTGGGTTAAGAAGATTTAACTGCAAGTATATTCTTTCAGTTTTTGCACGAGCGTTGATGGCGACTTGTTTCTTATTAGAGACATTACATATATTGTTATTAGTCTGGCCAACTATGCATCACTTATCATGACTTTAATGATAACTTTTTCTCTCTGTAAGTCGGGCCAACTCAAAATCAGAGTGACATCCCTTTGCCATCCCAGGATCTGATGGTCGTGAATCAGATGCTTTGTCTGTCAGCATTATGAACTCGGGGGTTTCTTACCTGAGATGAGAGTACAGATGGCCAACTCGCCTTCTTGACGTTTCTTCATCTGCTAGCTTTGGACCGAAATTTGGTCATTACGTAAAAGTTTGCTCTCATATGTTGTTTTGGCTCGTTTGTCTAAAATGATTGACCTGTCAACAACCTCTCCACCTTTAGTGTGTGAGTGAGTATAGTTTTACGCCGCTTTTAGCAATATTCCAGCAATATCACGGCGGTTGACACCGGAAAATTGGCTTCACACATTGTACCTATGTGGGGAATCGAACCCGTGACGAGCCAACGCTTTTAACCGCTATGTCTTCTCCACCTTTAACGCCGCGTGTACGTATCCGGACTAATGCAGACTTCAAAGTTCTAGTTAACTGAGATACCATGCCGCAGAATAGCAGAAGCTCGGACACAGTATACTCCGAGTCCAGTCCTCTGTTGAGCTCCTAAATACCGAGCGCCAGTCAGGGAACAACAAGTACCATCTTTCAATGTCTGTTGGTATGACGCGACGGGATCGAATCACCAACTTTCCGCTTTCCGGGCACACGCTCGATCTACTTGACCACGGAGGCGGCACTTTCAGCTTTTGAGAAGAGGAAACGTGTTGTATTCGGGCGACAGAAAATATTATAATTTTTTTATATCTCTCCAATTTGTAATTAAAATCTCCACAATTGACATTATATATGGAGCGTTGCATATATAGAATGATATCCCCTTGATATGTCTTAGTTTTAAGGCATTTATGACGTATCGCTACCCTTCCCTCGATATGATGATATTGTAATTACCCCGTGTTGTTTCAGAATCAAGGATACTGAGGGTTAACTGAAAGAGACACCACCACCATGACACGGCTTCATCATATGCCACTAAAACATCTAGTAAGTAATAACAACCGTTTTAATGTCAAATATGCCAACGATGATTATAAGCACCAATGCAGAGACCTGAGTGTTGTAGTGTATCAGTAATGCGTCTATGTTACAGTTACAGGTGATTCCTACACAGCTATATGAAATTGGTAAAAGAAATGCCTCAAGTCTTTGTTTCTTCCTAGTGTTTGATGCTGACCATGTACGCTGGACCAGCAACAGTCGCAGGTAATTATGTGTGTTATCATACTTCTTAGAAAATGAACTACTCTGGAAAAGTTTTAGTTCTAGCCTTCATACAGTGTTATAATACCACGTATATCTCAACAGTACTGATGGGCATGGGTGGCCATGTGGTCTGGGTTGTCGAACTTGGCTGCGCTGGACATGGCAGCGTCCCAGTCACCGTGTGAGGATCCGCTGATTGAGGTTTCGCATCTCTGGTTCTCATTGGTTAGCATCACCATGAGTTTCACCAAAGTGGAACATATGTTTTAAGTTTTGAACGTCCTACAATTAAGCTAACAAAGTAAACTAACATACACAATTATTTGTGCTGTTTATTTTGCTATCATTTTAACTGGCGCCACATTGCAAAGTTTGAACAATATATTATATCGTTCTGATTTATCCCATTTCATGGATACGGGGGTTTTTGAACTACACATGACCCAGTGTGCTCGACGGCAATATGACAACTGTGTGGATGGTTACCAGGTGGGGAGGGGTGGTGGGGAGAGACGTGTAACAGAACTGTGAAGTCAGAACATGTTATCAAGGCACCGGTAATTGCATTGGTAACTGTAAAGCGAGATGGCACGGCCAGCGTCGTAGGAAAATATGTTCACATATGTTCCTTAATAAAATTGGTGAAACTATGTAAATTAGCATGGTATTAATATAGTTCAAGATACCAAAAATAATTTGTGAATTGATCTTGATCTTACCATTACAGGTGCTTCCAAGATACACAGTCCCAACTGTGCGAGGTGGCATAGTGGTCAATGTGTGGAATGTTACTACAGGTGGTTTGGACCTCAGTGTGAGAGAAAGTGTGACAGGAACTGCTGGACCACTGGGTGTTATAAGGGTACAGGAATCTGTGAACAGTGTGTGCCGGGTAGATACGGAAGACACTGTAACACAAGATGTCCTGACAACTGTAGATCGGGTAGAGACGGGACTGTGAACTGTGATCGGGGTGGCGGGAGATGCCAGGAGGAGTGTAAGGAAGGTTGGTGGGGAGACACGTGTAGCAAGCGATGTAATAGTAACTGTGAGGGTGGAGCATGCCATCAAACATCAGGTCATTGTATCAGTGACTGCACACATGGCTGGCACGGACTGCTCTGTGACAAACGGTGTTCAGTTGGGTGTCGTGGAAACCGCTGCAGTTGTGTGACAGGGGTATGTACGCATGGGTGTGAGAAAGGCTGGTTAGGTGAAACATGTGAAGAGCAAGAACAGCGAAGAGAATGTAGTGCCACGTGTAAAACGCATGAGTGTGATACGAATGGGAGGTGTTTGAAAGGATGTATAAATGGATTCAGAGGCAGCTCCTGTAACGAAACATGTCCGGTGAATTGCCACATTTGTCAACAAGACACAACGTCATGCACGAGATGCGAACACGGATGGCAGGGACCTATCTGTACCAGCAGAACTATCACACATCATCATCATCGCCCGTCCAAAAAGGAACCGATATTCGACTCACTTGATTCCCCATCTGTACCAAAAGGTATGTGTATCAGAACCAATAGTGAAGCAGCCAGTCTAATCAAAATGAATGTTTCGGTCCAACTGCTTAACAAATGGATCCATCAAATTATTGTACTTTAATGGACCATTGGACATTGAAGTTGTTTAGCTGAGGAATATATCCTGGTTAGTTGAATTCAATATATTGATGATGTATGTTCCTGTAACATAGAAATGAAAACCAAAGACGAAGAATAATGCCTTTGCTTGTTAATGTTTTGGTATCATTCTCTTCCTTTCAGGTAGGGCGAACAGCAGGAATAATGGCAACGTGTTGCTGGTCTTGGTAGCTGTGATTATCAGTGCGATGGGTCACATTGATCTGTCATGTTATGCCTATGAAACAGTCCGAATACAAGGAACCGTACGATACATCTTACAAAAGTTACGGCTACACGTAAAACGGTTGTGTGTGAAGATTGCACGCCATGAGTGTACACTAGTTCATGCGTTTGTAAATTGGCGGTTTCAAAGGCCGTCAATATCAGATTGTATGTCCAGTGGTACGGTAATATTCTCACCGTAGTTTGTTCTCACATGATGCTTCAATATCACCTGCATCGAATGCAATCTTTTATGCTAACTGAAAACATGATTGAATTTCTATCGTTAGATTTCTTAACTATTTACAACCCAAACATCGAGTTGGTCTCACATTTAAGAATGTGTCAAGGGAAAGTAACTCCAACATACTTCACCGTCATAGTGACATTTGGTTTCATCATCTTTTACATTCTTCATACCATTACTTCGAGAACGTATCAACTCAAGCTCAAGTGTGTTGACCATAGAATAGAAACATAGGAACTGATTGGCCGTCAAAAGTGGTATTTCTTATGATGACAAATGTGCACCATGAACAAAGTAAAAATATTCATTTGTTTATTGTTTTCATTAGAACTACGTGTGGGAGAATGAGGATTCGCCTGATTGGTCTCCTGATTTGGCAACTGTTGTACAAAGAAATAATGTGCTGTCAAGCATTGAGAATCTGTTTAATCCTGGACACTGAAAGTCCAGATGTATATGATTTTAAATAAAAAGATATTTTTTTAAAACATGATGAAGTTGGTTTTATGCTGTCCTGGCTTGTACATGTACAGATTCGATTACATGTGTCTGTCATCGTGTGCAGAGTTGCGCCCCTTAGGCGGGCCAGAAATCTATGTCGTGGGTTCGAATCGCCCTTGTCAGCAACATGCTCGTGTTTGTGGGTTTCACCAATGTGGTAAATGTCTAAAGCCTGCATCAAATGGAACTCGCCTGATATGCCGTGATATAACTGATATACTGTTCAAAGCGGAGTTAAAGTAAAATAACTCACTGACATGAATAACAACCATGGAAGGGAAAAACCAAGACATATTATTTGGAATGGAAGTGAAAACTGTGTGATGTAAATACTTCATTTACTGTTGAATATTGTATCTGAATGTGATGGTTTAATACGTCCGCTAGATCTCATTCGTATAAGCACATACTACTTTTCAGTATCTTCCTTAATGTCCAGCTCGTTTAATTTTCTGTTAACCTGTTACTTGTATACCACTACTATGAACGTATCAGCAATTTCACATCGAAATTCACCCTTTTCATTTAATTTAATCGACTTGATGTAGTAGTTATTGACTCAGTCATGCATGGTTTCCTTTACACACACACACCCTTCCCAATGTCCCAAGTGTGACACGTTTGAGCATGTGTAGACCTGTTTCTTTTGTATGTTCAATGTTCCATCAGTTAAAACATAAAGCGAGGGTGTCCTGTTAGAGGAGGTCCAGACTAACGAGATTCCGCTTTGTTGCATCCAGCTATGAAATTCTCGAAGTCTGATTCTGAAATTGATACTATTGATATTATTTTGGACGAAAGCAGTATAGGATTACTTCATTTATCATTAATGGCTTTCGATAGCGCCTCGTGTCACGGAAATAAAATATTACTTAAAACTGAATTCCTACAGATATCCATTTAAACTCACCTCAATCGGTCATTGTATGGTATGAAACAAATATTGAACTATGTTGCCTTGTGAATGCATCCCATTGTGATGCTGACAGGGTTTATCAGTCTGTGATAGCCAACTATCTACATCTTCGAGAATCCTCCTCGATAGATATGTGACGCGATGCATTTAGCACTGCATACCTCCGTGTTAGATCTCCATGTTAACAGTGCAACCACGAACTGAATCATTTATCATATACAGTCGAACCTCGTTATATCGAACCTAGCGGATCCGTGTTGTAACTTTGTGATATCCGGACATTCGAGATAATGAGGCATGAACATTATATAATAAAGTGGCCTGGACTGGAGAAGAGGTTTGAGATATTAGTACGTTCGAGATATCTTGGTTCGAGACAACAAGGCTCGACTGTATATGTTGGTTGCTAACATGGGGATCATGGAGGCATATACAAATGTATGTATATGTAACAAAAGAATTTGACTCTATGCCTGTCGGTACATGAGCTCTTAAAACAGCGACACATGATCTTCACCCAACGTATAGGGGATGTTGTATATCAATACACTTCATCACGCTCTTAAGGAACGCAGAATAGCTTATAACATTACGTGAAACTACATAGTGTCATTAAATGCTGAAGTTGAGCACCGATAAATGTTAAATAAACAAGAGTTATTATTGCCGTAGTTGGAGATCACTTACCTGCAAAAAAGATAATTAATATGACATATCTACCAGGTGTGTGGACCTGCGTTTGCACAATCCAACAGTCACAAAAGCAGTACTGTAAGGATCTCTTCAATGATTGTACTTACATGGTACCACACTGATATACACATAAGTGAAATGAAGAACACATATGACTAAGATATGTCATTAAACACCTGCTCAATTTTTTTCATTTCATTCTACACACACACATATTGCATGCACTAACGTATGCACATGCACATGTACCTACACATACCCATACAAACATACATGTACGAAGGTTCGATCCTACACTTTATATCGCAGACTAACCTAGGGAGTATGCAGCAGTGAGCCGATCTCCAAATATCCGAGGGATCAAACTCCACTACTTGCTGATTCAGCACTACAACCACCACAAATCCAGGTGAGGGGCTTGTGCATTTACAGGTGTGCACAAAGCGGAAAGTTAAACACACCTGAAAATCATGTTTCGTTTCAACTAAGATTTTGAAAAATTTTGCGCTTTGCAGGTCTGACATTTATTGAACTAACAACACTGGGATTATGCTTGTTATTTGTAGATGTGGGCAACACTGAAATTATGCATGTAATATGTAGATGTGGGCAACATTGGGATTATGCTTGTAATTTGTAGATGTGGGCAACATTGGGATTATGCTTGTAATTTGTAGATGTGGGCAACACTGGGATTATGCTTGTAATTTGTAGATGTGGGCAACACTGAGATTATGCTTGTTATTTGTAGATGTGGGCAACATTGGGATTATGCTTGTAATTTGTAGATGTTGGCAACACTGAGATTATGCTTGTTATTTGTAGATGTGGGCAACACTGGGATTATGCTTGTAATTTGTAGATGTGGGCAACACTGAGATTATGCTTGTTATTTGTAGATGTGGGCAACACTGGGATTATGCTTGTAATTTGTAGATGTTGGCAACACTGGGATTATGCTTGTAATTTGTAGATGTGGGCAATACTGAGATTATGCTTGTAATTTGTAGATGTGGTCAACATTGGGATTATGCTTGTAATTTGTAGATGTGGGCAACACTGGGATAATGCTTGTAATTTGTAGATGTGGGCAATACTGAGATTATGCTTGTAATTTGTAGATGTGGTCAACATTGGGATTATTCTTGTAATTTGTAGATGTGGGCAACACTAAGATTATGCTTGTAATTTGTAGATGTGGGCAACACTGAGATAATGCTTGTAATTTGTGGATGTGGGCAACACTGGGATTATGCTTGTAATTTGTAGATGTGGGCAACACTGAGATTATGCTTGTAATTTGTAGATGTTGGCAACACTGAGATTATGCTTGTAATTTGTAGATGTGGGCAACACTAAGATAATGCTTGTAATTTGTAGATGTGGGCAATACTGAGATTATGCTTGTAATTTGTAGATGTGGGCAACACTGAGATAATGCTTGTAATTTGTAGATGTGGGCAATACTGAGATTATGCTTGTAATTTGTAGATGTGGGCAACACTGAGATTATGCTTGTAATTTGTAGATGTGGGCAACACTGAGATTATGCTTGTAATTTGTAGATGTGGGCAACACTGAGATTATGCTTGTAATTTGTAGATATGGGCAACACTAAGATAATGCTTGTAATTTGTAGATGTGGGCAATACTGAGATTATGCTTGTAATTTGTAGATGTGGGCAACACTGAGATTATGCTTGCAATTTGTAGATGTGGGCAACACTGGGATTATGCTTGTAATTTGTAGATGTGGGCAACACTGAGATTATGCTTGTAATTTGTAGATGTGGGCAACACTGAGATTATGCTTGTAATTTGTAGATGTGGGCAACACTGAGATTATGCTTGTAATTTGTAGATGTGGGCAACACTGGGATTATGCTTGTAATTTGTAGATGTGGGCAACACTGAGATTATGCTTGCAATTTGTAGATGTGGTCAACACTGAGATTAAGTTGCGTTAAACCCAACTCACTCACACTCTTTAAATTTCTATATTAGATATGTCAACACAAGTGGACAAAGGTTTCTTCAAGCGCATGTCCCAATCTTAGAGGAAAGCGTCAATGTGATATAGAGTGAGTGAGTGAGTAGTTGGGTTTAACGCCACTTTTAACAATGTTCCAGTTATATAACGGCGTGTGAGCTTAATGTGGGAGGAAAGCCCGAACAGATGCAGGTCTCCAACGAATCCGGCCCATGAGCTTAACGAGCCAGACGAGTCAGTCCCTCAACCACTAGGCTACCCCACCGCCCCTATAGTTTGGTTAAAGATGTTGAGTGCATTTATGAGCTTGGAACAACTCTAAAATAAGATATTAATAATTTCCCCCGACTTTTAATAGTCATTAACGTTTTACTTCCTTTTTAGAAACATTTTCATTGTTTTTTTGTTTTTTCATATTGAACTACACGTACCCACTTCCGTAACATATGCATGCTGAAACATGCTGACCCTGGATGGCTCGTCTTATATCTGTCTAAGGATTTATGAAGCATAGCAATTTACCTGACTTACCCGTCTGTTAACACATGCTTTCATGATTTAAGTCAATCAATGCAGTTATACTTGGTAGTTTGACATAATAGTATAACAATTTCACACAGGGGATAATACATTAGTACAATGTCCTGTCTTCAAATAGTAATCGTCGAAAGGACCCTTGTTAATATTAATCATGAAACTGGAGCCTGACCATACTGAAACTAAAAATCATGCTTTCTAATTGATCAGTTTGCTAGTAATCACCTTTTAATTTCACGTGACGTCATTCTACTTTACAACGAAATGTGAATGCCATGTCCTTGTATGCTAACATCGTTTAGCTCTGTCCTCAAAACATACCTCATATATTTCAAATACTAGTAGTTGAAAATGTTAATACTATTTTAAAGTATAAAGATGGATGCAAGAATATGTTTTCTCTGTACATTGATCTGTAGGTAACTATTATGCCAAAATATTGAATTAAAAGTTGGTTTATGAAGGCAAACCATTTTGCGAAAATCAGTAATTGGATAGTCCCAGGTGCAGACGAGTGTGAGTGAGTTAGCTTTTAACAGTATTCCATTTATATCGCAGCATGTCAGCTTAATGTGTGAGGAAAACCTGATGCAGGTCTCAGAAGTTTACTACTTCGGTGAAACCCACGAACACGGGTATGGTGCTGACAAACCTAGAAACATAATCGGGGCGAACCGGGATTCGAACCCACAATCATATGTTTCTGGTGTGCCCAAGGGACGCAACTCTGCACAGCGAATCGCGGCGCCCTTAGACGACTGGGCCACCCGTGCCCCCGGGTGCAGACGAAGAAGCACACTTAAGAGGAAACATTTATCAAATCAGTGTAGGTTAGTAAGAAACAGATATAATGAAACAGATATCTTCCGCAATATTCCCTTGAAAACTGAGTCACTGCACTTCGTTGCAGTTCCTGTAACAGGCTTAATTTCCTTTCTGAACAGTTTCCCTCAAGAATCAAACAACTTTATAGTTGTCAAAGCAGGACGACACACGAGAACGCGTACAGAGGTAGAGTAGCCTTTACTTCTAGACAGATGTATATTGAAGCATAATGTAACTGAATAAATAAAGCCTTACGGCTAGTTATATTTAATTCCACCTCAGAAGGAAGTTCTATGTAGTATGTATCTTACTAAATATATTACTTAAGGGGCATATGGATACTGACTTGACCCCGACACACTTGGGTAGGCAGTGCATACAACTCGACCAACTGGTGTCAGAGCATTCACTTTACAACGATTCACAGATGTAGGCTTATGATATACATAATAATTGGCAATATCGTATAAATAACTCTGGTTAATTCAATGTAAACATACGTCATCATTGTTTTCAGTAGAGGAAATATGGATTTGACTTGGATATTGTTAATCTATTCATCGCTTGATGTCGGAAGTTGGGGTACGTATACATATTACTATATATATATATATATTCATTTGTCTAAATACACATTGTTCCTTTTAAATGCTATGCATTCATATCAATAAATGACTTTCTCATAACCTGTTTACTTGGTACCAATTCACTTCCTGCATATGAAACAACATCATTCTTTGCTTAAATCGTTTTTGTTTCAGGAGGCAATGATGTTTGCAAACATATTCACGAGTGCTGTCTTTATAAAGACAAACAGTGTAAAAGGGAAACGTCGTCAGATATTTGCAAAGTCGAATGCAGTAAATATCATGATTGTTCCACAAATGACGTTCGGCTTTCGAAAGAAGGGATTGCATGTAATGCAAATTGTACAAATGACATTGGGGCATGTGATGTCGAATGCATCCCTGGACATTACGGTACAAAATGTCATTTTGGATGTAATGGTAAATGTAGAATGCATAAGTGTTACAGAGATAATGGCTCGTGCGTTGACGGTTGTGAGGCAGGCTACTTTGGAGATAAGTGTGAGTCGGCATGTAACAGTAATTGCAAGGACAAAAAATGTGACAGGAGTAACGGAAGCTGCATCAATGGGTGTTCTCCTGGCTATTACGGTGAAGATTGTCTTAGTAAATGTGAAACATCATGCCGTTATCACGTTTGTGATGGGAAGACTGGCAACTGTCTTTTTGGATGCACTGAGGGGTTCTATGGGCTTCTGTGCCAAAAGACTTGCTCTGACGATTGCTTTCTGTGCCATCCTGAAATTGGGGAATGCATCATTGGTAGGTACATATTTGCAATAACTTTTGAAGTAAGTGCGAATTCAGAGCTTATCAGAGGGATTCGCGTATTGTGATACATACTTAAGTAACATAACCATATTATGTGGATAACAGATTAAGAAAGGTTCTATATACCTTTGTGGATTCAGACAATAGCTCCTGGTAACTCTCTTGAATTGTTTCAGATCATATTCCTGAGCTCGAGGGTACTCCTTGCACCACGAAGATACTCGTTGTCTTTTGGGGGTCAGCTGGAGTGTTCATCCTCCTTGCTGGAGCGGCAGTGTTGATGTACAGGTAATTCACATTATTGTTTAATGTTTATGTATATTCAAACGCCAGTCTACATGTTGCCGTACATACGTAAGATAAACATACATGATGCCATTGGTCCAGATAATCAGCTATTGTTTTAAAACTGTTGATAACAGTAATGTTCTATTTTTCAAAAATATTTTTATCTTCTTTCATTTTCAATAACATGTCAAATATTAGCCCTGCTAACAATAAAATATCAACATTTTAATCCACTTAGTCAGATCACCTTTTGACTGTTTATGACCCATCAGTGTAGTGATGAGTTATAACTTGTTTCCTAGTCATGGCTTAGGATAATTCCTTTAGATCAACCATGATCAGCACCTTAGTCTTATTTTAGTTAATTACCTAAGTTAATAAATCTAACAGTAAAGTTTGCAATCAATACAATACAAATGGGCTGATAACCTGACGCGTATACATTACTTTTGAAACTACACGTTGTCCGTCTGTATTGGTACAGTTAGGATAAAACAGCAAACAAAAAACGAATAATATATTTCGTATTTATTCATCACAGGAGCCAAACTTGTAGTTACACTCACAAGAAAAAGAAGAGAGGATTAGACACGCTGTTCATAGATACTAGAGCTCCAATGGGCTTACCCAACGTGCCCAGTCAGGACACCAGATCAAGCCACTATGAGGAAATCATGTGTGGTGACACAGATCGTCACTTTCAGCATATTAGTAAAAGTACGGGTAGTATAAACCTGAGAACCTTAATCAACACCATGAAACATCCAAACCAATGCAACACCGCTAAACGTAAAAGAAACAGGGCAAACGTCGGGAGAAACGCAATGTCACTTGCGTCATCGGTGCACACAATAGACAATTTTCCAACGTGTTGGCTAGGATCGGAGACTGATTTTGATGAAATGTCGGAACATCCTGATAAGAAGGAAGCACCTCTGGTAAGATCCCTTCAAGCTTCCCAGAAGGAAGCCGTGCGTTTTTCAGATGCCCCAAAGGATGAGGATGAAGCAGAAGATATGGATACATCCGTGAAGGAAAGAGAGGGAGAAACTAAGTCACAGGCTGACGATGTGCCAAGGGAAGAAGCTGGCAAGAGATCCTACATCTCCGCTGTTTTTAATGAAACGGATGAAGATACAATGATCGATGATACATGTAAAGGAATATATCCGGGATTGAAAAAGGAAGACTAAACAGCCTTGTTTAGGTGTTTATTGTTTCTTTAAAAGGTTCAAAATAGTTTGTGGTAAACAGTCTGAAGCAAAGTGCATATATCTGTTGCAAGGGTGATTTCAAACTTCATATCTTACTTCCTCTTCTCGAACGAGGTTGATCAAACACGTTTGACTTTCTAGACATTAAGCCTTTTCAGCGTTTCCATTACATCTGGAACGTTCCCTCATTAAATGGTCACATAGAGTTCCACCAGGTGTTGACTGTAACATTGAAGACAGCACAGAGATTTTGCATATGTGGTCGCCCTTCTGTTTCCTGGACATTGTTGGTCGTACAATGTTTGTGAACCATATATATTTTGACCTTGACTTGATGACATGATGACTTTTAGAGTAATTCGTGATGATTCCATTTTTATTTGGTGATATTATATTATTAATTCAAAGGTCTTTTTACTCTAATCATTATGAGTGCGAAAACGACGTGGGAACTTATTTGTATGATACAAATGCTTGATTTCAATTATAGCTCTGCATTTGTGTCGATATAACATGAATATGAAGTTATTTCTGTTGAACCCAGTATGCGCTACATGCTATTTTATATCAATAAAATTAGTTTATACTAGATTTCTCCCTCTTGTACTTTTTATTTGTCATTTTACATGTTGAGAGTTTTCAAATGTGTAAATTGGTACGTGTTGTTTTATATAAAACTATATATCTATTTTTTGCCGAGACTTATTCATACACTTAACGTGAATTCGAAGTATCTCGATGGCTGCATGAATCCCCCAGTCTCACCCATCAGTTGAGGCTCAAAGGAACTATTTTATGTATTGTCACGTTCGAAATGCAATACAGGCAAAAAGATAGATGCAAAGGGAGTTAGTATAAAACGTCACAATGTGAGTATGTAGGACTCTACATAATATCCTTTCGTCACCTTGTAAACAAATTTATGTTTATTCATATAGTTTTATCTATTATTGTTATTGTACAATAATATCTGCCAAAATAAGACGTCGAAGGAGCTACTTGCAGCTATATTCATTGTTGTCAGATTAGTAGTTTTTGTAACGAGTAAACACCAAGCAATATATATTAACTTGCCTTCCAATAGCGTTGTGGGTGCTCGCATTATCCCTTACATTACGTAATTTGTAATTTTGTACGTTTCAGTACACGTCTTCAAGTGATAAATTGATTTTTACTATCGCTAGTGCCCATGTAGTATCGAAACGAGGAACTAAAAAGTACACAGCAAACAGTACATAAACAAGTTTGATTATATTTATGAAACCATGTCACTAACGAAACAGTTAAATTGTTGGTATGGAATAAACACACTCTTCAATGTCAAATCAAAATTGATCTCAAAGAACTCGGTGATTCGACTGATTCCGAATCAGCACAACCTTATTACATCATGTTTGTTTCCTGTATTAATTACTCATGCTGTTTACTTGTGAAACATCAACCAAATACCCTTGATCAGTTTATGACTAAGATTCGGTTTATGTTTCCCGTTGATAAGTCTCTGATGTCTGTGCAAATATGACATACCAGATTCTCATACCCGCCCGACCTTCCAGATACCCCACGCCACAACACATTATATTTGGAGTCTTCGTCATGTTCAGTTCTTTCACCAACGAAACTAGGAGCTTGTTTACGACCTTTTAAATATTCATAATAGCAGTACAGATTTATCGAGTATTATGTGCTGTCAAAACCTACGTCAAGTGAACGAACATATAAGATAACCGACTTGGTCAATGAAACTGTGACATTTGCGATAAAACATCACTAGATATGATGCTTTACCATTTCAATTGTATTTCCTGTTCAGGTAAGTGTTGTTTCATATGCAGAATTTACGATTACCGTGTGTATTAATCTCTTAAAATAAGCCGGAAATTGCAATCAGCTGTGCACACATTTTCTCCCATTACCACCGGTGATTCAGTAAAAAAACATTTACAGTCAGTTAACTCCTTTGCTTCGGGAAGATGCACTTTAATATATTGCCTGATGTCTTTACGCATGGAACAGTTTGACGAGTCCCCGTTAGAAGCTTCCCGCGGACTTGGATGACGAAAACATATTATAGTCTAACTACGACAAATATGACTTATTACAAGTCAAAGTATGGCATCTGAGATATTTTCCATTCTCTGTTGTTTGTGCACCCCTCTATACAGCTGTATGTTTGTGCACCCCCTCTATACAGCTGTATGTTTGTGCACCCCCTCTATACAGCTGTATGTTTGTGCACCCCCTCTATACAGCTGTATGTTTGTGCACCCCCTCTATACAGCTGTATGTTTGTGCACCCCCAATACAGCTGTATGTCAGTGCACCCCCAATACAGCTGTATGTTTGTGCACCCCTCTATACAGCTGTATGTGTGTACACCCCTCTATACAGCTGTTTGTTTGTGAACCCCCTCTATACAGCTGTACGTATGTATGTACGTATGTACGTATGTATGTGTGTGTGTGTGTGTGTGTGTGTGTGTGTGTGTGTGTGTGTGTGTGTGTATGTGTGTGTGTGTGTGTGTGTGTGTGTGTGTGTGTGTGTGTATGTATGTATGTATGTATGTATGTATGTATGTATGTATGTACAACAGGTACAAATTAGTTATCATAAACTTAGTATGATATGTAAATCCCGTCAAGCAGAGAACAAATAACCAGAAAACGTACATGTATAAACTTGTATTGGGTCCACAGTGCGTCGTTCTGGACTGGAGTCTGCAGTAGAAATCTGCGTAATAAGAACATTCACCTGGTCCCCTGTGTCAGTTCACGTCGACAAAAGGATCGTTTAACGGGAAAGTAATTTTAACAATTGTGATGACTATCTTTATGAAGGAACGTTTGGTGGGTATCTGTTGGAGATCAACACCATCCAGAGAATTTGTCAGTGTCCCCATGTCACGATAGGTCTTTGTTTTAAAGCCTCATAGCGCGTCCACGACTTAGCATATCACTATTTCCTTACATAACAGAGTGTCACGTATACACAGCCTCTAGTTTCATAATATGTCATCACCGTGAACTCCCAACATGCGTGAAGAGGATCCATCAACTGTATTGATCAGCATAGCGGAAATGAAACTTAATGAGTTTCTTAATAAAATAATCATTATACGGCAAATACTGACGACAGTAATGAAAAAAGATAGATTTCCTCGGATTTGGGATACTATAAGTCAAATCCTGTAGGCAAGTTATCGATCGCCTGGGTATGTATCAATTCATTACAGGTTCAGTCAAAGCTCTTAAATGAAATAAAATTTACCTTATACGTTTGAAATTAATCTTTTCAAATAACTTCTAACATTCCTTTTGAATACCACAAATTGTGGGAGCCTATTATAAACGATAATCATCTTTAGCTTAGAAGATGATACTAAATTAAGGCAGAGGTTATATAAACTGACCCGGAACTATTGTCAATTTATGAAAGCATTCTAAAAACGAAATATCATCTACGTATATGATACTTATGCCTACATGATACTTCCATGTACATATATGATATTATTATCTACACAGAAGAAAGTATCATCAACCATCGAACTATCGTCTTCGGTAACAATATTTTCGCGAGTAATTGACTATAGTTCCGGGTCCTTGTTTTAGCCCCTTAATGCCGAGCGCCAGACCGGGTAACAATAAGTACCATCTTTTAACGTCTTTTGGTATGACGCGGCCGGGGATCCAACCCCGGACCTTCCGCTCTCCGGGCGGACGCACTATGTGTGTGTGTGTGTGTGTATTACATGTATATTCAATACCAGTAGATGAATTCAGTCTGGAGAGTTTTATACAAAGCTATTTGCAACTGTTACCTCCTCTGCGACATCTCAATGGAATGTTTATCATACATTGGATCTTGTTATAGCCATTATATCTACCGTGTTAATGGGGGTTAACGTCGCATTCAAGATAGTGTGTGCGTGCGTGCGTGCGCGTAGGCGCGTGCGTGCGTGCGTGCGTGTGTGTGCCACTCACACTCAGACAATATTGTTTTATCGCCCTAATTCCGAGCGCCAGGCAGGATAGTAACAGTACATCTTTGTACGAGGATCGAACCACCCATCTGCCGCTCTCCTGGCACATCCACTAGACCACGGAGGCGGTACTTTAAATCTTTGAATGTTTTGTGAAATTTGAATTTTGAAAAAAATAACAGATAAGACTTATATTCAAATCCCAACGATGCGAACACTCTAACATCAAGAATCCCGCTGCTTAGAAATGTAGTAATAAAACTTTGTGAACATGATAATAGTTATAAGAAGATCTCGATTTGTGGAAATTTGAATTCTAAATACTTATAGTGAGTTGGGTTTAACGCCGCCTTCAACGGTGTTCCATTTACGGCATGTCAGTTTAATGTAGGGGGAACGTCGGAAGTGCACAGCGAATTGCGGCGCATCAGACGACTAGGATAGACGTGCCCATAAATACGTTTGATTAAAAGTGACTTACATTAAATTCATATGATGATAAACAAAATATTTATTTGGACTAAATGGTGTAAGATTCTCTCGGAACAAGCTAATAAGCCCTTTCCCTGTAAGATCTATAATAAGGAAGTTTGAACTGCCCATAAATAATTCATTTGAAATATTTGATAGGAAAATAACCCCTATTTTAAAGTATGGAAGCGAAATATAGGGCTTTGTTTACAGAGAAAGTATGGAATGTGTCTGTAGGAAATTCTGTAAATTCCAATTAGGTGTGGGGTATAGTTTTTCGAATGCGGCCACCTATGGGGAGTGTGGGAGACTTTCGTTAAGTTCTAATTATTATTGTTAAACTGCAAATGTTACATTTAAGTCAAAATATCAAATCTTGAAAAAGAACAACAGAATATACGGAAGTAGTGTCCATGCAACGTTGCATACAAAGTTTCAGAGCGAAGGACGTCTTTTGAGAGAGTTTTACAGCATATTCGAGGGTATCAAAGGGAGAAGGTAAGTACATAAAAAATTATATATTATCGAAAAATAACATGTGTTGAGCCCCGGCACTACTAACTTCGAACCTTTTGAAAAATGTCATGATCAGGTGTCATTATTGTTTTGAGAAGCAGTGTGAAGTTTGAGCTTCATTGTTCCGGTGGTTTCTGAAGAGAGAATGTTCACAAAACCTGGGATGCTTTTTTAGAGAAATAACAGCATGGTCAAGGTGCAAAGGTTAAATATAGGTCAAACTTAAAGTTCGAAAAAGAAACCCAGATTAGTATGTTGAGTAACACCACCAACTAAACACACAACGGATATCATTACTTTTGAAAAACATGGTAAGGGTTATCTATATAGCTGACGAGGCGAATTTCGAATGTTTTGTAAGCACATTACACAAAACACATGTAGCGACAAGTTGTTTGTCGTTTGCAGTTTTAGGGGAAAGACCCTTCTTTAAAGCTGCAGAGTCCGTATCATTTCAGAATTTCACAATCTCCACAATCTAGTATATTTAAATGTTATTGACTCTCACGTCAGCACAATCTATTTGGACGTTTATTATCATATAAACAAAATGCAGGTAGAGACATATCGCGTGACTGCATTTTACTGGAGCATGTAAAATGGAAATGATATTAACATTTGTCACGAACACGGCCCATGCCTTTTTATATTTTTCAATATTAATTCAAAAGAATTCACTTATTCTTTGAAAGGTCCTCTTCATTCATTATACGACTTGTCATACATTATGTAGAAAACAATGGTCGTTATCTTGATCTATTAAAGAAATAGCACCATTGTTCATGAAAATCAATCAAACGATCATAAAATGCACGCATAATATTATTGCCACGTAACTGAAATTCAGGCTGTAAAGTTTACGGATCAAGAAACAGATTACAAATGGAAATACAAACACATCTTGTTATTATATTGCAAAATAATCCAGTATTTTCCGTAAAATGATAACACATGAACTGTTTCCTTTTGAGAACATTCAGTTTCCTTTAACATTTGATTTAATAGCCAATGTTTTTTTTATAGCAGGCACAGTTGGAGAAGAAGGAATGTGTCCTATGTACATTACGAATATGAGTTGTGTGGTATATGTATCAGTGAATAGATAGAAGATAAGAAGCATAACAAGTTTAAACATTGAATGTGTTTATGGATGTAAGATTATTCAACATATTCAGGCAATGTGTCGCCATAGTGGTAGTGTCTGTTTTTGTGTTCGTGATAGTGTTCCCATTAATTGGGTTACTATCCTCCTTTTCAACAGGGGAAACATGGACCTAATTTGGATTATGTACTTCTGTCTAACTCTTGTTCTTGCTCAAGATGACAAAGTGACCGGAAGTAAAGGTACGTAAGCGTTTAACCCATGTCACTATATTTCAAATACACATATAAATATTTATGTCTGCATGATTTCCTTTCAATGCTTTGACGAAGACATACACCAGTCACATTTAAATATTGAGTAACAGATGAGTAACAGTTTACTTGTTCTCTGTCAAGTATCAATATATCACGCGAACCTATTTTACTCTTGTTTATTTCAGGAACTGTGAATGACAACCTGATAGCGCCAGCACAAGACACCACTACTGTCCGAGGTAGGTCAGTAGGTTTCCGGGATCAACATTAGGGATGTCATTTGAACAGAATTGGTTAGCAATATGACTAGATGTAACGTCACACGCTCTGATTGATATTATGGTACCAAATGTCAATGTAGTGATAAATGTTAAGACACTAAATGCAACAGAGATACTGGCACTTGTCTTGGTGGTTGCCAGACAGGTTACTTTGGAATAACTTGTGGTAGAAAGAGAGCAACCATTTGATTTTAGTATGAGATCAGCATTATTTCTAAATGTTTCGGAGATCAATCTTTTTTTCCAACATAAACAGGTGCTCAAATTATTTAAATATATATATATTTTTTAAAAACACTTTAATATAGTCACATCTACAGGATGGTTAGCTCTCTCTCTCTTTTTTTTGGCATCCGTTGAGCTCGGGAGTCCATGAATCCGCGCCCGTGTTGAAGTAAGGTCTTTGGCACTGGCAGAGCAGCCCCTGTGGCGGTTGTACAGGCTTACTCCGGAATGGCAGTCGCTGAGAGATGGCGTCCGTTGGCGCTGTACTCTTCGTTGGCGCTGGTCTTCCGCTCAGCCGGTTTTTCCTAGAAGACTTGCTGCAGCTTGGCCTCGCCTCTCTTGAGTCCTCTGCTGATCATGACGTCCTGCACGTCCTGCCTCAATCGCCTGCAGACGGCGGCGCGTTCCTCCCATCGCTCCACGTCCATGTCCGCTTGCAGACGTCTTTGAAGGGGGGGGGGGGGGATAGGGACGTCCATGTGCCTTTTAGACAGAGGCGAACTTATTCGGGGTCCTCCCGTCCTCCATGCGGCGGACGTGGCCGAGCCAGCGAAGACGGCGTTGTTAGAGCAACGGAGGTTCAGGGGAGCAGGGAGAGAACTTCAATGTTTGTGACACTACTGCTGATTTTGACGATGCGCCAGGCTGCGCTAGTGAAAGGCGTTGAAAATATTTTCTTGTCTGGAGAAGAGGGTCCAAAACTCGCTGTCGTACAGCAATTTGCTGACGTCACACATTCTCTTCGTCAATTTTGTGAGGACGGAAGACGCTTTGCCGACCCGCCTGTTGATCTGAGCATCCACGGGCAGATTGTGTGCGACGGGGGAGCCGAGGTAGGTGGACTTATATTCAGTTGTGCCTTGACATAAATGTTCTGGCTTGGTATATTTCAGAACCCGAACCCGAACGTTCTTGCACAGCAGAGATACTCGCTGCTTTTTGGGGGTCAGTTGGAATGTTCATTCTACTTGCAGGAGCTGCAGTGATCATGTATAGGTAAGTCAGGCCAGTGCACATTAACACTGGATGAAGAGATATACTTAAATGATGTAATTCAATTTTAATTTCAATCCCATGACTACCTGCAGTAACGCTCCTTTGCATATCAATTATGATGAAAGTAAATGTATGAATATATGACTGTACTTGCATTTGTCAAAGCATGTGTGTGTAGTTTTGTATGTGTGCGCGCGCATACGCTTTGCTTATCTTCCAATTATGATAAACATTGTTGTTCCCACAGGAATCGAATGCTTACTTCCATTGGGAAAAGGAGAAAAAAGGGATTAGATACACTGTTCGACGACACTTCCTCTCCTATGCGACCTCCGTCCAGGGCCCATCGAGAATCCATGTTAAGTGGCTATGCTGACGTAATGAGCATCGACACTGCCTGTCACTATCGTCGTGTCAGCAGAAGTCTTGGCAGTATCAACTTTAGAACGTTCAGAGCGAGCACCGTGAAGGGTTCTACTCTGTACAATACTAAAAGAAGTAAAATGAGCACAAACGCCGCAGTGGACATTACCATATCAGTGGAGCCCCCACAATTTAAAATATACGATCAGCAATCGTATTGGTTGGGCACGGAGACGGACTTTGAAGACGTCTACAAAAGTTCCCCAAAGAAAAGGGCAACTCTTCGCAGATACTATGCAGGTCTTCAGGAGGACACCCGTACGGATAAAGATGAAGAGGATACAGCATCGGAGGAACCACGGGGAGCCACTGGGACGCAGACTCACTGTGCATCAAGGGATGTACGAAGCAAATTTCTTTACATCTCCCCTGTGTTTAACGAAAAAAATGCAGAATCAAAGACATGAAAACACTTTCATTGATAATATTCGGTAAATCAGGACAAAGTGTCGGCAGTCACTGAGTATGAATATCTTCATCTGTAAGTGTCAGAAAATCTTAACTATCAACTTATTGTGCATATACCTGGTGACTGGAGACATACGTTACTGTCTAAATGACGAATTGTACTCTTTACGTCATCAAAGACAAAGACAACATGTGCGATATGTTTCGATATCAAGTATTGTATGGACTGTAATAATCTATTAGTGATCGTGGCACGCATGTGGTGTGATGTTAATGATTAGCGTAGTGCGTCGCCGTTCTAATATCACAGGCTAGAGAGCAATGACTCTTTTGCTGTCTCTTTATTGTCAGTATAGCACCCCCTCGTTAGTCTCCAAGTTATCTCGGAGAAAGTCAACCTTAACCTCTAGGTTTTTCATGCATGTTTTCTCATGCGAACTACCAACTGTATCGAGCTATATTCTTAAAATGAGTATTTAGGATTATTGTATTAAATAAACACTCCGTGTAAATACATATTCAGCTTACATAAAATGTTCCATTATTAATTATGTCATAAAGAACATATTTGTAAATAATTTATTCTATGGATTATACGATGAGCTAACATGTACAAGCCTCAGTGTATACATTAAAGTTGAGTAATTTATAGATATTGCACTTCTGTTGCGACGTGCATGTACATGTAATTACATGTATGTACGTGTGTCTGTGTGTGTGCGTGTGTGTCTGTGTGTGTGTGTGTGTGTGTGTGTGTGTGTGCGTGCGTGCGTGTGTGCGTACATGCCGGTGTACGTGCGTTCGTACGCGCATTAGGCATCTTGAGATACCATGCCGCAGTTTAACATGGATACCCAACTCAGACACAGAATTCTGACTCCGCGGTGAGCTCAATTATAATGCAAGTACTTTAGAGTGGCCCAGACGTCTAAGGCGCCGCGATTCGCTGTGCAGAGTTGCGTCCCTTGGTTCGAATCCCGGATCGCCCCGATTATGTTTCTAGGTTTGTCGGCACCATACCCGTGCTCGTTGGCTTCCCCGAAGTGGTAAACGTCTGAGACCTGCATCACTTCGGGCTTTTCTCCCACATTAAGCTGACACGCCGCGATATATATCATGTAATACTGTTCAAAGCGGCTCTAAACCCAATTCACTAACTCACCCACTCAAGTACTTCATCGCGATCGGCTTGGTGTGATGAAACCAAGGAGCTTCCGCCCTCCGGGCAGGCGTTATGGCTCAAGCACGAAGGCGGCGCTCTATACAATACATGACCCAAATGTGTAATCTGTAATTGTCCTGACTTTACTTTGGTGTCTCCTGTTTAAGAGGAATATAGACATCGGTTTGTAAGCCAGGTTTTGATTATCATGGGTTCGAAATTCAAGATACTCTCTGATAATCTAAATCTTGGTTTCTAAGCACCATTCCGTGCTTACGGGTCCCACCAGTAGTGATCAGCGTCTACTCACTGTCATCGCATATTGCATGCAGCATCGGAATATTGCTGAATGCGGCCTTAAACCAATAGTGGAGATCTAGACTGGCTTAAACCGGTGTTACATCATGTAAATCGTTTATATTCGTCTAACAGTATATTTTTTAGCTTTATAAGTTTATTATGTTAACATTTTTCTTCATTGGACTCTGACCCGTGAAGATGCGGGGTAGAATGGGTCTTCAGCAATCCATGCATGACGTAAAAGGCGACCATGCTTGTTGTAAGAGGCGACTAACGGGATCGGATGGTCAGGCTTGCTGACTTGGTTAATGCATGTCATCGTATCCAAATTGCGTGGATCACGCGATGCTCGTTTTGTCAATCCCTGGATTGTCGGGTCCAGACTCGATTATTTACAGACCGCCGTCATATAGCTGGAATATTGCTGAGTGCGGCATTAAACAACAGGAAACAAAACATCAAAGGACTTGACCGCCTCCGTGGTCTAGTCGTAGAGCGTCTCCCCGGAGAGCGGAAGGTCCGGGGTTAGATTCTCGGCCGATACATACTAAAAAACGTTAAAAGATGGTACTTGCCTGTCCGGCGCTCGGCATTAAGGGGCTAGAACAAGGACTGGTCGACTTGGAGTCGGAATTCTGTGTTTGAGTATTCCTGTTAAACTGCGGCATGGTATCTCAGTGGGCTAGCACTATAAAAGGAGCATTAGTCCGGACTAATACAAGCAGCCACACAAACACACACACACACACACACACACACACACACACACACACACACACACACACACACACACACACACACACACACACATGTGCATGCACGTCGCGATACAAGTGCAATAATTTTGGACGCGACGATAAACCTCATTTCACCTCTCCTCACTTTCATAGAACTCTGGTTTCAATACGACATGCTTATACGCACATAATACAAGTATGTCCTCCAGAATATATTAAATGATCTAACTTAACTAAACCTATTGTAAAAACGCTACGCTATTTCTTACTGTTAAACATGTCACTTTTTAAGTTCCTTGACGCTGATTTTGTTAATCCTCTCATAACAGGCGTACAACATTGTAAATCTGAATGTTTTGAAAATACTTAAATGCACTATTTCACATACGTCCAACTTTTCTATAATTGTTTTCGTAGGTTCTAATTTAAGGCGTCTTTCTGTAGGTCAATCAGACGCTCATTTACGGACAGGTGTGGCATTTCGTAATGTTGAATAATTGCGTAATTTTGTTGTTTTTCTGAGTGGCTGTTGTCAGCACGATGCTAAACAATGCATATGGAATCCCGTAAACGCACATGTTTTTATACCCATTCTTGGGTTGTGAAATGCATGGGGCTTGCATAAAAATCAACTTTTTCATGGAATGCATGCTTTTCTGTAGCAGTTGCGTTTTTTTGTGACTTGATTCCATACATGTACTACAATAATGAAAACCAAACTTTACTTGTTTGAAAAATACACTAAATAATTGGTGTCACAGGAACTTTTGTTGTTGAGTGTATGTATTCTATATTTGAACAATGAGGACAATGCTTAATGGCAGTGTATATCCTGTTCCCAACAGCAGGATCAATGTCAGTACAGAATATCCTTGCATCCCTCATGGTATTCCAACTCAGGCACCTCCACACATCGAAACACTCCTATACTATGCCGGTGTTGTGCAATACATACCATGAAAAAAACAAATATAGAGCCCGGCTTACTCATATCAAACACATGTACAAACACAAGATAATTTCAAATTAGTCAATTAATCAACACCTTAGCAATGATAACAATAACATCAATAATATTAATTAAAAAATAATACACTTCCTGACAAAAGAAAGTATACACTCATGTTTGATGGTGGCTAAAACTAAGACAAATAATAAATGGTTATTCGATGGTGATATTATTGATAAGTTTGCAGTATTTCGGCGACTGTTTTCATCCCAGTAATCTTTGGATGACATTTGTCATGTGATGTCCCGAATCCACCCACCGATTCATGCACTAAGAGCTACCTCATTATGTCCCTGGTAAAACACAGCTGGGGAGAAAACCACACAAGCTGCCTGAGGAGGTACTAGAAGGTTTAAATCCAGATAACCATCTCATCCTACCGGGTAACCCTTCATTGCTGGGTGGACTGAGTGAACAAAGTCACTTGACTTAGTGTGGGGCGTGACCGAAGCCTCATAAACCCTCAGGAGTCCAGCTTGTCGAACACGGTCACCACAACTCTACATCTCCACAACCAACGTCGCCTGATTTGCAACATGTGCGCTGTCCACAGGACCCCATGCCACGTCCCTCTTACCATCCCAAACAACAGGAAAAACAGAATGGTTGCCCAGGAAATATTGTATATAAACACGATTTACCATTTATTACTGTCCTATGACATTCAATGTTTCATGATGTTCACGGACATTAACTGTTTCGGTAATATATCACCGGTTTAATTTCTCCCCTAAAACATAACATACGTAGATGGTACTTGACGACAAATGATGCAGGTCATATTCATGCAGTTATACACGCGTTTATAACGAAAACAGATTTTCTTTGTATTCCCTGGAAAATTTCTTATAGGGGCAACCCACCCGAGTATTGGGTAGTGCAGGTTATGTCAGCCTTACATTGTAAACGCACAGAGTCACGACAATGAGTACTGAGTCATGGTGGTAGATATGCAGACATGTACTCGTATATATATAACCTCTGCTCAGAAAACTGATCTAATTTTATACATGACTACATTCAATCGCTAGCAATGGCCGACGCCAAGCCGATAACACTTGGACGTTAGACAACACCACCCGGCCTGTAAGTTTACAGTAGCATAATGGACTACCTGTTTGTATCACACATTTCATACGGTATTTATTGTATCAACATAATGTATCCCCATAATCATCATCATCATAAAACTCGGGCTTGACTTCTATGGTGTCTGTATCTTCTGCTCTCGGCACATGTCACAACAAGTAACATGCATACTATCGGTAACAAGTAGATGTCCCTGTGTGTTCTTAACGGTTAAGTTATTATTTTATTTGTATTCCAAAGTACTTATTTATATTTTCAGATGCCATGAGGGGTCAATGTTGCATGCACGTACTTGGAGTGGTAAGTTAGGTATTTGTTTCTAATCTATACGATGGATATACATGTAAGTTTGTTGTCTGTACGTGTTTTTTTCTAATGCTGCACTCGGCAATATTCCAGTTTTGTGACGGCGGTCTAAATAGTCGAATCTGGATCAGACAATCCAGTAACCATGAATCTATGCAATTAGCTAGTAAACGATGATATTCATCAACCCTGTCACCAAGTCACCCGATCTTTACTGAGGCAACAATAAAGTGGAGGTCGGATGACAATAGCGCATGTTTGTTGTTTTTTCACTCTCGCAATGTTTTACTCTGCCATTCATCGTGCTCTTACGTTTTTACTTCTTTTGATGAAACAAATGATTATATACCTGATGTAATGGGTTTTGCAGAGTGTAATGGTGGGATTGGGATCTCTGTTGATACAAGCAAGTGAGTATTACATAATTATCATTGTCACATATTGTATTCTTTATGATCAGGAATCACTGTAAAGGTTTCATTAACACTCCTATGTGTATCACTGCTATATGATATTCCAAGAGTTCATTAAAGCAAAAACAATATCGAATATTAATGTCCTGAAAACTATGTATGTTTCATAAATAAGTAACTGCTGTCATAACAGATGAGTCCTGCAACGAGAGATGTTCCTATTGTGTGGGGACGAAGTGTCGGGAATGCCTCTACGGCTGGTATGGACGCGATTGTAATGAAAAATGTAGTGAGTTTTGCTGGCATGGTGGATGTGAGAGGATAACAGGACGGTGTCACCAGTGTGTTCCTGGGAGACACTCTGGCTACTGCAACCAACTCTGCTCACACCACTGCAGGGAGAATAGCAAGGGTCAGGTCAACTGTGACTTATCAACTGGAAACTGTTTGGAGGACTGCGTAGAGGGAAGATGGGGTCCACGATGCCAGCACAGATGTCATGCAAACTGTAAAGATGAACTTTGCTACAAAGAAGATGGAGGATGTCTGAAAGGCTGCCTTGATGGACTGTATGGCGTCAAGTGTAAAAAGCAATGTTCAGAAGGTTGTTTGAGCAGCACGTGTGAATGGTTGACTGGTAAATGTAACCAAGGATGTAAGGTTGGTTTCCTTGGCTCCACCTGTTCGTACCCCATGACTAGACACTGTCTGAACCAGGCTTACTATGCAGAGCATCATACCATGGCGTGTACCGATGGATGTGAAGATGGTTACACTTCAGCAAGTTGCAACGAAACATGTAATACCAGATGTCTTAAATGTCATCAGTATTCACAGACATGTCAGTTATGTATGTCTGGATTTTATGGAGACAAATGCCAACTTGAATGTCATACGAACTGTCAGGAATTGAACTGTGACATGTCTGGTCGATGTGACAGAGGGTGTAAACGAGGTTTCCGCGGTGGATATTGTAATGAAACCTGCCCATACAACTGTTTGGCATGTAGTCAACATTACAAGACTTGTACTGAGTGTAAAGTAGGGTATACTGGTGCTACGTGTACAGAGGTGGAGTCATACAACAAGTTAGACGTCACAGGTAATGATGCTACATATCTATTCTAAAATACATTGTTAACAAACCTTGGTGAAAACCTTAACTGAAAGAAGCGGAATTAGCGTCGATGTGCATACATAGTGTTAATACATTTGACGTGATACCGTTGGCTACAACAATAAAACAGATATACGGATTAACGAATCTTTGTCTCAGAGTATATCCTCTGTATACATTTAGATTTTCCCTGTACAAGCATTTCTGGAAATTCGGGGTCCGGCATAATGAGGTTTACTGTGTAATGCTCTTTCTTAACAGTTCAGTATTACCATGTAACCCATTAAATGTTCAAGAGTAGTTACATGTTCTTGATAGTTCTCAGACTATATGAAAATCGCATGTAGCTATGCTTAACATCTATAACGTTTGTTTCAGTCAAAGTGTCTTGCCTCGTTTCAGATACGGTGTCACACAGCAAGGCCTGCATCTGGTTAACACTAACAATGTGGACTGTAACGTATCAGTTGTCCTCGTGCATAACGTGAAGGAACATTGGAACACGATCTTAGATGTTTAAATCAATCTTTGTGGACTCATCATCTGATGTGACGTGACAGTTCTTTTTGCTACCAACTTGATGTCTCGTTTCTCGTTTTTAGTTACAACGCTTTTCAATTTAGTACTCTGTAGAGTACAGCTGCCAGTTACATTTATTGTGACATCCTCTGTTGAGTGACCACTAAAAGGTAAAATAATATAATAGAATGAAATCGGACAACATGCTGCACACGCATTTATTATCACTTTCCAATAAAATAGTTTCCACTTAACTGAAGTGTGTTGTTCCTTTTTTCCTTCACCGCCTACGTACACTCAACTTCACCACATTATTTTGCTTCGGAGGAGTTCCATGAAGTAACTTAATGGTGGCGTGACGGACAGGGAGAAACAATGAACCATTTATTACATTCTGGTGCCTTCCTTCTATTCTTTATCAACCATGAAGCTGTTAACATGTCAACGATTTTGAAATGTACAGAACACGTTTTAATCTTTCACTTTCAAATGAGAGTGACTGAGTGAGTTGGGGTTAACGCCTCTTAACATTATTCCAATGTCAGCTTAATGTGTGAGGAAAACCCGAAGTGATGCAGGTCTCAGGCGTTTACCACTTCGGTGAAACCCACGAGCACGGGTGTGGTGTTGACAAACCTAGAAACACAATCGGGGCGAACCGGGATTGGAACCCACAATCAAAGGGTTCTGGCGTGTCCAAGGATCGCAACTCTGCACAGCGAATCGTGGCCCCTTAGACATTGTACTGAAAGCAGAAGTATATAATTACAAGTATGCATATTTTGTATGTTTCACTAGTTGAGTTAGGGTTGTATGTGTTGGGCTGTAATAATGCGCATGCAATATCTCCCCGATATCGAAGGGCTGATTGAGTAATCATCGATGATGTATGTCGAGCCGCATGGTGCATAAGTGTATCTCATGTTACATTAGATCCAAGGTCCATTTCCATCCATATTCCACATTAATGTCTAAGTTCTCGTCACGATATGGCTGAAATATGGCCGATGTGACGTTAATGTTTTACTCACTCACTCACTCATTAAAAGGTCTAGTTGACAGGTGTTTGATGTGTACAAATCACGTAGATGAACCATGTCCCTATTGCATTCATGATTACTGCTACCGTTAATGCAGATCAGACATCATATCATTGTTTATGTGATTAACACATATACATGTTTTCATAACAAAAGTACGCGACAGTTAACAATTATATATATATCGAAGTGTTTATTCATGGCACTCAAAGTATGCAGTGAATACGACAATACAACATGTTGTCGTCACAATTTGTTGTAAATCTGTTGTAGAGTTGCGTCCCTTAGATGACGATATGGTGATATATGGGACGGGTGAAATGAGTGTCTTGACATGTGCTAGTAGTGTGTGGGGGAGTGCAGGGGTACAAACCTTCGCTCTTCACGATTCATTACACCGATACAAAGTGTGAAGTCCATTTCGGATGGTTGTCGCCTTGAAATTGCTGCAATATTGCTAAAAGCGGCATAAAAAAAACATATTCATTCACTCTGGAATTATGCCCCCAGAAGATAAACAAGAGCGAAGGAAGATGTGAATGCTGCATATGAAAATCGTCGCAAACTGTTAAATCCATAGACATTGAGTAGGAAAGGTCCATACTCTTATGAAGTCACCTAAAACGAAAGTCTATTCGAATTCTGAATTGTTAAACACAAAACTCACTACTAAGTTCATTTTCTTTGGAAAGCAGATGACGATTCAGAAAGGTAGATCAGGTGCACAGGCTCTTTCATTTACAGGCCGTCGCCATGTAAAAAGAATATGGCTGAACAAAAAAAGGCGAAACATGAAACCCCACACTAGTGCAACATGTACCACGCACTCACAAACAAGTAATCTCTTTGCCTTCGATACAGGTCAATGCTGATGACACTTATCATTGAAGTTGTTGGAACGTTTCCAAGATGTGCATCAGAGATATATATTGCCCTGAATATGTCAATAACAAGTGGACAACGTTGATATGTGTGACTCACAAGACTTTAACTGTAGGACATGCTGCCTCAGCTACAAGTGTACAATCTAGGTATACACAAGTGCTGTACGTGTGGTCTATATTTATACATGACTTCACGACTGTGTACTGTCGCCATTCATTCAAGGCTGGGAGCAATACACACCTCTGCTTGGTTGACAATGTGATACTTTTGCCACGAATCAAACTTATAGAGTCTTTATTCCATCCATTTCAAGGTCGACGTTGTCCTGGATCTCTGTCTTACGAGCTTATTGTGCTTTACAGATGCCATGACACTGCAACCCTGGCTTGTTGTCGCAGTGGTAAGATTGCTTATTGCTTTTCCATGAATGTTTCATATCGACAATGACACTCCTGTTAACCAACTCTGTTTACCTCATGCGTGTATCGTTCTGATATATAATTCATATGCAAATGTTGAAAAACTCAAATGTGTATTATGTTTGTAAAATAATATATATTCATACATTTTTCATTTTAGTGTTTCAGTTCAGTGTTCGGATTTTCTTTGGTACATGGAAGTAAGTATATCTTCATTGTTATGTTTAAATAGCTCCAACAAGTTATAGCTGTATATCATAGTAACAACACGTTTTCGCTTTCGTAATAATATACTTGTATTAAATATACAATATATTTATTGAAATACAGTTAAATATCCGGAATTTCTGTACTCAAATACTGGTAAATAGTATACACACATGGTATCATTACAGGTGAGGTTTGCCACGAGAGATGTTCCTATTGTGTGGGGACGAAGTGTCGGGAATGCCTCTACGGCTGGTATGGACGCGATTGTAATGAAAAATGTAGTGAGTTTTGCTGGCATGGTGGATGTGAGAGGATAACAGGACGGTGTCACCAGTGTGTTCCTGGGAGACACTCTGGCTACTGCAACCAACTCTGCTCACACCACTGCAGGGAGAATAGCAAGGGTCAGGTCAACTGTGACTTATCAACTGGAAACTGTTTGGAGGAATGTGCTGAAGGAAGATGGGGTCCACGATGCCAGCACAGATGTCATGCAAATTGCAAAGAAGGTCTTTGCTACAAAGAAGATGGAGGATGTTTGAAAGGCTGCCTTGATGGATGGCACGGCGTTAAATGTAATAACCGCTGTTCAGTCCGATGTCTCAACATCACGTGTCACTGGTTAACTGGTAAATGCACACATGGATGTATCAAAGGTTTTACTGGCTCAAAATGTTCCCATCCACACACAAGACACTGTGTGGACCCTGAGGCATATCACACAGACGATCAGTCCGTGGTGTGCGAGGGAGGATGTAAGCCTGGGTGGACCTCTGCCCTCTGTGAAAACAAATGTGAGGAGAGGTGTGAGACATGTCACCAGTTTGACAAAACCTGTCAGTTGTGTCAGCCCGGATTTTATGGAGTAGCATGTCAACTTGAATGTGGCATGAACTGTAACCAAACACACTGTGACATGTCGGGTCAGTGTGACAAAGGGTGTATGAGCGGTTTCCGTGGTGTGTATTGCAATGAAACCTGTCCATTTAACTGTTTAAGGTGCAGTCAATTTCAAAACATATGTACAGTCTGTAAACCAGAATACAAGGGCGACCAGTGTCATGAGACCACCACTCCTAAAGTTGGCCACGCTACAGGTACCTCTCGTATTGATTATTCTTCATAACTGAAATGTTTCTTCCTATCAACAGCCAAGTGGCATGCCTCACACATTTCATTTATCATCATTAACGTCATCACACCGATAAGACCAGTACCGTTATGTAAACTGTCGATGTCATATGACAACAGTGATATCAGATCACAGCCACAGTCACAATGTCATATCGGAAAAAGTTATCCATAAGATATGTAAGAATATATACAGTTCATGATTCTTGATTATTCTTGACATTTAAAACTGTTTACCCAAATATTGACACTTATACTAACTGTTGGCGTGGGTTTTCTTTTTCAGACGAGGGCGTACACAAACAGGCGAGCACCCTGACAGTAGTATTTCTTTATTCCGTAGCTCGTATTATTACAACCTGACACATGTCAGCGAGTGTGTGATTTTGGAGTTCAGGGTAGTATTTCCGTCAAATTAATCCCTATGTTTGAAACCCGGGACAGATCAAAGAAGGCTGTCAACATTGCCCCTCTCACTAGATAACCGTATGCAAGGGAGGCAGTTAACAGTGTGGACCCAAAGTAACGGATATCTAAGATGGTTTACCACTCTGGTGAAGCACAAGACATGGTGCGTTTAAACCAAGGAGGAGCGTGAAAAAGCTTCGAACGCACGATCGAAAGATTCCAGCTTGCCCTAGGATCGAATTCCACAGTGCATTGCATGATGCATGATGCACGAACCATTGTAGGAGTGGTTAAGAAGACGTGAAAGGTGGTCAACATCTCAGAAGTATGGAGGATGTCTGTGTGAACATGTCCGTTTCTCTACGTGGAGTCAAGCGAGTATGTTTCTGGTGGTCAGTGCTTCATTAAATGACACTGCCGTGGTTCCAAGCGTTGCGAGTGTGTCAAGGCAAAAGTAAGGTGTAACTATAGATGACTCGACAGCCTCGACTGTTGCAATAAATAGACATCATGTCTTCTGTGTCTGTACCTGTGCATGAACACGTTAGATATCAAGAGATAATTTAAGTGTCAAGCTATAAATATATATATATATATTGTATACACATTATGTATTCTGTGTATGGAGATTCTGACAAGAGTTTATTCCGACAGAATAAAGAATTTGACTTGCATTTGTTATCGTTATCCATTATGTGAGTTAGTGAGTGAGTTGGGTTTAACGCCGCTTTTAACAGTGTTCCAGTTATATCACGGCGTGTCAGCTTAATGTGTGAGGAAAGCCCGAAGTGATGCAGGTCTCAAACGTGAAACCCACGAGTACGGGTATGGTGCTGACAAACCTAGAAACATAATCGGGGCGACCCGGGATTCGAACCCACAATCATAGGTTTCTGGCGTGTCCAAGGGACGCAACTCTGCACAGCGAATCGCGGCGCCTGAGACGACTGGGCCACCCGTGCCCCCTCATCCATTATGTATTTATTCATGGTTATGTAGGGAATGAAGCGCACACAATGTTATTGAACATGTCAAAAGTAATTCGGGGATTTCATGAGATGACTGACCGAAACGGGAATTTATATGAAATTACTGAAATGTTCAGGGATTTCCCGAAATCTCTAGTTTTGCTATCTTACTGTAACATATAAATAAGTGGGCGACTCCTCCATCCGTGACCTCCAACCAGAAATGCACGAGAGCTGATATTTAGTTGACGCACAAATGATCGGGATATTATCAAGTCATTTAATAAGATAAATTCACTACGAATGAGGTCGCCTTATGCCATGGTTAAATGTCAGCAAATTTCAATGTATTGATGTTTCTCATATATATATATATATATATATATATATATATATATATATATATATATACACACACACACACACACACACACACACATATATATATATATATATACGAGTTTATAAAGTCATTTTTTCTATGCAGCTTTAAAATATAAATTAATTTTCTTTTTTTATATGTCAGTTCAAAATCACATGACATTTCGTGTTACATGATCGAATAAAATATCTGTTAATATTAATAAAGTGTCCATTTCTCAATTTCCACCAAATTATATTTACTTACGCATCTGCGACATACATGTAGACGTAGTGTGCAAAAAAGTATTTAATTAAGATTTGCATTATCTACACGTGTGTTTAGTTACTTGTTGGATTGACGAACGGGTAAAAACAATTATACCAAACTCAACACGTAATACAGGAAGACAAAAGTCATTACCAATATTTACAACATCCTCTTCCCCATTTCGCAACCTAGTGACATGGCATGTATCACACATGAAGTATTTTAGAAATGTGTACAGCAGTACAACTGCAGAACCCTTCGTAGTCCCTATGATGGTTGTCACAATGCACGCCGTTTACACATCAGACGGTTGGTGGTTTATCCCCGGCCGCTTCATACGTATACCAAGAATACGTTACAATATGGCGCTAGTCGTTACCCTGCCCTGCGCTTGACATTAAGGGAATAAAACAAGGACTGGATCGGCCCGAATTCAGTATACTGTATCTGAGTGGGGTAGCCATGTTACACGGCAGCATGGTTTTCAACCGGCATTTGTCCGGACCAGTACAAGCATCCAAACACACACTCATACATGCAAACGCACACGCACACGCATAAACACACGCAACCGTGGTATATAAGTGCAAAACTCTTGAACGAACTTACGTTCATTTCACCTCACTTCATCTGTTACACATTTGTAATAACAAAGAGACTGCATTTACAGTCGGATACAGTAATGTACATCTTACGGATTTTATTGTTTTGGTAATGTTTCAATTTTCTTTTCAAATGTGTAATATTACACATTATATTCATGTAAATTAATTTATAAGATATACATAATATAAGCTTATTGATCGCCTTGGACACATGGCGAAAACTCTGCCTTGTAGTCTTGATTACTCAATGTTTACATTCATTAACACTACGTGACACAATCAATCCCCCCAAAACCTATTTCCGTCTTCCTCACAAAAGGTTCCTTTTTGCAGCGCTAAGGTAGCTATCGTGTAAGAGAAATAAACGCTATTGTCGTATCGTGAGCGTAGTTAATGCTTTCCCGACTCTACATTTTTTTTAAATAACTATAAACGGAAACATAATATATGAATTTCAGTTAGAATTTATCTTTCAGGTTCACACCAACTGCTACGACCTTACACCGGAAGAATTTCACCGTTGACTGTGGTCGGAGGTTAAAGTACAGATGTTTTGTTAATTGTCCATATCTGTCATTTACAGTTACATTTTGTAGCTGGAAAGGTCCATCGCACCTTCACGAAAAATGTTTACCAATGCACTTACTTGTTTAACACTCTTCATCAGTGGATTTATCAATGGTAAGTAACCGGGCTGCAACAGTTTTAAGTTTTTGAAGTTTATAGATGATCAGAAATGAAAGTTAAACTGAAAGTAACTCATATCACAATCACAAACCGCAAATTGTATATTGAGTATTTACTTGTATGCATATTCATTCCCGGGAACAATCAAAATATACAAATGTGAGCTACTTAGTAACTGAAAGCGATATTGTCTTGAATTTGTATGATTGTTTCATTGCAGAATCATCTGGTAAAGATGAAATCTGCGATGGAACTGGCTGTACAAGGGGCTGCAAAGATGGCTTCTACGGGCCCCAGTGTAGATATCGCTGCACTGGCAATTGTCTGAACAACCGCTGCAATACATCTGCATTTGGTTCAGCATCTTGCACAGATGGATGTAAAGACGGCTTCTGGGGTAACAGGTGTATCAGTAGATGTCCCCACTTTTGTAAGAGATGCCATAATGACACTTCGTGCAGTGAATGTGATGGCTTCCATTACGGACCAAACTGTACTACAATCTGCAGAGGAACATGTTCAGTGTCAGGTTGTAACAGTGACGGGACATGCAGGAAGGACAATCACACGATGTATCCATGTGGCTCCAACTGCCTGCTGTGTGACGCCTCGACCGGCAGCTGCAAGAGCTGTAAAATAACTTACGCAGGAGTGAAATGTGAGGTCTATTGTGGAAACTGTAACGGAACTTGTTCAGTTGATGGCTGTATGGAAGGATGCTCGTCGGGATATCGGGGACCGTATTGTGAAGATACATGTAGCAAAAGGTGTTCCGAAAATGTCTGTGATCAAGAGACCGGGAGTTGTTCGAAAGGGTGTCGTGATGGATATACAGGGGACATCTGTTCCAAAATATGCCCACATCACTGTCTACGGAACATCTGTCATCAACATTCAGGACAATGCAAACACGGCTGTCAGAATGGATATTTCGGACCTTTGTGTAAATCTGTTTGTGAAAACTGTTTTGATGACGCGTGCAACCGCAGCACCGGTCGGTGTGAGTACGGATGTGTGGACGGCAACTATGGGTTGGACTGTAACCATGTGTGCAGTGAGCTGTGCAAATCTGGAAGATGCCAGAGGGAAGATGGTGCGTGTTTAAAAGGAACGAGCGGAAGTAAGTTGCTTAATGTCACATCTATGCAATCTTCCCTTTCTTCATCTTAGTGCATACATGTTGTCTAACTCCCTATTAATTATCATTATACAATAACAGTAACTGTTGTATTATAAGCAAATACAAAAGATGTAATATGGAATTATCCAGGTTCAAGTTTGACATATAGCCTTAACAACGAAATTGAATAATTTTTCACAATACGCTTCTTTCGTTTGCAGATTCTACCCCAAAACCACCCTTAGATGCAACAGTCAGTGCCAATGTGTATTTGATCCTTGCGTCAGTGGGAGTATTCTTGCTCTGTGTTGTTGCAGCAGGGATACTGATGATCAGGTACATATGACAATGGTCCCGTGAAGATCTGGATTAGAATAGGGCTTCAGCAACTCTCGTAAGAGGCGATTAACGGGATCGGGTGGTCAGTCTCGCTGACTTGGTCAATGCATGTCATCGTATCCCAACTGCGTAGATCGATGCTCATGATGGCAATCACTGGATTGTCTGGTCCAGACTCGATTATTTACAGACCACTGTCATATAGCTGGAGCAATGCTGAGCGCGGCGTTAAGCAACAAACAAACAAAACAAAACATAAGACAATGAAGACAAAGAGACTATGGCCCTTACGTAGAATGTCTCTTGATGATGAATTCCACTTTCCTATTACCGAAAACATACAGTGATTTGCGAAATAATATTAACCATGGACATATATGAAACTTATTCACAATATAAAGTTAATTACAACAGTGGCTCTCTCTCTCTCTATTGTAACAATTAATTGTTGTTTCAAATCAATGGTGACCTTCACTAAACACTGTTATTCCTATTGCCACAGGTTCTGCCGGTCTCCCTGTCTTAAGAGGCTGAACAGGAACAATCCTCCACCGTCAGGTCGCTCACTTCCAGACCCGCCCCCACTACAGACCAGCAAGAACATGTACAGTGTTATATACGAAGACCAAATGGACCCGAGTGCCCAATCTCTTAGAAGCAACACCTTAACTCCTCCTTCGCGAAACCCTGGCCTCGATAGGTCAAACAGTTTGCCCCTGTCCAAAGTCGATCCAGAAGAGGGTGTGTTCTCAACCTCAGGTGAGGTGCTCCAAATGCGATCTATTTGTGATACAACGCCATCAGAAGAGCCTGAACTACACAGCCTGTGTGCGTCTCCTGACCCTGACGGTTCAACTTACGAGAGTCTCTCAAGTAGTGCACCAGGACACAAACAGACAACTGTTCCTCGTCCTTACATCACTCCAGTCACTGATGATCAACCCGAACTATCATAATGAGTGAGTGTGTTTGGTTTTACGCCGCTTTTAGCAATATCCCAGCAATAACACGGCGGGGGACACCAGAAATGGGCTTCGCACATTGAACCAATGTCGGGAATCGAACCCGGGTTTTCGGCATGACGAGATAACGCTGTACCCACTAGGCTACCCGACCGCGCCCTGACCTTTCATAAATGTGTTTTGAGTAAATGTTCCAGCTCGATCACGACAGCCTGTACATATATTGTTTGATAGGCATTTCTTAGAAGTTTGACAAAGTAGACAAAAATGCTTTATGGACAACAACCTTATTATACAGTAATTGCGACGTTTCGGTATAGACTGCTTGACAACAGTATACGAATCTCGACTGAAACGTCACAATTACCGTGTAATACAGAAGATGTTATCCACAAACCATTGTTGTCTACTTGGGCCTGTAAATAATCGGTTCCAGATCAAACAAACGAGTGATGTATATTATGAGCAACGACTCTTGCCAACGAGGTGTGAAATAACATGTTACCTTTGTTCCTGTCTTCTGCTGTCGACATGGCTGATGTTAAATACAGGATCGAGACAAAATGAGCAAAATATCCTCGATAAATCTTTAAATGTAAGATAAGAATATTCTGAATATGTAGCCTTGCTGTAGACATTAAAACTGACTTGCCTGGTGATTTTTGTGTAAATGTTTTTACAATGTATCTAAAACACAGAGCTGTCAGGAAAGTAAGTGGTATTGGAATTGAAGTCAGAAATAAGTATTGTGAGTGAGTGAGTGAGTGAGTGAGTGAGGGTGGAGGGAGGGAGGGAGGGAGGGAGGCCCGAAGTGATGCAGGTCTCAAACGTTAACCACTTTGGTTAACTCCACGAGCACGACTACACTCAGTTAACCTCATACCTCACATGATAATGAACAGGTCCAAACTCCATGAAACTAGAGAACAACGTCAGTACAATCAAAACTTGAAATAAAGCCGAACAATTTAAAATATCCTGCTATGGAGTAGCTCAGTAGTAAATAAAGGGAAGCACTCTTTGGATAATTTTAATATAAACAGCATAAAATCACTGATCATGCCGAAGACGTGACTTACTAATAACAACAGAAAGTTGTTTTTTTCTCACATAGGAGTTCAACACCAAGGATTAAATCACTTCTCTGCTTTGAATGAAGAGATTTCTGAAAAAGCACTGGGAAGTCAATTAATTACAAGTATTAGAATATGTGTAGTAAGTAACTTACTATAACACAGAGGAGGAAGACGGTGCAGGTAGTTCTAAATGGCGAGGTACAGACAAAACAATACGCGACTGACATGTACATGTGTCCACTGGAGATGTGTTAGACTAACACTATGAAAATTGTAATTTTATTTCAAACGAACCTTTCCTCCTCTGCTGTAGAATCAAGGAAACTAGCTAGACTTGGATTAGTTTGATCTAGACTTGCCAAGGCATTTATATAATTCCACAGTCCACAGTACAGGATGTTCGGGTAAATGTACAACAGTTGACGGGTTTGTTACAACCTTTGAACAGCGGAAATAGTTCTATGGATATACAACTTCTGTACATTTTATGCGTCGCATTCATTGTAATAAAGAAGTTGTATATCCATAGAATATCTCCCAAGTTCATTATACCAACTTCTAAAAGCCACTTGAAGTATAACCTTTGTTTGAAAAATATCTATTCCTTCAAAATCATTCTTTAAATCCTATATTAAAATCGAGATCTATCAATAATAAATCATCAGTAGAAACCCCACCCCCACCGCCTGCCCCACCCCCATCCCCAACCCGACAACGAAAACAAATATGTTAAATGTTCATGTCTCGATCTACACATTAAAGCAACTGTTGACTACAACCAAGTTAAGGACTTGAGAGATCTCACCAAAATGCCTTTACAATTAGTAAATACAAATAATTTGTGAGACTGTTATAACATTGCTGCCATGGTGTACATATTGTACATGTTGCCACTTGCTATTTAGAATAATTAAGTTTACTTAAGTTGAGGTAGGTTTCACGGAAACGGTCCCACTATAGTTCACGTTGTTTCCCTTTGTTATTATTTACAGTTGTGTTTTAGTTTGATAGGAAACCGAAAAATACAATATTGAGCAGTGGCCATGGATTTTTTTTATCAACACATTAAAAGAATCGGTTTCAGCACATGTGTATAAGGAATAAGAACGCTCTAATACTCGAATCAAGGTGAAGGTCGCTCACACACAAATAGCTTCCCTGTAGGTCTTGGCGACAAGGTATGCAGTGTGGCATACAACCCGTGCATGTTCCCGGGGAATGACGAGACACCTTGATCACCTCGGCAGTAATATAGAAACTATGTACCCCCTTAGCGCTTATCACGTATGACCTAGTTTTGCACACTGACACGTGATCAACCATTTGTCATGTAATGCATGACAGTTTCAGTCAAACTGCCGGGTAACTTCACTTGAGTTAGTGCACGTTGTATCTAAAACTCATATGGATTTGTTTAAGAGATTGTATCGATACTACAAAATACTCCTCAAATGAAAATTAATACACGAATAGTAATCATAATTTTCTTAATTGTTTAGTCAGAAGGTGAACCAACTATATCTATGACTTTCCCTTATACCTCACGCCAGTATGTGAGGGTTCCAATTTAATTAGACCCGAATCCCACCGCTTTGTCAGGTTACATGTGTGTCTATTCATGTCACGTGACTACCTGCGTGGTGTAGTGGATGGAGTGAATGAGTGAGTGAGTATGGTTTTACGCCGCGTGGTAAACCAGAATTGGACCTAACCATTGTCAAGGTTTCATTACTGGTAATGTTTTAAATTGAAAAAAAATATTTATGAAATGTATTTGTTTGTTGTTTTACGCCGCACTCAGCGGCGCACCCAGCTTTATGACGGCGGTCTGTAAATAATCGAATCTGGACCAGACAATCCGGTGATTGACATCATGAGCATCGATCCACGCAGTTCGGATACTATGACATGCATCAACAATGTCTGCGAGTCTGATCATCCGATCTCGTTAGTCGCCTTTTTACGACAAGCATGGGTTGCTGAAGACCTATTCACCCCTTATCTTCACGGATCTCAAATGTATTTAATGGTACGTTTAATAGGATAAAACATGGTACATATTCCACACTGTGTACATTTATGATCATATAGCATGATGTTTTGCAAAGAAATGCGCTTTTTCTTCGTAATTTTTTCTCCGATATAATGTTTTAAAAAAAAAAAAATTATTCAATTCAATTCTCTTACACCGAGCAAATTGCGAGTAAAGGGGAGTAACTCCTACACTTAAACGTTTCATGGGCTGTGACCAACAAGAGCACCGTCCCGTCTTCACTGAGTGATTGAGACTGGTTTAACGCCGCTCTATGCAGTATTTCAGTTATAGCATCATATGATGTTATGACATATTAATTAACCATTTAACTGTATGTGTTAACATTCGCTTCAATCATGGCATGCATAATCTGTTCACTGAAATCTAACTGTGCAGTTTACCAACAATTGAGTTTTGATAAATCGACTTGTAAATGATTGGAACCACCTTGAGTATTAGGATACAGAAGCGACAATGTTACAGTTCAATCTTAGTTCAATTTTGGCAAAGATAGTGTCTTCATAGTATTACATATGTCTTGTTGAAGACACAAGTCACTATTTTTGATTTTAATAAAATATATAATTATATCTCATGATATTTTGTTTATCTTTTCTAACAAACACTACGACGATAGTGATAAAGGGAACTGATAAACTGCTTTATGTATCTAGTTAACCTCACTGGATGAGTCGAACCTTTTTGTTTGTCCTATCAACTCAGCTGATCTTTATAGTAGGTGGAAAGATCTGTTAGATAAACAAAACCTTTGTTCCAATGACCTGTCGACGATGGATTGGGTAGATATCTAACTCACAATGTTAGCATAGAGATAACGAGAGTGTAAGCAAATGCAGTTGATAAGATAGCGTCGTGGACTATGTCGCTTGGTCGACGTGGCTGAGTCATGTTGTGAGTATTCCTATGGTAAACGATAGTCGTCCATTTCTGAAAATATTGCCATAATGTTTGATATGTAAAAAGGTGGTGGAAGAGAATAGTGTTTTATTGTGGGAACGTTTATACAAAACGTAGTAATCAATGCTTTGAGGTCTGAGGTAACACCTCTTCCAGTCTACCTCGTTACAGAATACAAACACTGACCCACCTGCATTACTCGACCTCATGACATTAAACAACAGACATGTCCTGGTGTTGCGCTGTGTTGGTGTTGGCTGCCGTTGTTGGTAAGTAGTTTCATGTCATTGTATACATTGATAAAATATATATCAGTCGATGTTTATCAGAACACATTATTGTCCAAGACGAATCACAAATTCAAAGTCATGTCTGATTTAATTCTTGTATGTGGACTGACTGTGTCTACTCGTTCATTTCAAATGTTATCAGGCCCTGTTTCTCCACTGTTAAGGAGTGAGTGAGTATGGTTTTACGCCGCTTTTAGCAATATTCCAGCAATATCACGGCGGGGGACACCAGAAATGGGCTTCACACATTGTACCCATGTCGGGAATCGAACCCGGGTCTTCGGCGTGACGAGCGAACGCTTTAACCACTAGGCTACCCGACCGCCCCCCACTGTTAAGGAAGAAACGTACATTGTATGTAGCAATAGTTTACACGTCGTTTTAAGATTAAGATGATTCAACAATTTTATGAGATAAGATAGCTCAATATGCACGTGAACACATTTAACTGGTATCAGACATTTATGGAATACGTCTGTTTATGTTTTTAAAAGGAATTATCTCATTTTCAGAGACGTCTCAATACAGCAGTCACTGCTTAAGATCAACCGAACCCAAGCCGTGTATGTACTGTGTGAGGGGGTGGTTTGGCGAGGACTGTAGCCGAAATTGTCCATCATGTGACAATTCTGGTTGTGACAGAAATACAGGCATATGCGTCAACTGTGCAGATGGGTTATACTCAGAAAGCTGTTCCTTGAAATGCCCAGATAACTGCAAGACGAGAAATGACAGCCAGGTTCGCTGTGAAAGGATTACAGGACATTGTATGGAAGACTGTAAATCTGGATGGTGGGGAGACAAGTGCAACAAGCGTTGTAGTGACAACTGTCTCCGTTCAGACTGTTTCTTCTATGATGGTTCGTGCGCTTGGGGCTGCAAGGATGGTTGGACGGGAAGCATGTGCACTGACAACTGTCCAGAAGAATGCTCCTTGAACAAATGCTCCCAACGTGGAAAATGTACTATTGGGTGTAAGAAAGGTTTCTACGGAGAAACATGTGACAATAAATGCAGTGACACGTGTAGGAATAACAACTGCTACTTTGACAACATCATCCATTACACGGTATGCCGAGATGGATGTAGCGATGGGTGGAAGGCAGCTTACTGTAATGAATCTTGTTCTACCGGTTGTAGAAAATGTAATCAACATAATGGTGAATGTTCCCTATGCATGGTTGGTCGCTGGGGTGTACAGTGTGAGAAACGCTGTTCAACCTGCAGCAACTCACTCTGTGATATCACTGGGGAGTGCACAGAAGGCTGTCAGAGTGGTTATCATGGACACATGTGTGACCGAGTATGTCAACCCGACTGCCTTGAGTGTCGCAAAAACGATAGCGAGTGCCTCGTATACAAACCTGGGAAGACGGATGAAAGTATTGATACTATTCTGGAAGATCTGGGTGAAAACCCCAATGATAGAGGTATGCAGGTACATCCACAGAATAGCGATACATTGATCCAATTAACTGAGATATCCCCAATCCAGGACAAGTAAAACATTCCAGATAACATTCTATTAGTTTTGTTTGAATTTTCTTCTGTCAAAGATACATTGTGTCTTTATTTGTGAGTTGAAAAATAAAGAACAAATATAGACCTATTATGATATAAATACTCGACAACAAGTATCATTCCCCTCCATCTTACATACATCTATGCCACATAAAATTTATTTATTTTTATGGTCTCTGGAGCATGCATAATGACAGAACGTGTATAGGCATTTTAACCTGTATATACTTATGTATCTTTCAGGCGACGCTCACGTCCTGAGGATAGCAATACCGGTCTCCGTCGCAGTGGCATTTGTTGTCTTCATAATTGTATTCATTGCCATCTGCAGGTAATGCTATAAAGAATTATATCCTTTGTGAACTTTCACCATTCTTGCCAAGGGAAAAGTGTATAGTGTCTCGTACTGACGATCTTTAATGTTTTAATCTGTAGGCAGTGCCGAAAGCAGGGTAGATGATGTGTATTTAAGTAAAATCAATTTTTTAGAGTAATGTGTGGTTTCGGGGATAATTCATGAATCTATTAAATGTGGGTGTACATGATGTCTTATGTGCTACAATATGTTGCAGGTGGAGAAAACTACATAAACGTGGGCATGTTGAGGAACAGCGTGTTACAGAGACACTCTCGGACTCTGAGACAGAGTCGTTTGTTACCCCCGAGACACAAGTCAAACGAAAGGCAACATCCCTGGAGATGTTGTAGACGTCGGACGATACAAGCTAATGGCGTCCACTACTCTACGTAGCTCTAATATCATTGGTGACGCCATCCCAAGGATTCCCCATGCGGTATCTAAAAGCACCAGTTTGTCTCTGAAATGACGAATAATGTGAAGTACCACTTGCATAATGTTTGAAATTCCTAAAAAAAAGTTAAGCCCACGAAAATTAGAAAGTATTGTTTGGGAAAATGCAAAATAATTTGCTTAAAATTAATTATTCACATCACGTACCTTATTTTAGTTTCATACATTATCTTTTCCAAGAAATATTTTCAAATTTCCATAAGCGGAATTGATTACTCAATCACATCTCAAAGAAGAACTAAAATATAAAAAGTAGATTTAATCATCTAAAGCCTCCACAGGAGATATATTTGACATCGCTAATCTCTATACCACTGAAGCCTGGTTACACTTACACGTTGGTTATTGCTGTCTGCAAACTGAAATTTTTGGAAGAATGATGTTGGGTGATAATCTTGCTGTGAAATATATCAATACTCGTCGATAAAAAATTATAAACTCCTGGGCAAGCCTCGTGGTTTTAAACTTAAGTCGACTCGTGTTGATATCAAAGACAGAGGGGTGCGATTCTCTATACACCTCATCGTAACACCTTGAACATATATATTGTTGTCGCGGGTCTTATTTGGCACCAGTTCAGGGTTGGGGTTTGTCATTTTGACCCACCTAGATTTTAGATTATGGAATTTCTTAATAAAAACTTCAGTTGTAAGAAAATGTTGGTGCATACATAACTTGTTGTAGCCGCTACATAAATTTTGGTTTCGTGACTAATGTGCTAATGTGTTTTGTCAATATCACACATCCAATTTCGATGTCTGTCGGTTCAAGGGAGGCAACTCCTTTCGTGATAATAACCAGTAATCACACCCATTAACGTTCGTCAGATGTTCATGATCAATGTTGTGTGCGATTTGTGAAATACATCTACTGAATACGTGCCCGTACGTGTAGTTTATGTATAGTGTGTAGCAGATCGACACCTACCGGATCAATATGTTTAGAATGATAGCCTCACGTATCTATATGGCTCGTAAACATACAAGTGTAGTTGGATTTCAAATTTCTATTTTTGATATCATATATTACCAAAACAATATTTCACGAAATTATGCTTTGCTCAACACCAGGAGAACACTGACAACACTGAATAGAATTATGCATGCTTTCATTGTTCATGTATTGAATACCATATTGGTATGTTTGTGTATGGCATGGCACTGGTAACATGTACACTGACGCCAACCTCGCTTGACCTTCTATAATACTGCCAATCAGGCTGTCAGTGCATATAATGCATGAAGTATAGACACGTTTTGTATCATCTTATAAACAATAAACATATGTGTCTTGTCTGTTTCAACCAACGTGCGTGTGGAGACTTTTAAATGTTGTTTTTTTTGCAATTCGAGAGCTCATCTATCTACTTAGAAAGTTTATCAAACCGTATGTACACAGAGTGGCTAATGTACCTATAATATATATTCCACATACCTACAACATATGCTTTGAGCCTAACCCATGTAATATAAAAACACGAACAGATAATACTATATTTTCGTCATATGTCCTTCATTTGCAATTTGAATGCCTTGTACAATAATCACGTGGTATCATTGACATTGTATTTGTGAATTGTGGAATCCAGGTGGTAATGTGGGTGCATAAAGAATAGTACGCACATATCGATAGTCCAATCAGAGAACGTTTCACAAAATCAACATCCCGGGTTCCGAAAATATATTTTATATATTTGAGTGCACAATTCATTGTTTTCGAACGACTCAACATTTATCGCAGTGACTGAGATGCAGTGCTCTTTCAAGACGACCCCTGCTGACCCCTGCGATGTGCAGCTTTACCTGATACAATGTAGTCTGTATTCCAATATTATTTCAAAAGCGAAATCTAATACGTATATTTACTTTGGTAATCTGTCATTTTGTGTGTCTGTCAGGTATGACATCTCGAATATATTTTCGTTATCTGATCAACCAGGTCGTCTTAGTGAAGACATTCGAAATAAGAACAGCGATCTGACCGGATATCGCGTTTTCATCACAATGGACATAACTCGTATTCTTCACGGGGTGGCAGGCTGGCGCCAAGACAAGTAAGGGTAGAAACTAGGGCGTTAATATAGGCTAGTGGACACTCTTTGCTCAGGAAGATAAGTACCAAGTAGGTATGGCCACTATGGTTTAAGCTTCAGTTAAATTCCATCTCTCTGAATTATGAGGTAGATATCCTCGTTTACTTCATTCATTTTAGTTCCACGTTATTGGATCAATCTAAGTAGAGTATCAGGGCCTGAAACACTATTCGGATAAAGCATTTCACAAGCCAAGTGATCTGAGCTCTGTCTTTTTATATAACATATTGCAGTGTTTTGAAATCACAACTTGGCAGGGTCAATGGCTCGTCAGCGCTTAAATGGTCATTGTATTTTAAAGCAATCAACCAGGTCAAGTATTGCTAGTGACGTGTATTGTGAAATGTAACTGAACCATAACCCAAATAACATCTTCTGAAACATGTCCATATTCATGTAACTCTCTATCAAAAGCAGCTTCGGCCGTACGATTCCGAATATATCATGAGCATGCGTTTATCAATCACTATCAAACAGTGATGTGCCAGGTGTTCGCGAAAAAGTGAGCGTATCCTGTCCCACCGGTGGCATCCGCACAAACACATGCAAAGGTAAGTCAATTGTTCATCATACTTATCACGTATGCGTCAGGACAACTGTTGAGGCTCCAAGTGTAAAAAATCCGATTGTAATATATATTTGTGTATTATGTTGTTGAAATTATTTTTGTACCTCTGATGCCGCTGATAGAGGCATGAGTGTAAATAAAAGTTCAGCTCAGTTCAGGTAGCCTTGCATGCGCAGTGGTTGGTCTTATAATTAGCATGTGGGTACTTGTACCTATAGTTGATATAACTTTATAGCTTATAGGCTTTCTGATTTACAACAATAGAAGCTATAAAACGTTTGGAAAATTGAACAAACACTGACATGAAAGTGTACCTTGTTACATTTGTCATTTGTATTTACTGTAACAGTATTCAATACTAAAATACAACAAATTGGTTTAAATTAGGAACATATTTGTTTATGTATCAAGTTTATTGAAGTCTCCAAGTTGAAATTAAAAGTGTGAGTGGTGTTACGTTACAGTCATAATTGTTCCAGCTATGTCACTGCGCCCCAGCTGTCTGGATCAGTTTTCGGAGAAAGGCTGATTTGACACCCCAAAGACACTGTACAAAAAATAAATTTTAGAGTCGGGTTTTCGCGATAAATCTTGAGACCTATCCCCATTTTATATCGGCTACCAGTTACAAGTAAATAAACTTCTCGACAGCAAGGGATGATATCTATTATAGTGGAGCCCCGTTAACCCGGACACAATTCCCACTGAATTCGTCCGGAGTAAACAAATATCCGGATCAACGAATCATTGTCAATGAGTATTTTCTTTTTTATTTCGAGGTTTCCTTGTATATGAAACAGACAGATTTTATAAGCATCTTGGTGACAAAGTAAGGTGTCCAGTGACAGTGGAGGGTACATGACTGATAATAGGGTTGCGAACACGAATTACCATGAGGCTTTGGGTTGTGTTGATACAGCAGTTGATATATATGTGACATGTACGGGCTTCATTACTAGTACGCTCTCTTATGACTCCAGACAACACCCTGCTTAAGGAATTATGTAGAAATAAAGATCAACAAAGTAGCTGGAAATACTATTTATTTGATCAATAAATGATAAGAAACTTAAGAACAAATACATCATCTTTACAATATCTTTTCAAGAATAAAAACAACAAGAACTTTTCCATAATCATAAGAAATTTCTGCTCAAAGAAGAGTACATTGTACACAAATACGGGAAATGGTCTAAGTCAAAATAGGAAGTTGCATCGGACATTATGTTGGTTATGTTTGGAAGTTTTACTCAGGTCCTCAATGCTGTTACCGTGATCAAACTTGTACTCCCGAGCAGAGATTCCAACTCATGCGAACAAAAGAAAGAGATGAGCAAGGGTGGGAGGAGCATAACTGTTGCGCAGGGGGATGCCTATATCTTGCCTAATTGCCTGTCCCCAAGTTCCACATAGATGCTATCTATGAGGAAGTCAAGCATGTTTCTTCAATAATCTTCAGATGGCATTTGATTTCATTTTTGACATCTTGTCAGGCACCTTTTAAGATACAGATGTAACTATATCTATGGTCACCTCGTTTAGTGACCAATGACCCATGGATCGAAGAATGACGTTTGTCGTGTGGGCTAGTTGTGTACAGAGAGAAAATTAAATGTTTTGACAAACTCTAACTTGGTTCTTTGTTTAGCTTACAAATGAGCCAAGCAAATACTTTTGAGTTTTTGAGAATTACTAACCTCTTTTCTATCTCCTGTCCCTCTTAAACCCCATGGCAAGCAAGGGGTCATTTGTAAATAAACATTTACAGTGGGTAATAACACTAATACATTCATGGCAGGCAATAGATATTGCAACTGACTAAACAATCACCCTAATTAGTTGCGTATCTAGTTTACTGTTTAAAATTCAAACTGAAAACAACTACTGTAACCACAACCAGTGCATCATCCCCAGGCCTGCATGATCCACCTGCAAGAGAATATTTGTATTGCATTAATGCATTTGTATGTACATGAATATGTTTATGATGATGTGCCGAAGTACAAACACAAAAGTCTTTTTAAAACAAAAACTGATACAATTGATGGAAAGCACTATCCACTGTTATATTGTGTTACATGACTTTCATGAAAAATGTGAATGAAAACTAACTTCAAAGAATGTCTAAAAAATAACTAACGTTGACTTTCTTATGCAAAGAGGTTTTTGACTGAATGTGCTAGTTGCTTACTTGTATTTACGTCGTCCTCATCTGGACACTCCTGAGAGTCATGTGTGATGGGCAGACATTTGACGTCGCATTTATCTTTACATCGACATGGCTCATGCGTCTCAAGGCATCCGTCACAAGCAGTGCCACAGCGGTTCTCACAGTTGTCTTCATGGTAACCGAGTTGGCAACTCCTGCATTTTCCATCTCTATCACATGTCTTCCTGGAACACTTGGCACTACATGTTCTAGAGCAGTCAGTTCCCCAGTAGCCTTGCTTGCACCTGGAACATTCCCCAGTCTCTTGAGAACATGCCTCACAGTTACCAGGACACTTCAGCTTACAGTCGAGTGACATCCAGCCATCCACACAGCCCTGTCTGCAGACTGTAGACTTCATACTGTGGTCATAGAAACAGTCCTGGTCTCTACAGTGTCTGTTACACTGCTTATTGCAGTGATGTCCGTGAACACCGTGTTTACAACCTCGGGTACACTTATGGCTCCCGTATTGTTCACATGTTTCACCGTGACATCCCCCTGGACACCTGGTGTCACAACTGTCACCGGCCCAACCGTTCCTGCAGCCTCTAGCACATGAGCCGTCCCAGCCGTAGCATGAGTTGTTTTCACATCCATCACTGCACTTGTTTTCACACTTCTTTCCCCACCAACCGTCTTGACAGTTTTCCAGACAGTTTCCCGTCTTCCGGTTACAGTAGGGCTTGTCACCATGACTGTATCTACAGTTGGGAGGACATGTCTCTGTACACGTGGTGGCATGGTACCCAGCCCCACACTGTTTACATCTCCCTGTGTCCTTGTCACAGCCGCCGACGTCGCAGAAGCCGGAACATTTGTAGCTGCAACTGTCACCATGCCAGCCTCTCTTGCAGTCAGCGCAACGACCGTCGTCTGATGGCCAGAAACAGTTGGAATCAGTTGACGAATGATGTATAAAGAATACTGAAACAGATATAATATTGTTCATATTGGTTGGATGCCTAGATTATGTTTTGTCAAAATGGCCTTGAGGTGGTAACTAGAAATACTTTTATTACATATTAAGGACATTTCGATGCATTGTACTCGTATCGTCACTGGGTCAAATGTATCATGGACACACGTACATAATACAAACCAATTACAATAATAGAATATCATATTGCAATAAGTGTAACATTAAAATATGAATCCATAGATTTACGCATATCTAAAACAAAACCACGAATAAATAAAAATATTGCGTTTCCTATGCTTTTAAAATTTCATGGTGACTCACTGCAGATAAACTTCAATCAGTGAGCAAGTCTAGATCTCGCCTGACAACCATCCTGGCAAGAAAGACGGACAATGTATCAATCATTTAAAACTTAATGGAATTATTTCATGCATGACTTTAAAGAAACGTACTACACTTGTTTCAAGTGTCATTGACAGTTTTTGCACTTACACAGTACCGGCAGTGGGCTTCTCGTCACGTCCATCTTGATACAAGCATTTACTGAAACGGAACATATGGAATATAATAGACACCTTACCATCACAAATAGATCAACCACATCGAGGAATATTGCTCACGGGAATTAGCTTGAGGAAACTCCATATCGTTGATGCAAAATATCTCAATATCTACCGTCTACCCATATACAGCGAATACTACACTCATTCTCGTTAGATACCATTTTTACGAAACGAGTGGACTTTCTATGGTATCTGACCGAGCGAAAGTTCACGACTTCGAGCGAAGGTCACCGACGGAATAAGAAAGACAACCGTGATAAACTCAGCGTTTGACGCTAGAGATAGGTAATGTTATTGTTCATATTTTGGGATATTTTTGGCCACATAATCAGAAGTCAGGCACACTTCGGAGTTTTCGAATGATTTGTATCGGAAATGTTCACTTTAAGTGATCTGGTCGTGCAGTCGTGAACAAACAACTCCCGAAACGGTGCCACAAAATACGCTTCGAAGGGGACACTGGTGACACAACCGCATCATCCCAAATAAGCCTAGATATCGGACCAGATAGTTTAAGTTTACTTCATTTTACCACGCTTATCCTTTTACGTTAAATCAAATTGAAAGTTGCGAAAGTGGTCGGCTGCGTCACGCTTATGGGGACCCTCGATCTATTAATCGGTAGTCGTACATTGTAAATGGATATAGCTCGAATATATAATGTCTGTAGAAGCTCTATGCATAACGTATTTAGAATGCAAACCGAATTTGATACGTGTGGCCATCTTGTTTGGTTTAATGAAGTGTTTGTAAATATCTCTCGCTCTCACGAGATTGCTTCAGTTCTGCCTTGTAGTTGCAAAATGAATGACGTCTCGCGATTTTTTATAAATGAAAAAAGTAGTCCCAGTGTGACAGGTCACGGTTATCCAATCAAAACGAATAAAAAAAGGTCAACTTTGTACGACCACCTGTATCTTCACCACATGGGTAATCAATCCACATAGCAAACATTATCGGTTTTACGTGCATATCCATTTGAACTGTCAGTTCCCTGAGATGCTGCGTTTCAGGAGACACAATAGAAGGTTCTCAATTCACACCTCCATTAGATCCTTGCTGATATTCAAGTATCTTGCCCAAAGAAACATCATACGTAAATTACCTGTGTTTCAGTTTGGGACAGACAGAAGCCCTCGATGGGGCTCAAAGGGGCCAAAAGTCCAGGGGTCAAGTTTGCCGATCGCTGCCAATCACCCACTACTCTCCGCCGCCAATGTGCTTAACTTTAATTGATTAACTCACTGTAAAAGCAACAGCAGCAGATGGACTGGCTTGTACTGGAATGTGTAGATACTAGTATTAGTCATTTTTTCATGTATTGATGAAACATGTAATACATACACTATTCAACAATTGTCACATAATTCTCGTGTTCCGAATATATATCCTCGCCGTAATTTATCGCTTGCCGAATATTCGCTCTTGGTTCACACAACTTCTCTTTACATCTCTATCTACATGAATATACCATTGGAAATGGGTCCGCGATGTATTATGTCTGTGTAAGGTGCTACTAGGTGATCAGGTCGTTTCAATGTGTGTGCTGGCTGAATGTGTGGGGTCGTACGATGATATAAAGCTGATCTTAACAATTAGATAGTATATTTCGACCGTTATTTGGTTGCACATGATTACTATTGATTACTTAAATATACGTGTCAAATCGTATGGGAATGTGAAACTATTTAAGAAGGGTAACACCATCGTCGTTGTGTTGATTTTGGGATCGAGGTGAAGATGTGGACGATTATGAATTGTACCTTCAGTGGTAATAATTGACATCGCGAGTGGTTATCAAGCCCAGTATGGTATGGTGTTTTATCTATTCCTGGTCTGATTCAAAGAAGGTTTTATAATTCTTTAATAATGTCTTCAGTGTTTCTTCAGTGCATTTCTTTAATCGTCAAACATTTCATCACCTGATAGTACTTTTCTGTTGTAATTTCATCGTAATTTGTTGTTAACGATTTTCATATATGCATAAGATATTCATAAGATATACTTATATAACTACTAACACCCTAGACGCTCATTCGGTTGTTCACAGTCGATTTAATTGGTTAAGAAACCCTTAACAGCCTTTAGCTGTATTCTTGCCACTGAGACATAATTCAAAGTGTATTACTTTTATATAATACCCTTACACTTCTCTGTATATTTATATTCATAACAAATGTCAGCTGTCGTGTTTGTTCAAAGTAGCAGTGGTAGTCACTCGACGTGTTTTATCTCCTTAGCTATTGTATCAGTTTGACACCTGTAAGCGTATTTTGTATGAGTCACTGTGTTTGCATGACTTGTTCATGTAGCAGAATGACTAAGCACATCGTGTGAAGCTTTTGAAGATTCATTTATGTATTACATTCAGAATTTCACGCACTCGTGTGGATCCCGGGTAAGAAGAAAGGTCCCCACCCACCTATACTTGTCGTAAGAGGCGATTAAATTGATCAGTGACTTGGCTGAAAGCATGATAATCGCATCTCCATTGCGTGGGTCTATGATCATGGTACCAATCACTGGATTGTCGAAACCATACTGGATATTAACAGACCGCCGTAATATAGCTGGAATATTGCCGAGTGCGGTGTTAAACAACAAACAAACGACGTTCATACTAAACCTTATACTGGAAGAAAATAATTGTAAATATAGTTCTAAGCATGTGTCCATATAGCTATTTGAACACAAACTATAAAGTTATCACGTCTATAACTCAGAATTGTATTCATATCGATCGGTTTATCTTTTGACAAACATAGTTTGTAATCATCATTTCAAAGTGGGAAAGTAGCCACTGGCAATGTCCCAAACTGAGAGATATCCATTACATACTCTTATTTCTACAAGAACAATATGTGAGAAATGTGGTTTTTTTATACACCATCAATGTGCATAGACTCACTGCTTGTAACGTCTCAGAGAACTATGACAGACCATTTTCTCAGGAAACAATTCTCTGGGTATTATGATGGAACGACATATGCTCACTTATCCTCGCGAACTTGATGAGTTGTTTGCGTTGGGATGTACAAATATACTGAACATTGTGATCAAGCATCACTTTTTCAATTTCTCAAACAAAAGAATCACCAGTGCAGTGAGACGAACAGTGTGCTCAGCGATGTCATAGACGTTAATAATAGCGTCGGCCAAAAAGGATCTACCGTTGTGGGAGTCCATCTGTACAGAATCGTCAACACACCAAGCCATTTCACTGTGTTTTATATACCAACCGTTAAAAATGATGCCAACGGCGGCAATATTTCAGGTAAATGTCTCGATTGTATAAACACAGCCCTAGACGATAATTACAAATTGCCAACCTATACTTTCTTTTGCAGCTTAGTTTATAATAATCTAGGAAATTATTTTTACCATGCGTTACACTCGTTTACGATGAAATGAAGCATATGGATAAGACAGCGAATAATTAGCTCAAAACATTTAGAACAAACTTATGTCAACCAGAATATCGACTTATTTTATTACGATGACGGTGTCAATATTAGTTTCCTTGAAAACATTATTAGAAGCAACTCTGAGAAGCTTATAGATTTTGGGTGTTTTCGGAACAGTGTGAAGTTACTAAACGGGCCATGAATATGCCAAGTCAATACATATTGATACATATTATCGTTGGAAGGGTACGTAACTGAACAAAATTAATAAATATACAGGAAATAGTGAAATGTGTAACTCACCGCCTTAATTAAGGAAGTACCGCAAGTCACCTGCACTTTCATAAATTGAAAACTTCCATGGCAGATGATACTTAGTCTGGCGTATCTCCCGAAACAGATTCCATTGGGCCGTTAGAGGCAAAATAGTGATGAAAGTTATATGAATCGATCACTGAAAATCAGGGATGACACCGGGTATCACGATAAGGGTAAACATGTCCTGCTTTACCGGCAGCACGTGTTACTCACACAGTTTTCATACCAGAAGTGTGTGTTTGTTGCCTTACGCAACACCAAGGAATACTCATCTGTAAAGCATATTGCATCAGACATGTACTTTATCACATGTCCCATACAAGGTTCATGTAAAGGTTATCTCTACCGTTGATATATGACGCAAAGCACTTACAATGATACTGCGTATATACAAATCGGTCATGGTGACTTTAACTTCGCGTTCAAGATCATTGCACTTATATGTATATAGCGACGTCAATCGGTCATAAACAGGACAGAGGATAAACCAAATCTTGACATACGCATAGGAATATTAATTGAAATTGAAATTTGCTTGTGTACAATGTCCCATACAGAACTATCTATGTCCATACATGAATGTGCTCACTCAACTTCGTGAACTGCATGTCACTAACGTCCCGTGGCTGGTTGTCGATTATGTACAGATAGCCTTCCTATAGCTGGAATATTGCTGAGTGCGGCGCTAAACTAAAACGAAACAACAAAATGTCACTAAAATGGAAGTATATATAAGAATATATATATATATATATGTGTGTGCGTGTGTGTGTGTGTGTGTGTGTGCGTGCGTGCGTGCGTGCGTGCGTGCGTGCGTGCGTGCGTGCGTGCGTGCGTGTGTGTGTGTGTGTGTGTGTGTGTGTGTGTGTGTGTGTGTGTGTGTGTGTGTGTGTGTGTGTGACCTGAACTGCTGAAGTTCAACTGATTCACGCAATACATGCTCTGCTTTTTGTCGACTTTCCTAATTGAGATTTAAATATCAAATTGAGTAATCACATCTTTACCTTTACTTAATTATAATTTTCAAGGGATTACAAGAACAATAATATAGCTATGAAAATCCGTTTTTTTTAATAAAGTCACTGTTACTTCTAATTTATTATTTCTAACTTAATTGCAACAAAAATATGTCACAATATTGTATCAACACATGGAACCTTATGTCTCCTTAACTGAACTGTTGTTAAATGATAAAAACAAATGCTTGAGTCTCCGTTAGCCTATCAATGCATACCACCCCACCAATCTCCCTTATTTATATGTATTTTCCATTTTTTTTATTTTTTATAACAAATGTCTTAGTGTCCATGCCGTTGGTAATAGCAGTTTACAGGGATGTTCAACATCAACGCTTTTCTCAACATATGTTCTGTCATAACCTTTTATGGAAAAAAGCATAAGCATAAGCGTACTTCTAAAACTTTCACAGTAGTCGATGTCCAAACATTATGTTTGTACTTCAGACAAACGTGTTCAAATCCGCACAACATTCATCTTCGTCCATCTTGTTGTTTCCAAGGTGTGCAGCTATACAGATGTATGTTGGTTCTTCTGAATCAAAGGGTTATTGTGGTCTGTTTACTGGATGAAACCAATCATCTTTGCGTCGCTTCTCCGGGATATCTGCTTTAGGGTGATGCTTTGTCGTGCTCCATCTTCCCCCAAGGCCTCATTTTAAACAGATGAAATTAACTGTGGCACTGAGACCAGGTCAGTTTCACGTATCTTCAGTGGATTCATTATTAAGCGTTCCATTTCTATCCACTACGTCCATGGTCGAAGCATTCTGATCACTAGCAAGTTGATTTGTCTCCAATCTAAAAATACAAATACGTTGTCGTAATATTTAAGCACTCTGATTTATTAACGTAATAGTGAAATAGTGATGTTGATATTTACATTGTATGCACAAACCTTTAATTGTCAGTTTATTAAAAGTAAAATTAATAACGTTAAATGTTTAATGTGTGGGTGAGTGAGTCAATCAGTCAGTCATATTTAATCAACACATACATACATTGAAATATCTTTGTACATGTTCCTTTCAAATATTTGACATTTTATGCACAAACCTTTAATTGTCAATGTATGAAAAGTAAAATTATAACGTTAAATTTTATTTGACGTCATATTTCATCAGCACATATTCATGGACATATCTACATACATTCATAGTTCATTTTAAAGTTCGGATTTCTTACTTTCATCTCCTCCCTTTACGACATTACATGCCACGCCCTGCTCCAGACACATCGTGTGGCGTTCCTCCCCACATCCGCAAGCACCATCCGCCTGGAGACATCTCTCACAGTCAGTCCCACAATATGTCTGGTGCAGTCAGTCCCCAAGTAGCCTTGCTTGCATCTGAAACATTCCCCAGTCTCTTGAGAACACGCTTCACAGTTACTAGGACACTTCAGCCTACAGTCGAGAGACATCCAGCCATCCACAAAGCCCTGTCTGCATACTGTAGACTTCATTCTGTGGTCACAGAAACAGTCCTGATCTGCATATCAGTGATGTCAGTGAAGACCGTGTTTACAACCTCGGGTACACCTATGGCTCCCGTACTGTTCACATGTGTCACCGTGACATCCCCCTGGACAACTGGTGTCACAACCGTCACCAGTCCAACCGTTCCTGCAGCCTCTAGCACACGACCCATCCCAGCCGTAGCTGGGGTTGTCTTCACATCCATCACTGCACTTGTTTTCACAGTCAGTCAGCCGACAAATTTTCAGACAGTTTCCTGTCTCCCGGTCACAGTGGGCTTGTCATCATTACTGAATCTGCAGTTGGGGGGACATGTATCTGTACAGTTGGTGGCTGTCGCCGATATCACAAACGCCGAAACATTTGTAGTTGTCATTGTCTCAATATCAGCCACTCTTGCAGTCAGTGCAACGAACGTCGACTGATGGCGAGAGACAGTTAGAATCAAAGAATACTGAAACATATATACTATTGTCCTTTTTTTCTCATACAAATGATACATTGATGTCTTTTGGGTTTATTGAACATGAGTCAATGTGCCAAACAAATATGCCAGAAGGTTCGGGGTTCGATCCCGGCCGCGCCATATCAAAAGACGTTACAAGTTTGAACTTGTTGTTACCCTGTCTGGCGCTCGGCATTGAGGGGCTAAAACAAGGACTGGTCGGCTCAAAGTCAGTATACCATGCATCTCACCAAAAGCTTGAATAATCGCTCACATTGAATGGCCCATCATCAAATAGGGGTGGTAGAATATTGGTTCATGCTGACTATCAGTATACAAAAAAACGCCACAAAGACACGACCTATTGGAGATGTCTACAAAAGGAAGGTCTTCTAAAGCGACATGAAGAAGCGTACAAGAGAAGAAGTAATTCCAGTCACAAGAATTATACAAGGAAGATGTTTTGGGTGAGAATTATCTTTTATTATGTCCTTCTTATGAAACCGTGTTTTATCAAATATGGCGACACCAACTTACTCCGCTTATATAAGTTTTATTATTGTTGGCAATAAAGATGTACAAAAAAGAAAAGAATAATATAAATTTATGAAAATCTAATATGTCTTGTCACCAGGTATCATTGTTATGCCATTCTGAGATCCAGCTTTAGGGCCATTGGCGACAGACCTTTTATTATAGATGCTCCCATGGCGATCCTGACTTTCAATATATGTACACGAGTGTCCTTTGAGTGTCATGTGCTTTTATGTATCTGAAAAATATTATAAATGTTGTACAAGTCAGTCTATATATAAAAATAAAATCGTTTCATAAATTTTCATACAAACTATGTCTGGTGTGAGATGGAACAGACTATACTACAATCCCCATTTGTTCGGCCAATTAACACCTGTGTTGCAACTGACTGCGTTTGAGCTCAAATGGGGTATTTAAGATTACTTTTCTTGGATGGATATATAACCTTTCATTCCTCCATAAAGAAGAGTACAAAGAAAAAGCAGAAAATAATAGATGAACATCTATCAGAACAACATATTACTTTGCATTATATATGCAGAATGGTAATGCTGATATATTGAGAGTTAGTTGAACACCGTTTTAAGCATTGGCTTGACATATTTAACACACACTCTTGCAAAGTCATTTGCATCTTTATCACATAGTCTGTAATCTGTTCTGCAAGACAACATGCATTCAGTGAGCTTTGCTGATTCCATACCATGCAGGTAGCAGCTAAAGTCGACATCACCGATATTGATCAACTCCATCCAGAGCTTATCCCGAATGTCACACGTACATTCACACTCAACAACTGCATTTGTCACTGGATCACGATACACAAGACCACATTTGTGGCACAGTCCTGTATCACACATGTCCTTTGCGGTGGCACACGTCCTTATCACAAAGTTAGGGTTCAGTCTCAGAGTTGGAGTCGTCTAAGGAGATTTGCCAGGCTGGATGGACATCATATAGTCGATGGATTCGACTAAACATCTGGAGTTCTGGATCAGCAGCAAGTCTCTGCCTCCAGGCAGAGACATGGTGAGATTTTAGAGCTTTACTCATTAATCGTTTCCATCTCTGTTTCCCTATGAAGATACCATTCCGCAGGAACGACAGCAGAGGATCCATGAGATTGTATTTGGATAACAATCTGATGACGTCTGGAACAAATCCTGATGATGAGGTTGTCAGGTGGTGAATGTAACACATCAGTCTGGTCATGAACAGCGGGTGAGGCAGGAACTTCGGGTTCATGTTGATGATGCGCTCCAGGAAATACAACTTTCTTTGATCTATATGGTATTCAATGGGTAGAACACCAAGAAGACTCAAGCAGACATCAGTACGGGTCAGTCGCGGCAAGTCTTGGATAGATTTTATGACATATCTGAACGATCTCTCCAGCATCAGCAACCCTTCCTTTGATAGATTTGACCACAGTTCTGATCCATACAGAGTCCTTGGGAGGTACATATTATTTACCACAATCAAGTTGGTTATAGGATTCAGGAACCTAGGATGAAACCTCGTGAAATCAGCGTTCTTACTCCTAACCTCAGGTTGACTGAAGCTTGAGTAACATGTTCAAGGGATGACATGTTGCCAGAGAGTACCAAACCAACATGTCTGATGGTGTTCGTCCATGGAATGGGTTCACTGTACAGCTTCAGTTCAGATCTGTGTTGAGTCCCCTTGCGGCAAGGGAATGATACAATCTCACTTTTGGAAGACGAAAATATGTACCGTCAGTCACAGCTGTAGTCCTCAGCTGTTTTCAACATTAATTTCAATGCTGACACTCTTGATGAAACAAGGGCTTGCGTCGGAGAACAGGTATTCAAATCCATAACTACAGCACCAAGTGTCGACTTCGATAGTTTCTGGCGTCAGTGTACAAGAAGTACAACTTCCCCGACAACACAACCTTGTCCTATTCCCTCTCTCATGGATACGGGTCTAGACCACATTGAGTCCACACACACACGGCTAACCATCTCTGTGTACATGTTGTCAAGCACTAGCCATAGAGACCCCTTGATTCCGAACTCGAATATCTTGTACTTAAGACCACTATACCACACCATGTCAAATGCCTTACACGTATGGCTTCGAATGGCGTCACAAACATGTCTACAATAGCAGACGACCTGGTTCATCAGATGACAAACCAAATTCACGATTCCATCCTTAACAGAAAAACAAAATAACAGATTACCATAGTAAAGATATGTAGTACTGTCGCATTCCAATTGGCTGAATGTGTGTGTGCTCTTACCCCGACGTCATCAAGTTTTATTCTCTAGTGAGGATATAACAATGACTGAATTATGACAGAACACGACACCTTAACAATCAGATAGCAAATCATAGCCTTTATTTGGTTGATCCTGATTATACTTGATTTATCCCCAATATACGTATCAAATTGTATTGGAATATCAACTTAAGTAAGGTAACACTGGCGTCGTCTTGTTTGTTGTGTGATCGAGGTGAAGATATGGATGATTACAAATGGTACCTTTCGTTGAAATACTCGTCATCGCGATGAAGTGGTTATTAAGCCCAGCATGCTGTGGTGTTTATCCACTCCTGGTCTGATTTAAAGAAGGGTTTAAATACCTAAATACCATTTTCAGTGTTTTCGGACAGTGCATTACTTTACACATGAATACATTTTATGACTTCATCTCCTGATGTGATTTCATTTCACTATAAATTGTGTTTTTTGCGCGCAGTTTAAGATACACTTGCTAACACTTTATAGACTCTCATTTTTAAGACGCTGATTTTTAAAGTCCATTTAATGTGCTGAGATATCTGCCTTTGTGTTGTATCCATTTGCTACCGTCACATGTGTCAAAGAGCATTATTTCACAGTGCATTTGTAAGTGCAGTTTCATTCAGTGTATTTCGGCATGATTTTCCAGGCAATTTGTCGCCTGCAATCTTATTTTGCATGAATCACTTTGTGATTACATGTGAGGTTTAGTTTGTGTCATGTCCTTGAGTACCCTGTGGGGGATATGTCTATGGAGCGGAGGTGTGAAGTATTAGGTATTAAAGGTCCCAATCAACCCATGCTTGTCCTAAGAATCGATCGGGCGATCGGATCGGGGACTTGGTTGATAGCATGTCATCACGTCTGAATTGCGTGGATAGTCTGAATTGCGTGCTCATGATTTAAGTATTTGATTGCCTCGATCAGACTCGATTACTTACAGACTGACGTCATACCTAGAATATTGTTGAGTGTGGTGAAACAAGTAACAAGAAAACAAATATCGAAACAAAAGAACAAACGACGTAAGCCTACTGATCGTGTTATGGAATATTGCAAATACACTAAATATTGTTATCAACCGTCAACCGACATCAGCGTCGATCGACAATAACAATATCGGACAAGATATCTCTGCCTTCATGGAAGTCCATCTGTATAGAATCGTTAACACGTTGAGGGTCACCATCTAGTCTTTTCACGTTCAAATGTGATGGCAACGGTTACAACATTTCAGGTAAAATACTCGTATGTTTATACACTAGCCTCAGCGTTAAAGTTATGGGTATTATGGCGGTGTTCTGAATTTTGCACACGACGTACACTCACGGACACTAAAATGATAATCTATGACAAAACAATTACCGCCAAAAGTGGGAGGACTTCTTTTACATGTTTAGACGACAGAACGCACGGGTAGTTCTCTCCTGTGCTGTCTGTTTATGTTATGTCCTGTGCATTATGATTGTGATCTCTTTTTACTGTTAGGTGTTTGCTGCATAATAGGTATATCAACTGAGATTTGCTTGCGTCGTCTACATGTTGCATCGTCCAACACGGTATTATTTATTGCTATCCATGTATGTGCTGACGTGCTCTTGTGTGTGTGGTGACTGTGTCACATTTTTACGTTGGTTCACATCACGACTCGAAAAAATGTTTTTTAAACATTCAGAAACTACTTTATATTTTCATAAGATGAAACTTTGCTTTAAATCATAATTAGGGATCATACATGAATATAATTATATGTTGGTGTCACCTGATTTGTTGAAGTTAAGCTGATTCCTTTGTTGATTCAAAGAATTTCCAAAACTGAGATTTTTAGATTGAGATGAGTTCTGTTCACATCTTTACCTTTACTATTACATGAATGTTCCAATGCTTAGAATGCAAATGATATATCTATGAAACTCCCTCTTTGAAGAAAGCAACTTTCACTTCTGACTTAGCATTTTATTACTTAATTGAAGTCCAAATGTGTAGAATATTAACACATATAAGTCTTAAGAACATTATGCATCCTTTACTGAACTGCAAGTACATTTAATGATAAAATATGAAATGTCAATGCAAGAGAAAAACCAGTCTTGTTCAAACAGATTCCATTTGGCGTAAGGGGCAAAATACCTGAGAATATTGTATGAATGGACCACTGAAAATAAGGGATGTATAGATTCTTTACTTCTCCATAGACCACCGTCAGTGCTACAAGAGCAAACATACAGTACCGAGAGATAAATATAATATGTACATCAAGAAGGCTGTGTGCATTTAGATTTAGCATCCAAATTAAAGTGGTAAATACAAATAAAACATATTTTGATGAACGTTAAAGCTCGTTTGGTTTAGTTGTTGAAAATAGGCTTTTTAATGAAAACTCATTTGACCAAGTTAAATATCTGCTAGGAATAAGTATAAGTGTTTTGTTATCAAAAGTTTTACATCGAAAATATATAATGGAATTCATCAGCTATTGCCGGGGAGTTACAGAGTGAACATAGACGTTGTTTTCTGGGTACATTTTTCCAGCGGCCAGTCTCGACTGGTAAATTGTGGTTATTAGTGCAAAATTTTAAGAGCGGGTAATAAACAGATTTAGATAGATAGAGATAGTTTTCAAGTAATGGCATTTGTTAAAGATGTTTACAATCGAAACCTTTGTAACTCGACAATATTGAACTTCTCCAGGATTGTAGAAAATGATTGTTTAATTTTCTTTCCACAGACGAGACTAGTCACTTGGTGTTGAAATTACATGGCATATTATATACTTGGGTCAGGCCACAGGAGCGTCATAAACATTCTAAATCATATAACCAAGAGTGAATATTGGAGTTTACCTCAGCATCCATCTTAATGAATTGATGTAGTAGATAACACCAAGGGTTCGCGAAAAGGGTACGCATGTCCTGCCCTACCGGGCCCCGTAATTATAAGCCTTGTCTATACATACCACCTGTCACGGTGCTTAACTAACAACTACGTCGCCTACGTTACAGTAACGCCACACCCACGGAGAAGCCGACTCGTGATTGTCATGATGTTTAAGTGCAGGGATGATTTTGTTTTAGTCGAAAAATGTATAATATATAGACAAACCGATACACATACTGTTTTGCTATTTCTGTTAATCCTACAAAAATAACAACATTGCATACATTGTTGAAGGTGTGAAGCGAGCTTTGATCGTGACATTGTGAATAATAAGAATAACAATCGGTTACTAGCGTCTTAATCATATTTTTTTAAACGAGCGTTTACTGAGACCGTGTTTGGGTAATAAAACACCAGCTGCCCTCGGCCATATTCCACACAATGCCTCCACGGAGTAAACAACTGAAGGCATCGTGTTGTCACCAAGCTGACGTAAGTTGTGGACACGGTGATCAACGGACATCGTCGTGATCGTTGATATTGCGCACCCGATTGAACGCACCCGTTTTAACCCCAGTAAGGGGAATCCCCTCAGTGGCGGGAAATTTACGTTTGGGGGCAATTTCGAATTCGGCTATCGTTTTATATCGTCTGTTTTACGCTATTTCCGTTTTTCAAATTGAATTTTGGTCAAGCATTTGAGATAATGTATGCCCTAAAGTATTAAAATCTGCAAAGTTGACATGTTAACTTTACTTGCCCTTTTAGCAATTGGAAGTTTGACTCACACAGCTGGCGTGAGTACGTCCACACAGGCGAATAAACACTAGTTAGCAGCACTGATGTTAGCTTGCCAATTCTGATATCGAGCTGATCCGATCTAAATACACAGAGGGTATTACTAGTCTACACACGTATACGTTGCCACGGCGTCCGTCTTAATAGATTAACATATATCGGATCAAACGACATTCTTCTTCTTCTGTTATGTAACCAACCTCTGTATGTACAGCTTAACAGCGACTACGGTCTTTCAACTTTCGTCTTGATACCGACGCGACCGTACAAACTGGTGTATATTTAACATTATCTACCAGAGGGTGAACAACATGCGGGTGTCGGAGATGAAAAACTCCGATAGTCTTTCACCCCAAGCGGCTAGCAAAGGCAAAAGAGCGTGTTTTTCATTAGTATTTTAATTTACATTAGTATCAAGAACATTATGCTAACGTGCAGCGTTTGCACTTTACAGAGATGTTTTATATACAGCAAAGGTCCAAGTGGTTTCTTAGTTACCGCCCACAAGGTCACTAAGACTCTGGGGAATTTAACATTTCATATACAGGAAGCAGTAAGAATACGAGGGAACTTCGTCACCCAAACCACCCCATCTCCCTCCGCAAAGAGGTATTTATATTTTTAGTTTGTCAGGCTGTAACACCAAGCTCCACCACACAATACAAATCATCATAGTAAAACAAATGTTTCAGTTGGTTGGTTGGTTTGTTTGTTGTTTAACGCCGCACTCAGCAATATTCCAGCTATATGACGGCGGTCTGTAAATAATCGAGTCTGGACCAGACAATCCAGTGATGATATCATGAGCATCGATCCACGCAATTGGGATCGATGACATATCATCAACCAACCTGACCACCCGATCCCGTTAGTCGCCTCTTACGACAAGAACGGTCGCCTTTTACGGCAAGCATGGGTTGCTGAAGACCTATGATAACCCGGAATCTTCACGGATAAAATGTTTCAGTGTTCATGCCGTGGGTAATACCAGGTCATAGATATGTTCCATATCAACGCTTTTATCAACATACGCCGTCAGAACCAAATACTGTTAAACATTTATCTGCATGCATTAGCGTACTTCTAGAATCTGCACAGTTGTCCACGTCCAAACTAATGTTTGAAGTCGCCTTGACAGATGTAAACCAGCACGTGAATCGGACGGCACATAATCTTCCCCTTCATGATCAGAGAAACTGTTTAACTCAGCAGAACATACATCTTTGTTCATCTTGTGGTTTCCAAGATGTGTTGCCATAGGTAGCTTATGTGCATCTTCTGAATCAAAGAGTTCTTTGGTCTGTTTACTGGATGAAACCGATAGTCTTCACGTCGCTTCTCCGGAATATCTAGTTTCGGAAGATACTTCGTCCTATTCCATCCTCCCTCCAGGTCTTCATATTGAACAGATCAAATTAAGTGCGGCACTGAGTCAAGGTCAGTATCATGAATATCCCAATATTTATGAGGGGAATCATAATCTGTGGATCTAGTATCCTGCGTTCCATTTCTACCCACCACGTCCATGGTTGAAGCACTCTGGTTATGAGTTGGTGGATTCGTCTCCGATCTAAATGGAAGGTTAAGATTACTGTAGACAGATCTTCATTTCACTGATTTAAACACTTAGATTTGTTTGAGTCACCATCCTATGAAGTAGAAGTTTCCATCTTTAATTCATTAAGTTGATAATAACGTTATTGAACTGATATTTTGGCACGATGTTCTTATAGTTTACCTCCTCTGATGTCTGTATTTGTAAGCGCATATTTTGTAGAAGAACACCAAGACTCCTCCAAGAAGGACAACTCTCAGGGTTGAACAGGCAATCAGGACGGTGTTGGGGTCCAATTTCTGCAAATACTCGTCACCTAAATAAAAATTAAATAATCACAAACATGTAGTGACGAACGGCATGAGGAAAGTGATGACCACAAGGTACAATTAGAACTACAATCCGTAATTAGAAAATAAACATACGATGTTTTTGATTTAAGATGTTTCGATGTGTGAACTCATATTTCATTATGGACATGTTTTAATTCGTCCATTGTCTGATGTATTGATTCGTTTGCTTAGTCTCTTACTACACTTATAATTTATTTGATGCACTTTATATTTCTTTGTCAATTCATTTTTGAACCCAAAATTGTATATATTACACAAACCAACAATATATTGAAGATGCAGCATTCCTGTCTGTCTTATCAAGTACAACATATGAACATGAATATAGACACCGAAAACGTACAACTCCATCATGATCATAAATTCACCACACCAAGAAATTCAATAATTATATATCATAGTCAATGTTGCTCATTTATGGAACAGACATACGTAACTGTTTATACATAACACATATTTTATCTTAGAAAATATGAAGTGGAATCGCATGCAGTCGTGTGAAGGAAGCGAACAGCTACGCATGAACCAACACCTACACGTTCTCCCTGTATTTCCATGAGCACACTTAGAACAGTTCCATGTGTCCTTATGACAGCGTAGGCAGTTCTATGGGCAAGGCGACATGCAGTCCTTGCGATCAGGTAAACACCTTATACAACCTTCCCCACAACCTGGCCTGCAAGGTCTTTCATATTAAGTTCCTTTAAATCCCGATGCACACGTTCTGCAATCACCGATCAGTTTGGCGCATCTACCTTTGCAGTTTTGAGGACAACGTTTGTCACACTTCATAGTTGAACGCATTCGAACCCTGTACACAAATACTACCGTAGCGCTCGCATTTAGAACATGTCGACAGACAATCTTCTTGACAGCATGTTCCCTGTTTACCATCAACGCATCCGTCTTTACAGGCCAGGTTTTTTTCTGCACTCCACAGCGTGAGTTGATGCATGTATCAGAACAGTTCAGGTCACACTCTGTGTCATAGAAACGTGAGTCTGCACACACGGAAGACTGTACCAATTCATGCTGGGTTGGCTGTTGTAAGAGTAAGGGGAAATGTAATTTTGAAAAAAATGAAGAGGAAAATAAGTTTTAAAAAGGTGTATCTACTGAAGGGACACATTTTTTATTTTCATGATTTACGGATTTAATCGTTAGCTTAGGCCCTTCGACAAGAAATAGTTCTATGCAATCGCCCATTTTTTTATGGACATGATTATTTTACATTGGTTTAGTTAGGAAACATAAATGCAGAAAAGGTAAAAAATGCAGTGTGTTATTTTACTGTTTTTCTAACATGTGCATTTCTAAAAGCGATTGTTTAATGCTGCAACCGCAATTTAGCATTAGCATGTATTGGTGTCAATACATTACATCTGAAAAACCTGTCTTCTCTGTCTAAGAAGTTACAGTGACAACACAAACTGCACTTAATCAGTTACCCTATGTGAGGTTCATAGTTACTTAAAGTTGATACATGATGGTTGCCCTATCTTTATATTGTTCTAAGTAAACAAAATAAAACAGATGAGAAAAGAAATAAATAAATAAACAGTTTTTTTGTTGTTGTTTTTTGTTGTTGTTGTTTTGTTGTTGTTGTTTGTTTGTTCTTTTTGGGGGGGTGATTGTGTCTTTTGACCTCGGTTGGTCGGATGCGGAAATAAAACGTTATAACGAGCATGGCAGATATGATTAACTCTACAGCAAGGTCGATCCATGCTTTCCAATAAGGAAGAAGTGTTTGGCTTTCTTGTACCTTACACCAGTCTTACACACACTGATAAATTGCTGCAAAACGACGCACTGATTGTGACATGTATGAACAGATAAAGGCTTTTTGGTGACTGTAAAACTGACGTAAGGTTTAACAAAACACTGTTTCCTTATAAAAAAAACCTATGGAGTTAATTATATCTTTAATGCTAAGTATAACCTTTTGTTTACCACATTCCACTGACAGGTGTCAAACGCCACAAAGAACAGCACCACCAACATGTACGCCACATCCAATTCTAGGAAGCCGATGTCGCAACTGTAAATAAACGTAATTTGTGTTTCAATATCTGTGAGTGAGTTGGGTGTAACGTGTGGGTGAACAGTATTTCAGTATTTCAGCTTTATCGTGGTGGCACAATGTGGGACGAAACCCCCAAGTGATGCAGGCCTTAGATGGTTACCCCTTTGGTGATAATCAAGTATGTGTGACGAAGCTCAAGTGATACAGGTCTTAGAAGTTTCGATTGTTATAAGGTTGTTAGTCAGTTGTACATAAGTATCGTTATCACCTCCACCTGAATGACATTGAAATGGACACATTATTGTACTTACCAGGGACACCTCGAGCGTTTGTTATACCACCGATGCTCACACTATGCATGGTAGCAAAAAAAAGACGTGATACTTCAAACAACTGTAACCGGGTGACAAGACATTTCAATTAACATGCAGTGAAATTAGGCCATGAAGATTTCACGTGTAACACAGCAATTACGTGTATTGTGTTTTGTCTTATCCAAGATGGCGGACGTTTCCGAGCGGAAACGTGTATAACGAACAACGGATATAACGAACTGATTTCTCTGGTCCCTTGTAGTAAGTTATATCCGCGTTCTACTGTACTATATTACATTTATTGTAAAAAGGAAGTATTTAGGTGATATTCACGAATTCAATAAGTGACACAGATACATTTGTGTAATTCAATATAACAGTAGTTTCCAGTATGACCAAGTTGGTTTCTTGTGATGTAGATATAGAAAATTTATCCCTCGTGATCAGAAATTTAACTGCATTGTTTCTTAACTGAGGAATTGAGGTATTCATCTGAAATATATTTTTAAATGTTCATTTGATGTGTTTTTTTCTCATGTGTATGAACTGCCATGTAGAACATATTCATCCAGTACAAGTTAACGTAACAGTTACCAAAGCTAATGTTGCTGGCATGTTAACACTGTTATAGTACAGGATAATAAATTTAGTTGATGCACTGTTTCGTATCAAGGCATCAGCAAAATTTAACACGAACCTTTACTTATTGCAAATCAGTTTCACCTGTAATGTATCGTTGTTCCTACTGGTGGGTATTGCCACCCTGTTATGCATTACGTATTACGGCGTGTCGGCTCTCATAAATATATTCTTAGCGGAAACAAATCTTTTGATATCAGTTTCAATTTGTTCCTTCATTTTCGCAAGTCCTAAAACAGCATTTGCTTCGAGATCCGAGTGAAATCTGAATAATCAATCTCAGCTCCAGTCAGGTTAAAAATATCCACATGATCATTTAAGAGACATGACTTGAATGTAACATTAGAGCAATACGCTCTTCAGTAAATTATATCTTACTCCGGACATATATGCATTCACGTATGCCACAGTATTATTCAAAACCGATATAGACATTTTTATGTAATAGCCGTCCTTTAGCCACTGGTTAATCAAGTGACAATATCTTATTATTTCAGAGGACCCGAGCGCGTATGTTACCTAAGAATTTAATCCACACTGACAGAGCCTGAAGGACATTCTAATATGTTTTTTAATTTGCAATTATGGATGCAAATATGCAGATTTTAAATACGAGTCAACTCACGGTCTACTAGAAATGAAGATGTGATATGGAAATGTATAGCTCATCACACATGTCATGTCATGCATCCGAATACACGTTAGTCAGGCCTGGAGTCTTGATATGACTTGGATGAGTCATGGCTCAATATTTATGACGTATCCCGCTTGCAATTACCCACCGTCAAGTAACACCAATATATAGGATCACCCCAGGTTCACAACAAACGTCGCCTTGAGTGACAAGTGAGGATATGTTCAAAGCTCCAATAAGTCCAAGGGAGGTTACTCATTTTAGTATCCTTCTATACTTGTATATGAGATATGTGTGTATTGTGAGTACACGTTTTATTTGGACGATGTGTCACTTTGTTCTTGACGTAGATTTATTCGCTGAACTTAAAGCACAAGCGTGTAATTCAACACCAATTCAAGGATGAAACACAAAAGGGCATCCCAAGAAACCTCCTCCAAACGTATGTCAGTGGCAGTAATCGTGTCAGAGCGTAGGATCGCGGTTCAATACATGTGCATCCAACAGCGCGGTACATATATCATATGTTTGTAGATAATATCTGAAGAACCGTGATGTGATGAGTGAAAAGACAACCGAGAGTTATTTAATGGCCATAACGGACATGTAGAAGCGCTTTCCGTGACAATGTGACATGAACTCGTCAGTGGGGCGTGAGAAAGCCTTGCAAAATATGCACGTCTGTTTATAACCCTTTCAATGTAAAAACCCAGTATATGAGTATTTGTGCACTTGAAGGGGTTGAATATATAATGTTGTGTTTATTAGGTTACTGTAGATAACACACATCTTGTATCTTTGAGGTGAACATATTCATCGGTTGTCAACTTAAAGTAGGAGGAAAGCCCAAAGTGAACGTATCTGGTACTTTGGCGAAAGCAACAAGGACGTGCTCAAACAAGGAATCATAGCATAATAATAGCGAACATTTGAACCATGGATCTCGACATTGCATGGCGAAGGGACGCAACTCGTCACATCTTAGATGGCTTGTACATCCCGCTCTTCTTTCTGTCTAGTTCAGTCATCTATCTGATTAACTTGATGGTAAAGCATTTGCAGCTACACAAGAGACAGATCAGAAATAATAGCTGAAATAGTTTCGGGATTATTTTATATATTGTCTGCATAAGTACTGTCCTATCGGTAAAATGTGTGCAAGTCGTGACCACGTATGAGAACATAGATAGAATTGCTGTCGTGTCGAAGATGAAGCAAACAGGTAGCACAAACAAACTCTGAATCAGTGTTCATGCCGGATGCATTGATGCATGCGATGTGTACGCATCGACCACGTGTGCTAGTGGTACAGTAGCACAGTAGTATGCACACTATCTGGCACTCTTTTATTGACTTCGGTTTATGGACACGTTCAGTAAAAGATATTGTACGAGTGACAGTACTTTACCACAACAGTCCTAGCACATACGTGTATAAGGGAACGGTTCGCGCAAACCACCACTCACGACCCACGAAGCCACGATCCCTGTGTCTGTGTGAATCTCCATGTAAATGCAGTTTGAGTGAGACTGTTGTATAAAGTGAATTGGTTTGAGTACATCATTAGGGTACCGTTACTGCACGTAATCAACCAGAGCCTCCTCTATTTATCCTCTAGTTAAGAGGACAATACGCGGAATGCAGAGTACTGCACACGTTATCTGTGACGTCGCACTATTGGTTGTTATGCTCGTCCCTAAAAATAGTTGACGTGCTCCAGATGTGACCTTAATGTTAAACTGACTCACTCACTTGTTATTTGTTTGTATTACAGTACAACAAACTACGTCAAAACTCTTTATTCAAGACAATAAATACTGTCAGTGAAAATAATAATGGCAGTGGCTGTCAATAATACTTGTACATAAAAAACGCATTTATCTGGGAAATGTTTGAGCAGCCTCATATTGTTAATTATGTCACTATTTATAGGCAACTTTGCAGGGAATATACACTGCATTAAATTTCTTTATGAGATTCAGTAAAGTAACACACCTGGTAAAAACAGCAGTCCTTTCCTACACGACAACAACAATTACATATAAGTGTTTACGTGACAATGAATGTTTACATCCTATTTTGTCTTATGTCCATCATAGGTTATTCTGGTTACAAATATGAATATCTCAACATGTAAGTTAACAAAATCACTAGGTTCAGGTAGATTGATAAGTTGGATGTGTACCAGCTCGAGCCATTCCTCGAAGTGATTTCGTGGATGTTGACACCTGAAAGTATAATTGTCCTAAATCAGTACAAGTATCTCACCCGATGTAATTCTCTTTGTACGTGGACAGAGAGATGTGGAACACACACGACGTACGTCAGAATGCAGGGATAACATCAAATGATGATAACTGAAACGAGAGGGAAACTCAATTTTTTTTTCTCAAATGTTGATCAAAGTGAACATAAAATTAATACCATATTCATTTCGCCATGATGTGAATCACATTTCGGGCTAATATAAAACAGTTTAGTAATGTATTCTATCGCCGTGACGAGTGAATATTTCTGGCCCTTGAATCCCATTTGACCACGTTTTTCAACTTATTGGACACAAGAAATACGAAAAGGTACAAATGCCTACCTGCGTGTCCTTTCTTTTCTTTTACATAGAGACATGTCAAGTCGGGTAGCATGTGATGCAGGCAGGACGAAGTGCACGGCTCTCTACATCTACAACCTCCCTTTGCCTCAAAGCATCTGATACAGTCAGCATCACAGTATGTCCTACACGTGTCCCCATGGTAACCGAGTTGACAACTACTGCATCGACCACCTTGATCACATGTCTGGTTAAAACACGTGGCACTGCATGTTCTAGTGCAGTCAGTTCCCCAGTAGCCTTGCTTGCATCTGGAGCATTCCCCAGTCTCTTGAGAACATGCCTCACAGTTACCAGGACACTTCAGCTTACAGTCGAGGGACATCCAGCCGTCCACACAGCCCTGTCTGCATACTGTAGAGTTCATTCTGTGGTCATAGAAACAATCCTGATCTCTACAGTGTCTATTACACTTCTTATTACAGTGATGCCCGTGAACACCGTGTTTACAACCTCGGGTACACGTATGGCTCCCGTTTTGTTCACATGTGTCACCGTGACATCCCCCTGGACACAAGGTGTCACAACTGTCACCGGCCCAACCTTTCCTGCAGCCTCTAGCACACGACCCGTCCCAGAAGTAGCATGAGTTGTCTTGACATCTGTCACTGCACTTCCTCTCACACCAGTCTCCCCACCAGCCGTCTTTACAGTTTTGCAAGCACACCCCACTTTGACGGTCACAATACATCTTACCATCATCATTCTTTCTGCAGTTGGGAGGACACGTAACGTTACAGTTGTGAGAAAAGTAGCCTGCCCGGCACTGTTTACATATCCCAGTGTCCCTGACACAGACGCCGCTGTCACAGAACGAACAGTTAAAGTTACAGTCACCACCATACCATCCTCTCTCGCAGGCAGGGCAGGGGTCTGATGCAGATGACCAGAGACAATGACGAGAGTCAGGTGCTCCGATAATACACGAAACTGCAAAAGTGTTCACAATATGTATTAATAAATACTCAGTGTTAGTGAAAAGCAATTTCCTCATAAATAGGAGATTAACTTTACTTACCAGAACATAGCAACCGTACTAGTAGAATTCTTGACATATTTGTATCCATGTCGTCCTATAATGATAAAAAGGTTATTTTCATCATCCCCGAATTCTAAATCTAAAATAGAAAGGTTATTATATTTAGAGCAATGGTTATTTTGAAGTAACAACTGATATAATGTTTCATTAATTTACATAACCTAAACTAATATATAATACCTTAGCATGTAATTTCAAGAATTTGTAATGCCTTTCAATGCCTGTATTCTAACAATATCTTTGCAAATTACCTTCCTTGCCTTCCTTTGCTTCGTCCTAATTGTTCCGTTCATTATATAGGCAGTTAGAAAAGATAAAGGGAAATCACCACTTCGTCCCAACTACCTGTAATGTTAAAATTAACTACTGTGATTCATAATATCTGGAAGCATGGCCTTGTTAGCGGAAATCTAGTCTCAATGGCTTACTGTGTCATTAGGTCACTTTATCTAAGCACTTATTGGTTCACAATCTCCTGTTATCAACATAAGCTCCCCCAGTTGTGTCCGAGCAGAAGGGAAATCCCCTGATGTGCATGTTCTGTCAAGTTGTCCCGGGGATAGAGCAAAGGGCGTAGAACAAACTTGGGAAGTTGCTACACGATAGACAAAACAAATACAATGCTTTTTCATTGATCACAAGTATCAAGTTACACCATTTCAATGTAACTAAACAACCGACTACGGGATCGTGTTTAAACCCCGACTCATGTCTAGTCAACCAATATTTTTAATCATAATATTATCTTCTACATGATCCCCTCCCATGAAATCTATTTTTGTTCATGACGTGGAAAATAAACAATAACAAAAGACCTGTATAAATGTCATCTTTAAGGAAACAATAATGTGATAATGATTTAATCAGGACTGGCTGATGCTGACGTAATATAATGAACGTATGCGGCAGGGGGTTCACAATCTGTTCTCACCTCGAGTATTTCTAAGTAGACGTTTGGCCTCATTTCGCGTATATGTAAATCTGTTATCTCTTATTCCTCGTTAAAACAATCCAGTTCACTTCCTTCTCCAGTCATGTTCGGTAAAGATAGTTGGCCTATCTTGATAACTTCCTGTTTACATCGGTGCATTTACACAGAGAAGCCACAACAAATGATGGTGAGCTTCTATACAAAATCGACGCTTTGTCAGTGACACAAAGACATATTTGCATATTAGTTCATGTAAAAATCAACCTGTATTTTCAACAGGGTGTACACAATGTATGTTGTGAGGTAAATATGCAGACAAAATATATTTGTTTTCCAACCAAACCAAACATCTGGGAGGTTGTGATCCATGTTGATTACTTAGAAAGTCAAAAGACGATTACTGGTGCCATCACCTGAGAGATTCTATCAAAGAAAATGGGTTTTTCAGGGTGGCTTCAGAAAACTTCTTCCTGACTGGACTTGAAAAGCTTGACAAAAAACACAATATATTTATTCCAAGACGAATGCAAGTTACAAAAATATGAATGTTCAGTATTTCAGCCACACAAGTGCGCGTGGGTTTGTGTCAAGTGCTCATAAATCAGGGGAAATTAAGGACCGTTGATCACGGAGAGTAGTTGGAGGAGTGGCCGCAAGACTCCTGGTTGTTTCTAGGGCTTCCATCCTGCCCCACTCTGAGCACATGTAGCAGATGCAGCACATGTAGAGTTTCCTCAGGCAAGCGACATGTCTGTTCGAAATATGCCTTTCTTCACCCAGCAGTGAATGGGTACCGGTTAGATAAGATTGTAATGTGACGCTTAACCTTCTTTCCCCTCTCAGGCAGCTTTGGTTGTGTATAATGTCAGGATAATTTGTGTTTTGCACTGCACTTAATCTTACAGGGTAACTTCCCTTGCTACGAGCGAGAATAAATCTGCATAAGACTATATACAACTTGACGTAATCAACTATCCGTTCTTGTAAGCCAACAAAAAGCAACATTTCTATTACACAAAAATATGTCACACTACTTGGAAGCTATATTGGTATGTAAATATTCTGAGGCTTACGGTGTTATTTTTAAATACATTCCGCCAGTGGGAACCATTTATAATGTACAATTAATGGCTTTGGCCCATTCATAGTATGCAGGTGAAAGTTAGTAACATTCGTAGTATGTAGGTGAAAGTTAGTAACATTCGTAGCATGTAGGTGAAAGTAACGTGCATGTGGTATCAACATCCATCGATTTTAGCCTGCGATATTATAATGGTAATACATCCCTCAAGTTTATATCGATAATACTTCCGTGAAAGGAGTCATACTCCTCACTACGTGTATCTGTACCTGTACAGTATTTACAATCCTTGTTTCCCAGTAGAGCACAAAAATCTAACCGATTGTCTCTGTATAAATGTCTGAATTGGTATATGGGCAGACCTGTTCTGTTCATATAAGAAAGAATACCAAATTCTCCACACTTTAGCCTCCTTAACATGCTCCAGTTTATAGTTTCAAATTAGCGATTGACTTCCCCAGCCTCCTGATACTGGATCCAGGTCCATGGTTTGAATACCAAGCATTCCAGTTCCCTCGGGGGCAAAACGTTGACTGATTCACGAGGAACATTCACCCCGTGTTTGGTCGATTTCAGCTCTTCTTTGAATGCTACAATAACCCATGAAGTCCCCCCTTTCAACAACGTCGTCTCTCTGCGGTTGGCTGTAATTGGTGGGTTCAGGTTCAGACAGCGGGTCAGTTATATCCCAATATCTATGAGCGTTACTGTCAGACGATTCTGGGGCCGCTCTTGCATGTGTTTCATCCCCGGGCTGGTGTTCCAGATGCCTACGGAAATAAAGATGTCTGAAGTAGTCCATTTAGATCGTTAGGTACACATAACATGATATTTCCAGATCACATTTCATTTGGAATGATTCAATATGCTTCTTTTATATATGTTTGTCTGAGGACAATACGCTACCGTTGATGACTTGTATACTTGTGCGTCCACAGTTTGTACACAAAAAGCAACACTGCTCCCAGGAACAGAACTGCCACTACTGTGATGATAGCAAGATTAGGGTTCCACCTGTCTGCAAGTGTGTGCGCCTCACCTGTAATTTAAACATCGTCACATATAACTACATTGTATGTGTACAAGATGCAGTCATGCAAACATGTTATAATCAACTGAACTTTAATAACTTTAGATTTAGCGGAGGTTTGACAGGCGGCGCATTGTTTTGTTTTGATTGCTTGAATGGTGATCCTCTAAATGACATCACGAAATTCATATTCTGCAGTAGATGGTGAAAAGGATGACCAATTCCTTTACTTGTACTGTAATGACATATACAGTATCCCTGATAATGCCTTTGGAAATACCAGCTTCGGTTACCATATCAAACTGGTCATCGACCAAACGTCCACGTTTGTGCCTTCAAAACCGCCAGTGTTTGATCGTGATTATGATGACGATTTGTATAATCGTATGTGTTGCATTACCCAATAGGGAAGGCATCTATCTAGACACTTACACTTTCCTCCGCTGTATCCATGCTTGCATTCGGTACAATAACCAGTTTCCTTATTGCACACCACACAGTCATTTGGACACGGAAATACACAATTGCTACCATAGAAACGATTAGCAAGGCATTTAGTACATCTGGTTGCGTAACGCTGGCATTCCTCACAGGCTGGGGGACAGGGGACATCACATTTTGCTCCTCTGTACCCCGGTCCGCACGATGTGCAATCCCCAGAGTATCTAGCACATCCATCTTCACAATTGCCGCGGCAATGAATCTGACATCGTTCTCCGTAGTAGCTTGCATCGGAGCATGGTCCTACGCAAGTGTTACTGTAACGTTCACATTGCGTGCAGCTAGAAGGGCAGTCCTCTAGGCAGTATACCCCCTTCTTACCCGGTACACACCCATCTGTACACACCAGAGTGGCATTCTGCAGCTGGCATTGAGAGTTGATGCAGGTGTTAGAACATTTCATCTGACAGTTCTTTCCATAGAAGGTTGCGTCTGAACAGGACGGATCAATTGCACCATTTGTCTGTAGAAAGAAACACAGTCAAGACATGTGTAATTCCATGGGAGTAATTATTGTTATATACCAAGGGTCTGGGATTCGAACTGGCTTTCTTATACCGGACTTCACAAACGTTATGTGCGGAATTAAAAATAACCGGAATAAGATCTCATGTGTATAAATGCTTTACGATGTCCCAGTTTGAACAAGGAACTTTAAACTAAAAGCATGTGTTGACATAGTTTCATATAATTGTATTGACCTGCAGGTTTACAACATGCTTTTGTTCCGAAATTTTAAAATGACAAGTCAACTATCAATGTACATTAAATAGATGGTGAAAACATGAAAGTTGAAATACGTTTAATATCATCTGTGTATCTTATAAGGTCCCATGTCCTTGTTTATATGATAAAATGATAAACTCGTTACCTTAGGTCTGTGGACAAGAAATAGTTGTGTTCGTAGTATATATTTATATTTTAGCATGAAGTTATTTACATCAGTTTAGTGAGAGAATATGAATAAAAATTATAGTTTAAAACACATATATATTTACAGTAACGCTTATATGTTTCAATATTGTGTACCTCAGAGAGTGTGTGCTAAAAACCACAATCGAAATTTTGCAGTTACTCTCAAAGAAGTAAATAGTTACTTTATGTTGATTCTTGATTTAAGTACTATTCCTTAATTTGTCTAATTCATCAAAGACTATCAAGAACTATATTTGTGGCATTTTCGTATTGTGACTCCAGTCCAGAATGTGGTAAATAAAACATCATACTCATCATGCCAGATATGGTTAAATCGACAGCAAGGTAGATACACGCTTTCCTGTAAGCCCAAAGTCAACATACATATCAGAGACAATATCGGTAAAGGATCTCTATCCGTAGGAAACAGTGGAATATGTAAATGCACCGACCTGTGGTGGTTCAGAACATGTCTTGGTTGCATTCCCGCATCGACGACAGTTACCATCTGCATGTAGGTGCTCACAGTTGTCACAGCATGGAGTCAGGAGCACTGCAAGTGGTAACATTATACCATAGATTGTTGTCTGAATATCATTGTGCCACAACAGAAATTCTGCTACCTATAAACTAATTTATTATGATGATGAGCATGTAAGAAGTGAAACATGTCAACATGTCCTTTGTATCATTGATTATCTTTCTTTAAAGAGTTTTAATCACATACCTGCATAAGTGTGGACATGTATATATTTAAAGTATTTTTTTCAGATTCCTCTAGTTATACGACATTATTTGTTTATTTGTGGACTGCCTTTGTCATGAAAAACTATTACGTGTATATAATCAAAACGGACGTACCTCTTCGTAGGCCTGACGCACAGAACAACGCCACCAACATGTACGTCACTTCCATTCCTTGCTTGCTAGCCGATGTCACAGCTATCAATAAATGGAAAGCTGCATCATTGTCTGTGAGTGAGTTAACGTCTCCGTGAACATTGTTTCAGTAATATCGCTGTGTTTCAGCTCAGTGTGGGACGAAACCCCAACATGAAGCAGGTCTTAGACGGTTACCCATTTGGTGAAGCTCACGATCCATGGGTAAGGTGCCGATAACTCAACATCATAGTGGGTAGGTTGGAATCCACGATTATTGAATCCTACAGGACTAAGGGACATAGCAGAAAGAACTGCGGTTCCTTATACGATTTGGCAACTCATGCCTCATTCAAAGACATTGTGTGACCATGTTACGAATATACTGGATTATCTCACATAAGATTGTGATATGAATGGGTTTTTTCAGTTGTACATAGGTGTCGTTATCATCTCCACGTGAATGGTATGGAAATGAAAGAAATTTAGTACTTACCACGAACACCTCCAGACTTTATGTCACCAATGTGTTCACTATGCTTGGTATTAAAATAGCACGTGACAGCAGAAACAACTGTTACCGGTTGGTACGAAGTTCACATTAACACAACACGCCGATTTGCATTGTGAAAAGGAAGTATTCAATTCAATAAGTGACGCATTTCACAACAACTTTAACACATATACCTTTGTCTAATTCCAGATAGCAGTAGTTGTATTTCTGACTCGACAATAAAGGTCCACTTATTTTTCATCATGATGATGATGATGATAGAGTAATGATCTCTCATGACCAGAAACTGGACTGCAGTATTTTAAAGTGATGTATTGAGGGGATGCATGTCAAACAAAACAACGTATTTCACTAAAATATCAGTATATTTAGATTATCGTTTTATGTTTATGAACTGCTATGTAAATATATTCATTAATTTTCAGTAGAAGTAACTTAACTGCTGAACAAGACCAGCTGCTGCCAATAGATACACATACCAGTATGATTAAATATACATGTACGCCATCAAAGATCATGCTTGATAGACACCTAACGCTGTCATAGTACAACATTTACATATTGTAAGGCAGTTTCAACTGTAAGGTATTGTTTTACCTACTGGGCCTTCCGTGGCTTCTAATACGTCTGGATATGTGTAAGTCATTAGCAAGCAATACCATATCAACGTACGTGTCAATAACGCCGCATGTTAAAAGATATTGGTTTCGAGGGATACAACCAGATGTGGGCCGTCACAAGAATAATCTTGGCGGAAACAATTTAAGTTTTGTTACCAGTTTCAATTTGTTCTTTCATTTTCGCAAGTCCTAAACAGTATTTGCTACAAGCTTCAATTTACGAGTGAATTCTGATTATCAATAAAACATTGTGTATCTCCAGTGGGGCCCAATCCACATGATCAGTCAAGAGACATGACTTGTGCATTTAATCCACACATGACCTATCCCTTTAATCCACACATGACCTATCCATTTAATCACACTGACGGAGCCTGAAGAATATTTTAACTTGTTTTACAAATAAGGATGTAAATAAGCAAAATAAACTGTTCACTGTCTATTAGAATTGTTGATGTGATATGGAAATATATACTTCATCATATATATTATGTTTCAATTATACACCTCAAAAACTTTAGTCAGGTCCAGAGTCTTGGCTCAATATTTATGACACATCCGGCTGCAATTATTGTTAAGCAACACCGACACACGATCACCCCATATTCACAAAACACATTGCCTTGAGTTGTTGAAGTGCGGATATGTTGAAAGATCCACAAGGTCCAAGGGAGGCTACTCACTTTAGTATCCTTCTATACTAGTGCATGGCCTGTGTGTAGTGTGAGTACACGTTTTACCTTTACGATGTGTCACTGACTTTGTTCTGGAAGTAGACATGTTAGTGTGCAAGCATGAATCGTCACTTTAAACACATGTCACATGTTTACTCGCTGAACTTACAGCACACACGTGTAATGTAACACCAATCAAAAGAAAATACAAAATAGCATTCTAAGGAACCTCCTCCAAACCTATACCAGTGATTGTAATGTTATCAGATAGCGTATTGTCGCGTCAGTACATTTACCTCCAACAACTGCCACGCCATACATATACCATGTATTTGTGGATACTACTTGAAGTATAGACCGTGATGTGGTGTTTCGATGAGTGGAAAGTCAACCATGGATGTAAATATGCAAATAAAATAAAACGAGACTGTTCACTGTCTATTAGAAATGTGGATGTGATATGGAAATATATACTTCATCATATACAATATGTTTCAATTCTACATATATACATAATAAACTTTAGTCAGGTCCAGAGTCTTGGCTCAATATTTATGACATATCCGGCTGCAATTATTGTTAAGCAACACCGACACACGATCAGCCCTAGCATAGCGAACCTTTAGTAGGCTTTCTGCAAAGCTATTGTGACAATATCGTCAGTGAGGCGTGGGAAAACCTTGAAAGTAATCTGCATGCCTGTTCAGGATCCTTTCAGGGAAGACAACCCGTGTATGTGTGTTGGGGCACTTGAAGGACTTCAACATACAATCCTTCAAGAGTTGTGTTTATAAGGTTACTGTAGACAACACGCATTTTGTGTTTTGAGGTTATAGAGTCATCGGGTGTCAACGTCATTTAAGAGAAAGCCCAAAGTGAAATCAACAAGGACGTGCTCAAACAAAGAATCACTGGTTCTACTGCACACAATCACAATCAGACGCTCGACCAGTAGTTTTGAATCATCTGGCAACTCTGATATGATGATTTTGTGTAAGATGTTAATGTTTCATAAATATACATTCATCCAGTAATTAAAACTGACCATGTTTTTCTACATTTAGTTCTGTCCTGTTAACATGATGACTTTTGCTGAATGTGACCACAGATATTTTCAAGCAAGTGACATTTGGTGCGAAGCTGGGGGTAGTGTGTTCAGCTTCCTGTACTCGGAAAATGAGGTGGCTAAGCTGGTCAATGTTTTTGTTGTTATTGCAGCTTTAATTCCAGACTGTGCACACATGTACACGTAATAGCTGTTGAATGCTCTCTTTAAAAAAAATAAAAATAACGTTACTATAGAAGTCTATGGGAAAACATTTGTTGTGTGTAACCTAAAAGGGGTGAACATTTGAAGCACGGATCTCGACCTTTCAGGGCTGAGGGACGCAACTCTGCACATCTTAGTCTACTTGAACAACCTGCCCTCCTTTCAGTCAAGTTGGAAGCTCACACCAAAAACTGAGAATAATATTTTTTTTCGTGCTCAAATTTGGTTACATATTTTAGTATTAGACCTTTATTTTTTCTCTCTTCAAGCATCGCTTTCTTTTCCATACATCTTTTCCCGTGAACTTTATCGTGTGGCACAGGAGACAGACCAGGATAAAGACTGAAATATTGACAGGATCATATTATACAGTGTCTGCATAACTACTGTCCTATCGGTACAAAATGAACAAGTTGTGACCAAGTATGAGAAAATAGATAGATCTGCTGTCGTGTCCAAGATAAAGCAAACAAGTAGCACGAAAACTCTCGGAATCATTATTCATGCCGGAGGAAGATTTAAAATATGTGTGAGCTAGATACCATGTGATGTGTATGTATCGACCACCTCTGACATGGTAGCATAGACTTTATCCCCAACTCTCTTATAGACTTTGGTTAAAGAACGTGTGCAGTAACAGATAGAGTACGTGTGTATGTACCAACTATTTGTAACAATGGTACAGTAGCATAGGGAATAATAAAATCTGCCTTGGTTCATGGAAACAAATAGAGTGTCAGTACTTTACCCAGATTGTCCTTTACTACCTTAGAGGACAGCCATTTAGTCCACGAATAGTACTTACGTGTATAAGGGAACGGTTCGCGCAAACGACATTTTGAACTTCCAGTCACGACCCACGAACCCACGAGTAAATGTCCAGTTTATTGGTGTATTGGTTTGAGTACATCATTAGGGTACGGGTGGTCCACCAGAGCCTCCTCTATTTATCCTCTAGTTAAGAGAACAATACGCGGAATGCAGTTGTGGATTTCAGAACGAGTACTGGAAACGTTATGGCTGACGTCGTACTGTTGGTTGTTTAGCCGTCGCTATATAGTTGACGTGCTCCAGATGTGACCTTAATGTTAAACTGACTCACTCACTTGTTATTTGTTTGTATTACAGTACAACAAACTACGTCAAAACTCTTTAGTCAAGACAACAAATACTGTCAGTGAAAATAATAATGGCAGTGACTGTCAATAATACTTTACATGAAAAGCGACTTCATCTGGATATTCATATCTTTAATTATATCACTATCTAACATTGCTGAGAATATACACTACATTCAATTACTGTGATAAGATTCAGTAAGGAAACACACCTGATAACATAGTAGTCCTTTCATACGGAACAATAACATTTGAGTGTTAACATGACAATGAATGTACAGATAATATTTTTGATTATCCAACACGAGTTACTTCTTATTACAAACATGAATATCTCAACATGTAAGTCAACAAGATCACTAGATTTAAGTAGATTGATAAGCTGGATCTACACCGACTTGATCCATTACTCGAAATGATTTCGTGGATTTTGACACCTGAAAGTATATTTGTTCTACATCTGTACACACACCACCAACAATTAAATTTACCCCTGTGTCTACAGACAGGTGTGGAACACATATGACGTCCGTCAGAACGCTGTGATAACATCAAATGATGATAACTGAACTGAGAGGAAAACAAAATATGCATGGTGACCTCAAATAGATACAGACAGCATCACAGTATGTCCTACACGTGTCCCCGTGGTAACCGAGTTGACAACTTCCATCTCTATCACATGTCTTGCTGAAACACGTGGCACTGCATGTTCTAGTGCAGTCAGTTCCCCAGTGGCCTTGCTTGCATCTGGAACATTCCCCAGTCTCTTGGTAACATGCCTCACAGTTACCAGGACACTTCAGCTTACAGCCGAGTGACATCCAGCCATCCACACAGCCCTGTCTGCAGACTGTAGACTTCATTCTGTGATCATAGAAACAGTCTTGATCTTATTACAGTGATGTCCGTGAACACCGAGTTAACAACCTCGGGTATCACTCATGGTTCACATACTGTTCACATGTATTGCCGTGACATCCCCTGGACACCTGGTGTCACACCTGTCACCGGCCCAACCGTTCCTGCAGCCTCTAGCACACGACCCGTCATAGAGGTAGCAGGAGTTGTCTTCACATCTGTCACTGCACTTCCTCTCACACCAGTCTCCCCACCAGCCGTCTTTACAGTTTTGCAAGCACACCCCACTTTGACGGTCACAATACACCTTACCATCATCATTCTTTCTGCAGTTGGGAGGACATGTAACGTTACAGTTGTGAGAAAAGTAGCCTGGCCGACACTGTTTAGATATCCCAGTGTCCCTGACACAGACGCCGCTGTCACAGAACGAACAGTTAAAGTTACAGTCACCACCATACCATCCTCTCTCGCAGGCAGGGCAGGGGTCTGATGCAGATGGCCAGAGACAATGACGAGAGTCAGGTGCTCCGCTAGTACAATGAACTTTCTTACCCGAACATAGCTACTGCACAAATAGAACT